GTTTGTACTTTAGGAACACCAACATAATCATTAAGGATAACATATAATTCAAATGCTAAAGAATATTGCACAGAAAATCCTTCTCAAAGCAAAAAAATAAACTCAAGTATTATGTTTTCCTTGGGTCATGAAAACATACAGCGATACTCACATTCTCATAATATTAAAAACTGAAGTTTTAAGTTACTAATATACCAAGTTGACATAGTTTCTACCATCCGAACCTTATTGCTTTTGAAATAACAGCATTACTAACCAGTGTGGATGATGTATGTCTCCTGTAATACCTTGTATATCTCAGGACTATTTCTGTGTGGTGGCCTTGTTTACACAGCCTGGTGCTGCCAGTATGTTGAGTACAATGTAAACAACCAGTGATGATGTACATGGTCTTCCTCTCTGACAACATTTACTTACGGAAGCATTATTAGTGTGCCTGGCTTATCCCTAGCCACTCTCCACTCACCTTATCTTGGTTGGGTGTTAATAAACACTGACAAAACGTTATTAACAGTTTGCAAAAAAAACTTCCTTTTTTTACACTTTTAGATATTAATGTTGAATATCGATATCAGTTTGTATGTACAGATAATAATATTTGAATGAGCTGTTTGTTTAATGTCATTTAACCAGTGTTAAAAAAGTTCAACTATATCACTAATGGAACAGCCAAGTTGTTAAAGTGTTCGCTCATCACGCCGAAGACCAGGGTTTGATTCCGGGCATGGGTACAATGTGTGAAGCCCATTTCTGGTGTCCCCACCGCGATATTGCTGGAATGTTTCTAAAGGCATAATACTATACTCACTCACTGTATCACTAATGCAAACGGCAACAATATAGGTCTACTTGCTGGGTTGTTTAATAGTCACTGATAGACCATCAGATTCTATGAACATGTTCAATGGCCCACAGTTTTCAATCCAGTTCACAATCAAGTTCCCCAAGGCCTACATATTAACAAATGGACCATGGACACTATTATTTATCATTGAATCAACTCCACCTATTCAACAAATGCCCTAGATCATGAAACTAGTAAATTGAGCACAATGTAGGTATTCTTTTGACAGCCCTACACATCTGGTTTCCAAGAGCTCAATACACTGTTGCTTTGTTACTAAAAGTACAGCAAGACATCAAAGATCAAGAAGATCAAATATATGTCCCTTTGAATCTACCATATTGATGTTCTGTGAATAGTACCAGGGTATTTGTTGGGCACCAGGATATATGAACAAGTTGTGAACCTTATGACATGTTTGAGTGCACTTTTGATATACAAATTTTGATATGACAGTTTTGGATGTTAGTTATCTTTTCCGGTATTGTCCTCTTTACATTCTCTGTTTTATGCATTATGTGCCTTAGTTATGATTAAGGTCTAGAATAGCTGGCTCCTGCAGCAGGAACAGCATAAGCACCCTGATTGATGTGCATGTTGTTATTTATATTAGAGTTTCTGTTTGAGGTTTGAAGAAACAGGTTATTTTTACTTTGTCATTGTTGGACATTTAGTAGACTTTGATATATAATACTAAAAAGAAGTTAAACAATGACCGCTTTTTTTCATATAACTGTAGTTAATCTGTCATGATCTATAGTCATGTGAAAAATCAGGTGTTGTTTAACTTCTTTTGAGTAGTATATTGATGGTGTTGCTCATGCTATCTATCACTGGTTAGTGTTGACCAGACTTGGTTCTTTAAAGGGTGAAATAGCTAACATGGCTAGGGTTAAAAGAACAATCACTCATTCATGAAAGTAAATTCATAAGTAAAGTTCCTAAAGATTTCCAGTATTACTGGAAAAAATACAGGATTTTGTGTTGGCTGTAAAAGGGCTTATATACACTGATATGATTTCTCCTATTTATGAATATTTAATCTAGAACTGTGTTCAGCTGTGATGGGCGGTGGTAATACATTGGTATTTTTGTACAACTCAAGTTATAAGGACCAATTAAAGAGTTGATTTTCATGTTTTATTTTTCTTGTTATATGTTTTGGCTTCCTGTCAGGGCAGCTTTGGGCATGGTGTACTGTGCAGGATCTGTTCCTTGCCTGTTGTCTTCTCCACAGAGCTGGCTGAAAGGATGACCCTAAAGTGTGAGATTATGTTGCACTGTGGCAACAGTTGGGGGCACGGGTGGCCCAGTCGTCTAAGGGTGGCCCAGTCGTCTAAGGCGCCGCGATTCGCTGTGCAGAGTTGCGTATCTTGGGCACGCCAGAAACCTATGATTGTGGGTTCGAATCACGGTTCGATCACGGTTCGATCACGGTTCGATCACGGTTCGATCACGGTTCGCGCTGATTATGTTTCTAGGTTTGTCAGCACTATACCCGTGTGGGTTTCACCAGAGTGGTAAACGTCTGAGACCTGCATCACTTCGGGCTTTCCTCCCACATTAAGCTGACATGCCTCGATATAACTGGAATAATGTTAAAAGCGGCGTACAACCCAACTCACTCACTCACTGTGGCAACAGTCAACAAAAATGAAAGATTGGTACTTCATATTGTGAAATTGTCACAAATGCTAAGGAAACTGAAACTGGTATGATGTAAAGCAACGAGACTCTGATTTGTTCATGCCCGTAAGATATAATTAATAATTTTTTTAATAAATTTGGCAAAATTTGAATGTTAAAAACTTTATGAATCTTCCAGAACAAGGGCAAGACGGCAAAGATTTTGCGAGGATATTGATTAAGATTACCACAATGATCAATATTAAACTTTCTTCAGATGAAGATGATTACAAGGAGTTTCAAGTCTCATTTGCCATTTGTTCGGATTGATTTCTCAGCGGCTACATGAAAAATATAATTGCCTGCTGATCAACAGTTAGTACTTTTATGTAAGGTGAGATAAGCATTGGTGTAAATGATTGACGACTAATTTCTCCAACTGCATCACGGGCGCGAGAAATATGCTGCACGTACCTGACATAGAGCACGATGCAAACTAATGACGACAAATTTCTTATTGACGCCCCATGTAACAGGATAATAACAAACCATGTAAACAAAAGCGATAAAATCCTTTTCAAAGTCATCAAAAATCTCTGCCAAAAACAGCGGACTGTACGATTCCGACCACATCACGAGCATGTGTTTATGAATCACTATCAAATAGTGACTATCAGGTGTTCGCGAAAAGGTGAGGTATCCTGCCCCACCGGTGGCACCCGTCACAAACACACGAAAAGGCAAGTTTTGGGCATAGTTTTGTCTATACGAACACTGCAAACTGTTGCCGAATTTACTGAAACTAATGACGACTAAACGACGACAAATGACGACGGTACTAATTTGAACTGATGACGAGTTAAAAGTGCATATATATTGTGATAAGCATGGCAGATAGTATTAATCTGCTGCCTATCACAACATATGCATATATACCTCTCATCACTTGGTTGTTGTCACTCCAGCTTGATAGCGGTGTAAGAATCTACATCGAAACGTCGCCATATGCAATAAACCAGAGGTTGTTACCCATAACGATGTACGTTTCCTATCCCATCAGCTTGACATATTTGAATTAATCAGTGATAAGAACACATCCCTCATAACAAGAACAATAGACTTATTCAGAAATTATATTTGTTATGATGTATATTGCATAGTGTTTGCCCATGCCAGCATGGAGGGGCGTGTACAGATCTGGTCAACTCGTACAAATTGTGGCTGTATGGCGCGTTACTGATAATGTAGATGATTAACCATCCACTAGAAAGAACACATCACAAGACCAAAGCTGTGACTACTTTCTCGGTAGAACACATTGTTTTTATTAACAACACCATTCAACCATAGTAGTAAGTGAGTGAGTTGGGTTTAACGCCGCTTTTTACAGTATTCCAGTCACGGCGTGTCAGCTTAATGTGGGAGTAAAGCCCGAAGTGATGCAGGTCTCAGACGTTTCCCACTTCGGTGAAATCCACGAGCACGGGGATGGTGCTAACAAACCTAGAAACATTATCGGGGCGAACCGGGATTCGAACCCACAAACATAGGTTTGTGGCGTGCCCAAGGGACGAAACTCTGCACAGCGAATCGCGGCGCCTTAGACGACTGAGCCACCCGTGCCCCCTCTACCATAGTACATACATAACGTATATGTTAGGATGATAAGTCGCTGAAACACAATTAGTGTAACCATTCATTTGCGGTGCTCAGCAAATACTAACATTGTTCCACCAATTTCATAAAATATAGACAGTTCCAAGTACAGTCATCTGTGTAGTGACCTCGAAGGTTACTCACGTCCGACACTATCGGTAGAGCAGGATCTGCTGACCTGCTTCCCTGTCGTCCTCACGCTTTATAAAAAAAACCATAACGCTCGTTTCAAAATGCCTCTTTGTTCGGATGATGCATGTGTTTGAGGTTTTTTTAAGTTATGTCACTTGGAGCATACATGATTTATATATCATCTCGAGTTTAAAACTTCCTTGTTATTTGACTGCATGCACTTAAGCAGATATCGATGAATGTACCAGTGACCCATGTGACAACGGCGGACATTGCACGGATAGACAGCTGTAGTTGTACCAGTTTACCTGGCTAAACAGGTAAAACAGCTTGTCGTTCAAGCGGAAAGAGTGATTACTTTGTCCATTTAATACGTAGACGTTGTCACTGGTAGCACCTCGGTATTAATACAACACGTCAGGTCAAACCAGGGTGGTGGGCTAGCCTAATGGTAATATTACTAATGTGCATATTTATAAATCCACACCCTAAAGCACCCACACGGCGCTACATTATTGCACGTGCATGTTACAGCGGGAACAACTGCCAACCACCCGTGAAGATCCTGATTAGAATATATCTTCAGGAACCCATGTGATATACTGTCTTTAAGTATATACTCCTCAACAGGAGTTAAAGAAGATCTGATTCGAATCAGGTGTTCGAAACTCCTTTTGAGTAGTATATGTTGTATTATGGTATTGTTTATATACGCTACAAAAAACAAAAAAACAACGCAAAATTGATCTTAGATGTATATTTAACATTTCTTATAAATAATCAACAGATGATGATCGATTGTTCAAAATTGGCACACTTCATTGTCATTGATCCATGTTCCATATGGCACACACGGACCGGTAGATTTTCAAGGTGAAGGTCATCTGTTCTCAATATCTTGTATGGCCCCCATTACAATCCAAAACGGACTCCCAGTAGAAGCAATCAGATCTCGAATTGTTGCCCACTCTGTCTGCAGTGCTTGTGTCAACTGTCGGAGGTTCTGTGGTTTTTCCCTGACGTGCTTGCAGTCGTTGATCCAGCGCATCCCATAAATGTTCGATTGGGTTTAAATCTGGAGACCTGAAGTGCCCTGCCAGGACCTGGATGTTGTGATTCCTGAAAAAGGCTTTTGTCAGCCGTGCCGTATGAGGTTATGCGCTGTCTTTTCCTTCATAATTGGAATCCTGGTATTGCCGTAGTTGCTTCGTTTCATGTTTGCTCTCGAATTACATAATAACCATATATACAGTTACGAATAGAAGGAATATGATCAAGAGGAATGGTAGAACGAATCTATTGCTACAAACATCTTACAAGTTGATTCAATCAAACAAAGCTGGGGAAGCAGGGTCGACTATATTATAATATCAAACATTAACACGTTACGGAGACATCGATGAAGATGTCTTCCCAAATCAGGTACCAGTCAGTAGAAATAATCAATACAAACACTTTAATGTATCGACAATTATTAATATAAAAATCACAGTCGGTTCCCATTTGAAGTCCTTGAACATTTCACAAAACTTGATATAAAATATGCACGTAAAAACTAAGTTGATAGATTGGTACATAACATAAAATTTGATTTCATTGTGAGTCAATAGAGTTCATTTTTGATCTGAACATATTTTGTCAAATACAAAATCGTTAAAACAACTGTCTTGCTAAACAAAGCTGCACCTTCACATAATTCCACCAGGTGATGCATATATTCTCATATTCCCACTTGTCTTAAAGACAAATGCAAAGACGTTGGCCTGGAAGATCTAAATTCATCACAATGGAATTCCCTTTAAGCACACAACTACCAGATAGGAATTATTTGTGGCATTGATAGCATAATATACAAAATAGCCTGATAATATATGCCTCGTTTTGGGAGTAAGAAGCGCTTAAAATAAATATCAACAATAATATTAATAAATATCCAACTCGTATGGCTGTTCAAAGATGTTTGGACAGGCAAAGAATACGATCGTTGATACTGCCAACGTAGGTTTTGAGTCTTCAAAGTGTTTTCTCCTCTGAGTTCAACTTGGGATATAGTTTCCGACTTGTAAGGTGGGACCTGCGAAGGGTTGCTTCTCCATCTTCGTTTTGGTGCCTCGTACAGATGGTCATTGTTCTTCCTCTGAGGTCAATGTTCGTAATGGTCGGTGGACCTTGTTCTTGCTTGGAATAATCACTCGTCAGAATCGTCGATGGTTAAATAAGTCAAAGACATAATTTTGACACATATAATTTCTGTTTGAGTGAATATTTTTAATAATCTCACGAAGATTCTCAGAAAGGACCGAAGCCACGCTATGTTACTACATTCGGGATCTGGCTACAAAATAATTAAAATTTGAAGATAGTGTTTGAAATGTGAAAAGGTTGAGATTTCATCTTTTTCCGTCACCGGTCAAATCCTGTTGCCGGGTGATCCAAACACACTGGATGTTGGCCAACTTGTCAGTGATTTAAACATCCTTCTTACGGTTACGTTTGATAGTTCCTCCTACGTTTATACATGTATCTTCGCATGATCAAAAGGAATTGATATTAGGGTTGGATACAAACAGTGATTTAGACGAATCTGCCGTCCTTCGTCTCTTCCTCTCATTGAGCTTCTTAACGATCTTATAAATTACCGCCGTTAACAACATGGCAGCACTTCCGGCGCCAGCTCCGTATCCTCCAGCCTTCAGAAAACCTTTGTTTGACGTGTCTCTGTGTTTTACAACTGTCACAGCTTCTTTGGTCGCCGGGTCCAGACACAGACAGGTAGCCTCGCCATCTGGTCCACCTTGTGACTGAAGCTTAAACATCGATGGAAATTGTTAATGAGCGTAACAATAAGTCATTTAAATCGATTCAGTGATATCGTTTAATTTCGATCTCATGGCTTATGTAATTGATATGAATTGTTTGAATAATCAGCTAAACATAGGACATCTTCCCGTGGCAAGGGAGTTAACTGACTATAAAAGTTGGAAACTGGACTTTTACAGTCAGTTATTTCCCTTTGCCCTGGGAAGATGCTGTGTGGCGGGTTACTCCGGACTAGAGTGTTCTATGCTGTTCGATGGGTAATGGGTTCGAACCACAGATTCGCCTGATCATGTTCACAGATCCCTTGGGCACGCCAAAAACCTTTGATTTTGAGTTCGAATCCAGGTTCGCTCCTATCATGTTTCTAGGTTTGTCAGCACTATGTCCTGCTCCTGGGTTTCACTGGTGTTAAATGTGTACTATATGTGTGAGTTCATACACTCCTCCTACAGGTAACTGACACGCCATGATATAACTAAAACCAAGCTGAAAGCGGTGTTATACCAAACTACTTACTCCACAATACAGTAAAGCGATCAGGATCACGACATTGCCTCCTCTTAATCAAAGGGGACACATAAAGTTAGAAGCTTCAATTCTATGAAAAGACAAGTTACATGTTACAACTTGCATATTGCATACTACTAGCTATTAACGATGATGAAAGTTGAGATTATATGAACCTGTATTGAGAACATGAAATACAATGATTACAATGCTATTAAAGCGACAAAAACATTCAATAATCATAAGAAATCACCGCTAAAAGTAGAGTACATTGTACGATTCCGGCCATATCATGAACCTATGTTTATGAATCATTTAAAGAAAATAATGATACCAGATGTTTGCTCAAAGGTGAGCGTATCCTGCTCCATTGATGGCACCCGTCTCAAACACATGCACAGGCAAGTCAGATGTTTAACTGATACCAAGTTTTCGCGAAAAGGTGATCGGATTAAAGTACTAAAGAAAGGGTTAAAGCAAGTGTTCAGCTAAAACATTGGGCTTCTGACGGGGGTCGTTCGCGGACGGGACTAATACCTAGTAGATCACCGTGGTAGTTAAGATACTTACTATTTTTTCCACATCTACAAAAGGAAAGTACACATGTTATTGTGAAATATGACATCATTCAACATTATTCCATGTTAGGAAGAGAATTTATGAATGTCAACTTCTTTATTATGAGGTACACAACGTTTCGGAGTACAAAAGTGTCCTGACTGAAATTGACATCCACAAATTCTCTTCCTTATGTGTATAACTTCCTCATGCCTTTCAAAGACTTGATTATTCCATTTTGTTAAACACTTTTCTATCTCCAAAGAGAGTAAGTGAATCTTGTTTTACACCACAACAATAGTCAAGTTTTAAAATGGCCGTTTGATAATCAGTTCTTGACATGCAAACCAGTGGTTGATAGCAGGAACACGTATCTACGCCTTCGGGTGAGATAACACAAAGTATGACATTACAGTATGGTTACCACGCGACCCACGGTCTAGTCGGCACTTACAAGCTGGGGTACGAGCCCCGATAACACTTCCTGCCTTAATATCGATCCACAAGAGATATTTGTTCAGTAAATCTATATTTTCACTAAAACTGCGCAAATGTATACACACCTTCGAGAATACAGTCGTCTGAAATAGAGAAAATGTTTATTGTTAGGTTTATTACTTGATTCATATATTATTGCCTAGATATTCATATATGAATGATAGTATAGTAGCTCATATCAAAGGTAACATATATTTTCATCTGATGCATATCATTATCAAACATCAATACATTCTAATAAGTTCAAGAACACCCACAATTGGAAGGCTGTGTGTTGCAATGTCTTCCATCCCTGACAAATTAACTAGTCAGGTGAAAAACTCGGGTGTTCTTTAACTTCTTATAAGTAGTGTTATAATGTGACATCTCACAGGACCCGTGAAGATCCGGGGTAGAATAGGTCTTCAGCAACCCATGCTTGCCGTAAAAGGCGACCATGCTTGTCGTAAGAGACGACTAACGGGATCGGGTGGTCAGGCTCGCTGACTTGGTTGATGCATGTCATCGTATCCCAATTGTATGGATCGATGCTCATAATGTCTGGTCGAGACTCGATTATTTACAAACTCGTCACTATATGCCTGAGATACTGCCGATGTGACGTTAAATTTTAACTCACTCACTTATTTACAAACCGCCGTCATATAGCTTGAATATTGCGGCGTTAAACAACAAACAAACAAACAAACACATCTCACAGCAAAGAATCTTTCTCATCTGGTGGTCATACAAACATTACACAAAGTTACCGGCCGTTGTGACAATCTGACCTTCCAGCCTGGTCCAACGGGTAGACCCACCAAGGCAACACTTGCAATTTGCAATATGCCATTAGCCCGTGGCAAGAGCGGTGTACATCAATCAACTTGAAGAAATTACCTGTTTCAGCTGTTTGATGTGTATTTGGCGTCGTATTCGCAATTGTAGTTGTTGGCGTCGTCGGTGTTGTCGGGGTTGCTGTTGCCGTTGCCGACGGTGTGGTAGTGGAATGTGAAGCTGTTGCCATTGCAGTCGTGGGTGTGTTTGTTAGCATAGACGTTGGTGTGGCTGTTGGTGAAACCGTTGGAATGGACGTTGGTGAAGTCGTTTGAATGGGAGATGGTGTACTTGTTGGGGTAGCTGTTGGTGTAGCTGTAGGCTTCGTAGTGGCAGATGTCGGTGTAGGCGTAGTCGTGGGTTTAGCTGTTGGCGACGTTGGAGAAGTCGTTTGAATGGCAGATTGTGTACTTATCGGTGTAGCTGTTGGTGTAGCTGTTGGCTTCGTGGTGGCAGATGTCGGTGTAGGCGTGGTCGTTGGTATGGCTTTTGGCGAACCCGTTTGAATGGACGTTGGTGAAGGCGTTTGAATGGAAGATGGTGCAGCTGTTGGTGTAGCTGTAGGCTTCGTGGTGGTAGATGTCGGTGTAGGCGTAGTCGTTGGTGTGGCTGTTGGCGAACTCGTTGGAATGAACGGTGGCGAAGTCGTTTGAATGGATGATGGTGTACTTATTGGGGTAGCTGTTGGTGTGGCTGTTGGCTTCATGATGGCAGATGTCTGTGTAGGTGTAGACGTTGGCGTTGCTGTAGGCGAACCCGTTGGAATGGACGTTGGAGAAGTCGTTTGAATGGGAGATGGTGTATTCGCTGGTGTAGTTATTGGTGTAGCTGTAGGCTTCTTGGTGGCAGATGTCGGTATAGGCGTAGTCGTTGGTATCGCTGTTGGAGAACCCATTGGAATGGACGTTGGAGAAGTCGTTTGAATGGGAGATGGTGTACTTGTCGGTGTAGCTGTCTGTGTAGCTGTTGGTGTGGCTGTTGGCGAACCCGTTGGAATGGATACTGGCGAACCCGTTGGAATAGACGTTGGAGAAGTCGTTTGAATGGGAGATGGTGTACTTGACGGTGTAGCTATTGGTGTAGCTGTAGGCTTCGTGGTGGCAGATGTCGGTGTAGGCGTAGGCGTTGGTATGGCTGTTGGCGAACCCGTTGGAATGGATACTGGCGAACCCGTTGGAATAGACGTTGGAGAAGTCGTTTGAATGGGAGATGGTGTACTTGACGGTGTAGCTATTGGTGTAGCTGTAGGCTTCGTGGTGGCAGATGTCGGTGTAGGCGTAGGCGTTGGTATGGCTGTTGGCGAACCCGTTGGAATGGATACTGGCGAACCCGTTGGAATGGACGCTGGTGAAGTCGTTTGAATGGGAGATGGTGTACTTGACGGTGTAGCTGTTGGTGTAGCTGTTGGCCTTGTGGTGGCAGATGTCGGTGTAGGCGTAGTCGTGGGCTTAGCAGTTGGCGAACCCGTTGGAATGGACGTTGGTGAAGTTGTTTGAATGGATGATGGTGTACTTATTGGGGTAGCTGTTGGTGTAGCTGTTGGCTTCGTGGTGGTAGATGGTGTAGGCGTAGTCGCTCTAGTTGCTGGTAGCGAAGCTGTTGGAATGGATGTTGGTGAAGTCGTTTGAATGGATGTTGGTGTATTCTTTGGGGTACTTGTTGGTGTAGCTGTTGGCTTCGTCGTGGCAGATGTCCGTGTAGGCGTAGAAGTTGGCGTTGCCGTTGGCGAACCCGTTGGAATGGATGTTGGCGAAGTCGTTAGAATGGGAGATGGTGTACTTGTTGGTGCAGCTGTTGGTGTGGCTGTTGGCTTCGTGGTGGTAGATGTCGGCGTAGGCGGAATCGTGGGTTTAGCTGTTGGCGAACCCGTTGGAATAGACGTTGGTGAAGTCGTTTGAAAGGGAGATGGTGTACTTATTGGGGTAGCTGTTGGTGTGGCTGTTGGTGAAGTCGTTTGAACTGATGTTGGCGTAGTTGTTGGCATGTATTTTGATGACGCTGGTGTGGTTGTTGGCGTAGTCGTCGGTGCGGCAGTTATCATCATTGTAGGTGTGGCCGGCTGCGTTGTTGTTGTGGTTGTTGGCGTCATGGAAGGTGCGGTTGCCGTTGGTGTGGTTGTTGCCATCGTTGCGGAAGATGCGGTTGTCGATGGCGTTGTAGTTGCCGGTCTGGTTGTTGTCGTCGCTGTGGTCGCTGTCGTTGCCAGACCTTGAAAATAACATGCATCGGTGCCTATCATTAGGAAATACAATAGAATGAAATAATTAAATATAAATTATCTGTCTGAATATCATATTTACATCAGCAAATTATCCTTTAAAACAAACCATTTATTTCACCGATAACTAAGAGTACTGACTAACGATCCATACCGTTATATTATTGTCCAGTCCGTCGGTGATTAATACTACTTAGTGGGTGCCAATACTAACTTGCCAAATAGTGTTTGTTTGTTTGTATTATAACACCGCACTCAGCAATACAAGACGGCGGTTTGTAAATAAACGAGTCTGGACCAGACAAGCCAGTGATTGAAATCATAAGCATCTTTCCACGTAATTCGGATACGATGACATGCATCAACCAAGTCAGCGAGCCCGACCACCCGATCCCGTTAGTCGCCTCCGGAGTCAGCCATCGTGATATAGCACACATAACGCGTATTACCGCACTCACTAGCTGTAGATGTAACAGCTCTCTGTGAACCACTGGTGAGATCTTAATTTGATAAAAAAAAACAAAAAACATGTCGAGATGACACGTGATGGTTTTCCCTGTCTACCCATATATGTACATTGTACAGATCACGTGATCATGTGCGTACGTCCGGCTGTTCGTGGGTTCTTGCGAGGTTTTCCTGGATCTATGATCGATGTGCATGATGTCAGTCACTGGATTGTCTGGTCCAGACTCGATCATTTACAGACCGCCGTCATATAGCTGGAATATTGCTGCGTGCGGCGTTAAACAACAAACAAAACAAACATACGCCCATTGCGAGGATGTATTGGACTTAATTATAGTCCCGAAATATTATTAGTTATGGTGTCTTTAGTTGCCGTATACGGTGTCATATTAGGTTCGCAGAACAATATGTGGCAAATTTATTATGTCAAAATGGTTTCAATATCTGGTATATTTACCACACATATCATATCAAAATGAAAGCTTCACTCTAACAACAGTTGACGTTAAGGGTCAAAGGGAGACTACTCTTTAAACATTAGGAGCCAAACCTTGTTGAAATTTGTAACTATAATCTTTATCAATAAAGTCACGAACGTGGGTTAGTTTTTTTTAAAGATAAATGTCCTTGCACATCACTATTAAAAACATAAAACAACAAAACAGTGTCGAATAACGAATTTCTGTACCAGAATGCTCAGGTGAAATACGTGAGGTGGGTATTGAAAAATCCAAGATGGCTGTTACTGACGGTATACGGTCTCATATTAGATCAGTAACAACCATCTTTTTTACGACGGTATACGGGCCCGTATAGGGTTCGTGGTTCTGCTCTCTGATTGGTCAATCTCAGTTTGAGGCACAACCACCTGACACTTTTTTGTGTTTATATATCATTAATTGTGATGTGCAAGGACATTAATCTTTTTTAAATCATGTTCGTGAAGATCCGGGGTAGAATAGGTTTTTTTCACTAACAAGACCTCGCTTTGCAAAATGTTGTGGTTGTAATAATGCTGGTGTCCTGTGGGAAAAGGCTTTGGTCACTAAGGTCCTCCAGTCCTTGGGTATCGCTCGATGGCTTCCTCTAATATTACCCGTGAGTGAGTGAGTGAGTATGGTTTAACATTTTACGCCGCTTTTAGCAATATTCCAGCAATATCACGGCGGGGGACACCATAAATGGGCTTCACACATAGTGCCCATGTCGGGAAACGAACCCGGGTCTTCGGCGTGACGAACTAACGCTTTAACCACTAGGCTACCCGACCGCCCCACTCAACCCGAGAAGATCCGGGGCAGAATAGGTCTTCAGCAACCCATGCTTGCCGTAAAAGGCGACAATGCTTGTCGTAAGGCGACTAACGGGATCGGGTGGTCAGGCTCGCTGACTTGGTTGATGCCTGTCATCGATCCCAATTGCGTGAATCGATGTTCATGATGTCAATCACTGGATTGTCTGGTCCAGACTCAATTATTGACGGACCGCCGCCATTAGCTGGTATATTGCTGAGTGCGGCGTTAAACAACAAACAAACAAACAAACAAACGCGTTACTGATTAAGATTATAGTTAAAATTTGTAAACAAGATTTGGTCTCTAAGCGTTGAAGAGTAGTCTCCCTTTGACCCTAAACGTCAGCGTACTAAACTTAGCAGTGTAGTGCGATATGGATACCACATAGTGTAAAATTTACGGTATAATAAATTCGTTATGGTGTGTTTAGTTGCCGTATAAGGTGTCATATTACGTTAGCAGAAAAATATTATCACTAATAACATCTGCAATGATAATGATAACAATAGTAATGTCCAACATAACAGATGTATATATAACATCATCCGAACCCCTGTTTAAGATCCTAGAAGGCTTTCGAAACCCTGATTTCTCAAAGGAATTAACAACATTTGATGGTCAAGGACGACACACATTCCGGCGCAGCGGTGATTTAGCATAACACTATGCTGGTCGCATGGAACTCTGGGTAGGAGAGTGAGGACGACAGTAAGAGCAAATTTTGTAAATCGATATACTAACCATACAAATTATCATATTCATACACTTTACAGGCATGACCAATCAATTGTACATTGATTTTAATTTACAATTTCTTAATACATAAGTAGGCACGGTTGACAAGTCGTCATATTGGCTGTGCAGAGTTGCGTCCCTTATGCGTGCCAGAATTCTGTTTCTTGGTACCAATCCCAGATTCGCCCTGAGTATGATGTTTGTTTGTAGGCACCAAAATCGTAAACATCAAGACTTGTACCATTTCAGGATTTCCTCCCCTAATAACCTACCACACCGTGATAAGCAAAAATAATGTTCAAAGCGGCGTTAAACCCTACTGTATCCACACTCACTTAATCCATAAGAAAGAAATATCAACAAGCATCACCTTCATCACAATTTTTGCCGGACCATCCAGCGTCACACTGGCAGAAGTAGATCCCGACAGCCGAGGGGAATGACTTGCAGGCACCGTGCAGACAAGGGGAAGACTTGCACATGTCCACGACTGGAATATGAAGTGTATTTAGCAGAGAATATACCTATACATAAGACATAACATATATGGGAATGGACAATACCGTTCCAAGTTAAATCGCCCGGTTTATCAAGGAAATCGTTCTATTTGTATCATATAGAAGTTACGAACTATACTCGTCCAGATTGCGGGAGTCCGGTTTAACAAGGTTTCGCTGTATTCATGGGTCAGTTCATATCTAACGCACCTTACTCGAAGCTCACACATCAATTAAATAATACGCTAAAACTTAACCATTAAAGCATGTTAAAAAGCGACAAGTTAACGAAGATCATTTGCCTATTACGACATTGCAACAGTTTACTCTTGATGTTTTCTAAGTACTTTACTATGATGGGAGACGTATATGTTATAAATATAGAATTACAATGGAAAGGCTTGGCTGCATTCAGTGGTAAATGGTTTGGGAGCTAGGAGGTATACACATTCCACAATATTTCTTCATTTGCACCCTGGAGTCCATCTTCCCGAGGCAAGAGAGTTAACTGACTTTAAAAGTCCAGTTTCCACCCTTGCCGAACTGGGCTGGAATCCCTATCATATTCCATCACTTGCACTTGTTTCAAACAAAATGGCGGCGCCCAGTCAAGACGTTCTGATCGATATGTTGTGATAAAACGGGTCTTACATCGCGAAGTGCATCAAATCACGCGAGCACCTTGATTAAAAACATGAAAAGGTTTGGAAAATATCTGTTGACAACGAGTTGGCGGTGCACATGCTTTGCAAATCCTGCAATCGACCGTAATCTTCACGACAGTTTACGAACCGGATTTCGATTTCGTTGCGAGATTTTAATTGGACTATGCATAGACTCGTTAGTCCAGCCAAAATGTAACTCCATAATACCAGCCTAGTTCGGCAAGGGTGGAAACTGGACTTTTATAGTTAGTTAACTCTCTTGCCTCGGGAAGATGCCTGGAGTCCGGTGCAATATCAGTATCAACCGGAATTTGTTGGAATTTTATGAAAACAATGTATATTAGAGACCAGAAGATGCGGGATAGTAGCTTGGCAATACGTAGCTATATTCCTTACCGACTTCACAGTGCGTGCCTGTAATGTGGGGTCTGCACACGCAGTGATACTTGTCCCAGGCGGAGAAACAATCTCCACTGAACCCACATGGCTGACTCAAACACGGATCTGTAAGTACATAAGCCGATTATAACATTTTCTTGTACAATATTTAGGTAACTTGCCGACATATGATTATGTAAGCACAGTGTAGGCCTATGAACAAGTGATATGCCTAACTCTTTCCTTATCGTTTGCATTCTGTTAGCTTATGAATCATGCATCATGTGTCAAGAAAACGTTCCAATCATTGAAAAAAACACCAGAAATTATCACTATATTTCATAGGGGAACCATGCTTGGTGGTCTGCTGCCCGTTCCAGTGAATAGCTGGGGCGGTCGGGTAGCCTAGTGGTTAAAGCGTTCGCTCGTCACGCCGAAGACCCGGGTTCGATTCCCGACATGGGTACAATGTGTGAAGCCCATTTCTGGTGTCCCCCGCCGTGATATTGCTAAATGCGGCGTAAAACCAAACTCACTCACTCACTCCAGTATATAACTAGATGTAATGTGTGCTATGTGTGAACCTGACACTTTGTGTCAGTGTTATTATGGTCATCATTAAATGCTCTATTTAAACTGGATAACAAAGTATAGCGTTTCAAAACTTGCCAGGACTAGAATTGCCAATTTACCTGAGCCTTGCCACCTTTTACGTCATCCCCTTGGGTAAGGTTTGCGGAAACGATCCGTAAACTAATAATTAGTTGTGGCGTAAGGTGACAATATATTTAACAGCATAATACACTAACTACAATCTGCCTACCTGTGGGTATCACTGCTACATTCACACAGGACACGGTGTTGCTGAACATAGAGAATATTGACATAAATACCATATACTGCACTTGGTAGTGTTTAGCTTTGTTTAAAATCGTGGGGTGCTGAATATATGAATAATATTACATACAGTCTATGGAATCATATTTTATACAATACACTACTCACTTCAAAAATTAAAACAAATAATTTTCCTGCAAATTTCATAAGCGCTACCTAGAGTGGCTGGACTTGCTTTTGTATACATATCTAGATTGGTTTTGTTTTCATAAAATAAATATATTCCACGGTCATGGTGCAGGATTACTGAAAATATTATTCAAATGATAATTGTAAGGATGTATAGAGATAGACATTGTCAATTAATTACAAGAGACATCTCAGTCAGTAAACAATAGATAAAAGAATGATCTAAGAACATTTTTGGTTATCACAATACTGAAGATGTATGTATAAAAATTATGTGTTTTTCATGATTATAATTTGACATGTGCGTGTTGACACTGTGGATTACCTTGAATGGGATGACACCTTGAGACAGATAGTTTGATGTCCCGGTGTCGTCGCTGTCCACTTCACTTCTGTTTGCAACGTGGGGTGTAAGGAGGCATTGACCGGTCTCAGTGACCCGACCCCCACCCCCGGGAGTGTAGAGTTGAAGACAGTGACACTCGTGGTGCTAAAGGAATACATAAAGCTTCTTGAGCCCATAATAATAGTTATGGTGTCTTTAGTTGCTGTATACGGCGTCATATTAGGTTAGAAATATTTTTTCGCCTACCAAATATGACACCATACACGGCAACTGAAGACACCAATCGAATTTATTATGCTGAAAGTTTACACTATATGGTATCCATATCGCACATGCCATGTCAAAATGAAAACTTGACACTTACAACCGGTGACGATGAGGGTCAAAGGGAGACTACTCTTTACACCTAAGAGGCCAAACCTTGTTTATAAATTTAACTATACGTCACGAACGTGATTTAAATTAAAATTTCATGTCCTTGCAAATCAAAATTAATGATATTAAAACACAAAACAGTGTCGAATAACGAATTTCTGTACCAGAATTTTCATGTGAACTATGTGAGGTGTGTGTTGGAAAATCCAAAATGGCTGTTACTGACGGTGTTCGGTCTCATATTTTGTTAGTTACAACGTACAACATGTAACTTCATATCCTATAGAATCTATATCGTTGGTTATGACTTTTGTCTCAACAGCACGCACTAAAAATCAACTCCACCTTTCTTTCTTTCTCGTTTAACGCCGCGCTCAGCAATATTCCAGCTATATGACGGCGGCCTGAAAAATAATTGAGACTGGACCAGACAATCCAGTGACTAACATCATGAGCATCGATCCAAACAATTGGGATACGATGACATGCATCAACCAAGTCAACAACCTGACCACCCGATCCCGTTAGTCGCCTTTTACGGCAAGCATGGGTTGCTGAAGACCTATACTACCCCGGATCTTCGCGGATAAAGAAAACCCTCCAAACATAGCAAAGTTGGATATGACGTAATATGTGAGTGAACGTTGTTTAATGTCTCAGCAATATCGCTACTTTATTACATCAACCTTCAAATAGTGCTAATACCAGATTTTCTGCCCCACCGGCTTACTGAGGCCTTGAATGTTGTAACCCTGAAACCTCTGAACCTTCGTAGAAAGAACATGCTAGATTGTATGGCAAATGTTGTGCAATGTAGACACCATAGGCTGTAGCTGGAATATTGCTCGACATGGTGGGGAAACTGTTATTAAGTCATCCCTCTTGTCATACAGCCATGTGGAGAGTTTGTGTTTGTTGACACTTTGAATCTTTATGTATAGATCTTAATATGAAACACACGAGGCGGTCTCACTGGTCTCCTTTTATTTCTAGTCCTGGGCCCCGTTCCACAAAGCGATCTTAGCGCTACAACTGTCGTAAGTCAGTGTTAAAGAATGGGAGTTACGATCGCTAAGATCGCTTTGTGGAACGGGGCCTGAGGGTAAATATGTGGAAAGGAATTGGCTATTTGACCGTTATTGACCGAATTCATATCACCGATATACCTGAAGCCCAATTACTAGTAACCTTTTTGGCGATATTCCCCAGTTTTGAATTTGCCAATCCGAGCAGACATTCTGACTCGTATGCATAAAGGAACAGGGCCCCGTTCCACAAAGCAATCTTAGCGCTACGACTGTCGTAAGTCAGTGTTAAAGAATGGGAGTTACAATCACCTTAGCGCTAAGATCGCTTTGTGGAACGGGGCCCGGATCAGTAAGTAGAGGAATGAAAGTGTGCCCATGGGGATGCCTACTTCTTGCCTAAATGTCATATCCTCAAGTTACTCATTAAAGTTATCTATGAGAGCGTGTACTATTTCACGTGTTGTCTTCACAGTAAACTTCAGAGGACATTTGCTTTCCTTGTTGACAAATTGCGCTGTGCATGATCACCACGTGGTGACAAGTGTTCCATGGATCAAGGAATTAAGGTTTTCTTAACGTCTGTGGTGTGGGATTGTGGTGTACACATTTGGAGACAAATAGTTTGATAGAATGTAACTTGGTTCCTTTCTGGGATTGCAAAACCTCCAGCAAATCCTTTAAGGCTATAAGAATCCACATGCGTTCTGGTAGTTTAAAATAAACACAAGCGACAAAATCATTTCCATAATCATAAGAAATATCTACTAAAAGCAGAGTCCATTGTACAATTCTGACTATCATGAATATGTGGTTATGTATCACTATCAAATAGTTCGCAAAAGGGTGACAGTATCCTGCCCCACATGTCACAAACTCATGCAAAGGCAAGTCAATTGTGTAGCTGGAAAAAAACCGTGAGATGAGGAACAAGTATAAATAGGGAATTGCGCCGGGCATCATTTTTGTCACTGATTTGAAATGTGGAAATTTCATAAAATGTCCATAAAACGTTTTGAAAGCTTCACTGAATGTTGTAACCTTGGTCAAACAACATTAATATTTACAAGTGAGAGAGAGTTTACGCCGATTCGAACAGTATCTCACTTATATCACGGCGTGTCAGTTTAGCATGTCACGCTCCGCTTGGATGTTTATCACAGGATTATGGCGCTCCAAAGGGACGTAACTCCGCGAATTGCGGTTTTCTTAGACGACTCGTCCACCTGTGACCCCATAAACACATATTTGCTCTATGTGTTCCCGCTTACCCTTGAGTGAAGAGCACAGGTACCGTACAGAGAGTATCTTGGGGACATGTCAGCACCTTCTGATCTGGAAACACAGCGTGTGCCTCTGTAGACTGAAACATGAGCATAATAGGACAGTCACTGTATAATTACCCCCCAGTGTATATCTGTAAACTCTCATCTGCTAACCCACAACCACGGGTATCATCGAAGAACTGTTAGATGCAAGTAAGAAATATTATTGCCAATATTAGAAAATGATGGCAACATGTCTTCCCCAAAACAGAATCGCAAGGTGAGGTTAAGTATACTGATGCTACGTTATCGAATGTTCTTCGAGTTGACGGTAGTTCGAGGCAACAACAACATCAATAATAATATATTATCAAGTGAATTGATTTAGAGTTAGCGTGACCCCACGGTAACCATGTGTTCACGAAACGATCAGCAATATATACGTTTCACCCAAACGGGAAACGTATATGACCCTGCTTGACTTAGAAATCTCCCCCCGCATCATTCTTAAATGCCGTCATATAACTGACGTACTGTTCAAAGCGGGGTGAAACCCAACCCATTTAAACGAAACAGACAAAGTACGAACAACTTACACTGATATTGTCCGTGACAGTCAGATTATTCTCTGTAAAACACGAGCAGTTTGTTGTCAGAATCAATATCTGCTTATATTATATTTCTGCTTACACTGGTGTATCCTTCAAGGGTTGTGGTATTCATTATTTTTTAGACATTATTGAATTTAAGAATTGATAAACAAGGTATAGTTATTGATTTATTATGCATCTAAGGTTCTTTCCTGACATTATTGAATTATTAAGAATTGATAAACAAAGTATAGTTATTGATTTATTATGCATCTAAGGTTCTTCTTGAAGACACACGTGATGGTACAATGAGATATCAGAAACAGAAATTGCAAATAGCACCAACCTTTCACCACGATTTTGTAATTTACTTCTTTACCGTCTACCCTGTTAACAAAGAAGGCAGAGTCCTCTTTACATTGTTATAATAGACTTAGATTTTAGATTTAAATACACATAATTAAAAGAAAATGTAGTTGTACGGGGTTGATGTTGCAGTAGAAAACCCAATCTACATGTTTGTTGATGTACCGGTTCATCCAGCAGTGAATGGGTACCCGGTAGAATGAGACGGCAATGTGGCTGCTAACCTTCTTGCGCCTAACAGGCTGCTTGGGTTGTACACTCCACAGGGAGCTGAGAATGATTGTTGAGTGCACACTGATCCACCAACCAACCGGAGTAATAATGTAATGTCTACGCGACTAGAGCATGCTTATGCATGGAGTACAGCGCGACATAAATTAAGTAGTAGTAGTGAGTGAGTGAGTGAACATGGTTTTACGCCGCTTTTAGCAGTATTCCAGCTATATCAAGGCGGAGGACACCAGAAATGGGCTTCACACATTGTACCCATGTTGGGAATCGAACCCGGGTCTTCGGCGTGACGAGCGAACGATCTAACCACTCGGCTACCCGACCGCCCTAGTAGTAGTAGTAGTAGTAGTAGTAGTAGCAGTAGTAGTAGTAGTAGTAGTACCACCTACCCGCCAGTGTCGAAGACGGTGGTCTGGAACAAATATGTGCCGATATCTCTTGATGTTGTGTCCACTGTCAGAACTCTCGTCATGACCCCCTCGCTCGCCCTGAGGGGGTCGGAATTGAGGGTAGAGAGGGTGAATGAAATACTTGGCACAGCAATCACCGCGATTGTTTCTATCCTTCTGCAATCAAGAAACATTAGAAGCTAGACAAATACGATATGTACTTTAATAACACTTGTCTGTTTGTCTGTCATACTAGGATGTGGACTGTTTCAAAATGTCCCAAAGACTATCGACACAATGAGAAACAGATCGTGGAACACAATCGGAATACTGTTGGTGTATGAGTGGAACCTATTTATTCATTAAAGGGTGGGGTGGGGTGGGGGGTGGGGTGGGGTGGTGGGTCTGAGACAATCAGAGCAGGGTCACTAAAATGTATGACAAAAATATGAGGGTAAGACAAATGGACATTCTATAATAAAATATAAAGTGCTTTTACATTTTGTGTTTACGGGGAGGGTCATCCAGAAAATTACAAGGACATGGGTGGGTCATCCGAGAATATGACAAACATAAGGGTGGGGTCATTATTTTCAGTACATTAGTACATAAAAAAATTCTGAACAACACACCACACACCACACACCACACACCATACACGTAGACCCGTGAAGATTCGGGGTAGAATAGGTCTTCAGCAACCATTCTTGTCGTAAAAGGTGACTATGCTTGTCGTAAGAGGCGACAAGAGGGATCGGGTGGTCAGGCTCGCTGACTTGGTTGATGCATATCATCGATCCCAATTGCGTGGATCGATGCTCATGATATCAATCACTGAATTGTCTGGTTCAGACTCGATTATTTACAGACCGTCGCCATATAGCTGGAATATTGCTGAGTGCGGCGTAAAACAACCAACCAACCAACCAACATGGCAAATATGAAGGAAATGAACAACACACTCAGCTGAGTTCTTGTGCGGACGCGCTGCCAGCATAACCTCAATTCGAGCCCCTGCATAGCCAACCATCGTCAGGCCATCTTCAGGGGTTGGGGCAACGAAGCTTGGATCTAACAGCACCCGCATCGACCGCACCAGGAACTGAGGATGAATTAGATAATGTTTAACGTCATTGTAAATACAAAATATATGAACAGATTACTGTAGCGCTCCGTTTCCACTGTACCTGAACAGCTCGTGGTCCTCACTCAGGACAATGACGTCATATAAACTGTATGTGTGGATAGATAATGCGGTAAATACCTATTGTTTATTCAAATTTGAGAATGGGAGAGAAAATTTGTTCATTAAGAAAAGTGTTCCTACGCTTTAAAAAGGCACATACGTTTGTTTTATTATGTTTGATAATGCACAAACGTTTATCAGGAAACTTTGTTTGTTTGTTTGTTTGTTGTTTGATGCCGCAATGGTCCAGCTATATGACGATGGTCTGTAAATAATCGAGTCTGGACCAGACACTACAGTGATTTACATCATGAACATAGATCTACGCAATTGGGATACATTGACATGCATCAACCAAGTCAGCGAGCTTGACCACCCGATCCCGTTAGTCGCCGTTTACGGCAAGAATGGGTTGCTGAAGACCAATTCTAACCCAGATCTTCACGGGGCAGTGAAGAAACTAATAAATATGAATATTTTGATATATTTATTAACTTGGTGATGGTTTATTTTTTTAATGTTTCCAATGATGGAAACGTAAAAGCCTTAAAAGAATCTTTAGTTTAACACTGCCTTTAAAAGATGTTTTTTTCTTATTGTGTTTACTGAAAATATTTTCGTGCTCAATCTTACGTGCTCCGACTATCTCAAACTTATTTCGAGTTTGACAAAAATGTATAAGTGTACCGTGAACAAGAAATATTTCCCCAAAGCGATACAGTAGGTAAGTTTAGACACATATAATGATAAGACACTGTCCAGCTTTATAACTACACGTCCATGGTACCTGCACGGGAATGTCGCCGAGAGCAACTTGTAGGGGTGCGCGGAAGGGCATGTGATCATGCTCGATTTTGATTGGTCGGAGGTTGTAGTCCATGATCTTCACCAACACAGCCACCTCGCCGTTGTCAGTGAACTTGTTGCTTTCAGTGGCATCGATGACGATACTGCAGTTCTAGTACAGATACAAGAAAGGCTCGTTAAGTCCTGATAGTGGGATGGTTAAGGCGAAAATTGTGCACTTTGGGTTAAAATCACAAAACTTGGCACACTTCTACATTGAACCATTCGGAATATTTCTGGATATGGATCCACCTCGGCAGCGCCCACTGGAGGTAGAAAATCCAAAATGGCCGCCAACACGGCTTGAATCCATAATGATATCAATCTATACTCAGAATATCATAATTATCTGGTCAGTTTACACAGACTATCATAGTAATTTAGCGCTTCCTGTTGGTGACGAAGATGAACAAAGAAAATACGACGATGTTTCGGCCTATTTAGTTTCCTGACATTCTCTGGACTCCATGAATTCAGGAACTATTTTTTTTTCAGTAATGTGTGTTCATTCCCAGTGTTATTGTACCACTGATGTTTAAATTGTTGTCTGCCTTTGATTGTGGCCCCCGTACTCATTTTAAACATCTAAGACCTGCAACACTTCGGATATGGATGAGAATTGGAGGATGTGAAATGACTGTATTGTAAAATAAACATGTCCACTTATAACTGTTTACAAAGAGACTTAACCCTCTCACACTCCGGCGCAGTTGGTGACCTAGCATAATACCACTGCTAATTTGCATATCACGTGACCGGACTTTTTTCTTGTTTGTAAACAAACGCGCTTTTTCAGAAATCATAATAGAAAGGACTATTGCAATTATTTGGTGGCGCTTTACATATGTTTTGCATAATTATATAGATATGCTGCTACAACTGCGACAGTGAGTTGCATGACAATACATATTTACACGCCAAAGTGACCGTATCGCTAGCTCTCCGTAGGGCTTCGATGACAGCACGTGGAGCCGTACAACCAATGTTAACATAGGATAACTACGCACATGGAAATAGTTTTTCACGATTAAGAATATTTTCTCAATGAAAGTTAACCTTTCTATGACATAATGTTTAACTAGATGTGTAGACTTGTTAAAAATGAAACAGGTGAAAACATATGCAATATCTTGAATGGACTGTGTAAGATGTGACGAATCGTCACATGCCGCTGGCCTGTGGCAGAGGTACTATACTACTCAAAAGAAGTTAAGGATCACCTGATTCTTTCATAATACTGTTGTTAATCTCGCATGTCATGACAGATGAACTTTACCACTATGAATGAATCGGGTGATCCTTAACTTCTTTTGAGTAGTATATGTTGGTCGCATGGAATGATGGGTAAGACAGTGTAACCCTCTCTGTGTATGTGAACTGATAACATTGCACCACAGACATGTCCCCTCCGTAGTCTAGTAGGCGTCCGCCCGGGGAGCAGGAGGCAGGTGGTTCCTACCCACGTTATGCCAAAAGACGGTAAAAGATGGTACTTTTTATCCGGCCTGGTGTCCCCTGACAGACGCTAGTCCGGACTAGTAGGAGTAGTGACAGAGACACAACCACGCGCGCACCATTTCACCGCAGCTATACTTGCTTTGTTGTGTCATGTGTGACACACGCTCAGGTGAAGTTGTATCTATAACAATAGGTGAAGGACCCACCTTAAGCCACGAGGCAGTGCGGGAACACCAGGAATCCGTTTTAACCCAAGTAAGTTTGTTTGTTTGTTGTTTAACGCCGCACTCAGCAATATTCCAGCTATATGACGGCGGTCTGTAAATAATGGAGTCTGGACCAGACGATCCACTGATTGACATCGTGAACATCGATCCACGCAATTGGAATCGTTGACAGGCATCAACCAAGTCAGCGAGCCTGACCACCCGACCTCGTTAGTCGCCTTTTACGACAAGCATAGTCGCCTTTTACGGCAAGCATGGGTTGCTGAAAACCTATTCTACCCCGGATGCACTCTCCTACCCAGCGTTCCATGCGGCCGGCAGTCAGCTAGCATAGTACCTCTGCCACAGGCCAGCGCCATGTGACGATTCGTCACATCTTTCACAGTCCATTCAAGATATTGCATATGCTTTTCATCCGTTTCATGTTTGACAAGTCTACACATTTTCATAAACAAATGTCAAAGAATGGTTAACTTTCATTGAGAAAGTATGCAAGTACGTAAAAATCTACTTGTTTTGCGTAGTTATCCTATGTTTACATTGGTTGTACGGCTCCACGTGCTGTCATCGAAGCCCAACGGAGAGCTAGCGACACGGTCACTTTGATGCATAAATATATATTGTCATGCAATTCACTGTCGCAGTTGTAGTAGAATATCTATATAGTTATGCAAAACAATATGTAAAGCGCCCCAAAATACTTGCATTAGTCCGTTCTATACTGATTTCTGAAAAAGCGCGTTTGTTTACAAACAAGAGAAAAGTCCGGTCACGTGATATGCAAATTAGCCTGTGGCAGTGGTGTTGTGCTGAGTCACCACTGCGACGGAGTGTGCCCCGGATGTTCACGGGTCAGCTTATACCTGCGATACAAGAGGACCCACCTTGTTGATGTGAACCCCCTTCATCTGCTCGAGTCCCCCTGTTTCGACGAAAGCAGCTTTTTGGCAGTGTACAACGTCGTCATCTTCGTCCATCGTCCACAGATTGATGACACTGACAGTGTTCAGGGATATACTAGAAACACGGGAGATCATGTATGCGGGAGTGATGAACATATTCACAAGATTATAATCAAGGGCGACAATCTAAACTAGTTAACACCTGTTGTGTTGTGTATGAAAGTGCTTTAGACGGGCTTTCACTTGATATCTACCATCCATGCGAAGTTTTTGTTTGACAACTATTTGTCAAATATCACCCTGTCCGAAATCTACCTTTCTAGCGTTGGTGAATGTTTCAGTTATACCGCGACCCATGACCATTGAAGGCCATTATATAACGCCGCACTCAGCAATATTCCCGCTATATGATGGCGGTCTGTAAATAATCGAGTCTGGACCAGACAATCCAGTGATTGATATCATGAGCATCGATATACGCAATTGGGATACGATGACATGCATCAACCAAGTCAGCGAGCCTGACCACCCGATCCCGTTAGTCGTCTCTTACGACAAGCATAGTCACCTCTTACGGCAGACATGGGCTGCTGAAGACCTATTCTACCCTGGCTCTTCACGGGTATGAAGGCCTTTGAACTCATCATTATCTACGGTCAATCCATGTATGTCGTGTGTAGCCGTGGGGTAATGGAGACATACCTGTAGACTGGCTTGAATAAAGTCAGTGCACTGCTGTTGGGCTTTCCTGTGTCATTTCGCCGACCGCCGTGTATTTTCACTTGCAGATGATAGGACGAGTCTCTCGTTCCTTGAACACTGTTCAAGTGTTTCCAGTAATTGCCCTCTAATCTGAAATGGCACATAAATGACTTCATGTACGCATGATGGCCGCAGGCAGATTGACAGAGTGTTTTGTCCTCACAGAATGCATCAGTAACGAAGAAACGTACCAACTTTACTGTCTCAATGTGGTTTAAGCATATTTTTTCATGATGAAATGGATTGGGCACAAGCTATCACAACACAGAAGACTCTCTCCGAAAGTATTAACAACAAATAAATACAAGTTTCAAAATGGAAGACAATACGGGAGAAGAAAAGAGGAGAGAAATAAGAAACCTAATATATATTTGTATCAGCTTCATAGACCTTAACCACATAGCATGTTTGTACCAAAAATATGCTCAAATTTTCATTTCTGACAAGTTCTGTCCATAAAATGGTCACATCCAAAAATGTCTTTGCTTTCGTTAAAACCCATTGAACATACACATATGCCTATAGGGGTAGTTATTAGTGACAGTATGTACTTTGCACCAAGATTATATATCTTACTAGAAGGGCCAAGACAGTATGATGCCTACGACATCGGACCACGAGTATTTGCTATGCATCGATAATTCAAACTATTGTTGCACCCATAATCAAACATATATGAAGATATCAATTGTTCAAATCGAAACTGGTTAGAAGCGATCCCCGGGATTAATTAATCCATTGGATGGGGTAACTGGGCTCTTTGAATTCTTTGAATGTGTTCTCCGATGTTTTCAGTCGCTTAAACTAAACTATCGTCGTTTTTTCATAAAGAACTAGACTAAATAAAGATAACCTTGCGTTCGTTTTTGTTTGTTGGTTTGTTTGTTATGTTGTATAACGCCGCACTGAGCAATATTCCAGCAGTATGGCGGCGGTTTAAAACTTTGTGTAAATTTACGAGTGTATCCATTCGAAACAAAATGTTCCATCAGGGCATAATCAGAGTTCACTCAACTACTGAACTTTGGAAATGGCGGACATTACTGAAGATAGCACCAAGAGTGGATACCTGTATTGCTGGAAGGGAAAAGCAGCATCGCACTATTGCAAAAGTATCGCGAGAGTTGCTTTCACAATACTTGTGGTCACCCTATTGTATGTATCCAGACATTACCCACGTACACGATATCTGTGGATGCTGCCAGAGGGTCGATGGTGACCTCGAAGCCGCCATTTTCTAGCTCCCACTTGAGATGCTCGTTGATGCCCACCAGAGTGCTCAGCAGCTGACCATTGACAGCGGAGGTCACATCTATGCTTTTCGCGATCTCCTTGGTCCAAGTCCCGAAATGCACAGGCCCCTTTGACGCCAAGACTTGTTCTCTTGTTGACGTTGTGTTTCTCCCAATCTGTGTTCTGTCACAATGAGCACCACAAGGTCCAAAGCCCAACTCCCACCCAAGTAAAGTCCTGATCTTGACCTGCACGGTAGATGCGGAGTAAATACGAAGCACGGTTCACTCCAGATATAACAAACCATTGCCCCACAAACCAACTTTCAACTCAAGCAGTAATATTAAAATGTGTTTGTTTTGTTTGTTTGTTGTTCAACGCCGCACTCGGCAATATTCCAGCTATATGACGGCGGTCTGTAAATAATCGAGTCTGGACCATACAATCCAGTGATTGACATCATGAGCATCGATCCACTCAATTGGGATACGATGGCTTTCGCAAAAGCAAGGTGTTAGCTGACTTGGTTGATGCATGTCATCGTATCCCAATCGCTAAGATCGATGCTCATGATGTCAATCACTGGATTGTCTGGTCCAGACCCGATTATTTACAGACCACCGCTACATAGCTGGTATATTGTTGCGTGCAGCGTAAATAACAAATAAACAAACAAACAAGGTAGAAACTGCGAAAAAATACTAAAAGTGTAAGCCTCCTTTGGACATTAAAGAATCTTTGGAATGAAGTCTAGGTTGTTTCCTTCAGATACCGAGAAGGGTTAGGATTGGGTTCGAACATACACCTTCATTCTATCCGGGTTGGATGTTGTTAAGTTGTATATATTACGAGATAATCATACTGTTTTCTAAACCACATCGCGCTTAATTCTACATTTAGAAACATTACTCGTTTATGACTTTAATATCATCTTCAATTCAGTTTTGGCATCTGGATGGGTCTACACACATGAGGGATTAGATTAGAAACGAGTACAGAATGTTATGATTCCCATCTGTATCGTTACACGTCTGTAGATTAACAAAATTGACCTCACTTACTCGTGTTTCATTGATGAAGGTAAAGCTGAGAGAACCTCCAGAGAAATGATGTGTTTCATCAGCCAGCACAGGCACTCGGAGACACAAGAGACACAAGAGACAAAGGAACGAAAGATGCCTCATCTCCTGAATAATGAAGTTATTATTTCACAGAAGTAACCAAACCGTGTCCACAGGCCCACGTCATGCTACATTGTCCACAAGCAGGGGTGACATTTATCTCAACGAATATACGTTTTGACTTTAGTTTACTTTAACTTGAAAAGCCTTTTCTGTGTAGATATGTGGAATGGATGATAAATCCTTGACATATTATGTCATCTCTAAATTCCATCATGAGTGAGTGAGTGAGTTGGATTTAACGCCGCTTTTAACAATATTCCAGTTATATCACAGCGTGTCAGCTTAATGTGGGATTAAAGCCCTAAGAAATGCAGGTCTCAGACGTTTACCACGGGTATGGTGCTGACAAACATAGAAACGTTAACATAATCGGGGCGAACCGGGATTCGAACCCACAAACATAGGTTTCTGGCGTGCCCAAGGGACGCAACTCTGCAGAGCGAATCGCGGTGCCTTAGACGACTGTGCCACCCGTTCCCCCAAATTCCATCATGAACATGAGCATGAGGCAATGAGTGTGTGCAATGATCAGCATTTCAGGGTTTGCGCGGCTTGAACAGAACGTTTAACTCCCTAAGTTGCCATTACCTGTAATGGTGAAACTCACGAGCTCGTATATATAGATAGACCAAGGATCATAATCGGGACAAATTCAAAATAACGACCACCGGATCCTGGCACGACACAACAAAACAATACCCCATGTACTTCTCTGCTTTTATCGTATTCCCATGTATGTATGATATTCGAGTTTACTAAATGAAAATTTCCTAATTTACTAAATTATACATTGAAGAAATGACTTTACCGTAACATGCAAGACCATTTGATGGAAGGTAATTTGTATCTAAAACGATAAATACATGCTTTTAATTGATTAACTATTCTACAGAAAATGAATAATATGAAAACGCATTGCTAAAATATATGTCATAAAAGAAACATAATTCAATCCTGAAAAATTACCGATATAAAAACAAATTTAGTCCGCAAATATTTATATAAACGAGAAGTATTTGCTTCTCTGTAAGATCAGTGCACTGCACTTGCTATGAATCCCAACGTACCTGAAGCTTGGATGTTAGAGACCGGAACCGTATTACAATAAGTGACTTGCTGGCTCGGAAATGATCATCAAGAAGTGCTAACAGCACTCTGTGACCAATCACACGAGGAGCACGTCTCTAGTTATCTGTGGACCCAAATAAATATTCATGGTATTACCAACTTTGACAAAGGCATCTTTAATATGATCGCTGTCAGTGTTATTAACGGGGCTAAAGCCTCATGCGATCCCCAGTTATCTGGTTGGCTTGTTGTTGGAAGAGATAGTTGTGTCTCTTGGCTGGTTGGTTGATTCTGTGTTGTGTCAGGCTCTTACCGCGTGTACTGTCCGGAAACTGGCGTGTCTAATTAATGTCTAATGTCATCAATAAGTTGTCATAGTAAACTGTACTTGAGAAGCTTATACGTGTCTGTGTATAATCACGAATTAGTTGCGCATCACCTGCTTTCCCATGTGGTGTAAGTGACGTATCACCTGCTTTCCCATGTGGTGTAAGTGACGAATCAACTACTTTCCTGTGAAGTGTTAATGACTTATCAACCACTTTTTCGTGTCGTGAATGACGTATCAACTACTTTCTCGTGTGGTGTTGATGACGTATCAACTACTTTCTCGTGTGGTGTTGATGACGTATCAACCACTTTCTCGTGTGGTGTTGATGACGTATCAACCACTTTCCCGTGGGGTATTAGTGATGCATCAACTACTTTCTCGTGTGTTGTCAGTGACGCGTCAACTACTTTCCCGTGTGTTGTCAGTGATGCGTCAACTACTTTCCAATGTGTTGTCAGTGATGCGTCAACTACTTTCCCGTGTGTTGTCAGTGACGCGTCAACTACTTTCCCGTGTGTTGTCAGTGATGCGTCAACTACTTTCCCGTGTGTTGTCAGTGATGCGTCAACTACTTTCCCGTGTGTTGTCAGTGATGCGTCAACTACTTTCCCGTGTGTTGTCAGTGATGCGTCAACTACTTTCCCGTGTGTTGTCAGTGATGCGTCAACTACTTTCCCGTGTGTTGTCAGTGATGCGTCAACTACTTTCCCGTGTGTTGTCAGTGATGCGTCAACTACTTTCCCGTGTGTTGTCAGTGATGCGTCAACTACTTTCCCGTGTGTTGTCAGTGATGCGTCAACTACTTTCCCGTGTGTTGTCAGTGATGCGTCAACTACTTTCCCGTGTGTTGTCAGTGATGCGTCAACTACTTTCCCGTGTGTTGTCAGTGATGCGTCATCTACTTTCCCGTGTATTGTCAGTGATGCGTCAACTACTTTCCCGTGTGTTGTCAGTGATGCGTCAACTACTTTCCCGTGTGTTGTCAGTGATGCGTCAACTACTTTCCCGTGTGTTGTCAGTGATGCGTCAACTACTTTCCTGTGTGTTGTCAGTGATGCGTCAACTACTTTCCCGTGTGTTGTCAGTGACGCGTCAACTACTTTCCCGTGTGTTGTCAGTGATGCGTCAACTACTTTCCCGTGTGTTGTCAGTGATGCGTCAACTACTTTCCCGTGTGTTGTCAGTGATGCGTCAACTACTTTCCCGTGTGTTGTCAGTGATGCGTCAACTACTTTCCCGTGTGTTGTCAGTGATGCGTCAACTACTTTCCAATGTGTTGTCAGTGATGCGTCAACTACTTTCCCGTGTGTTGTCAGTGATGCGTCAACTACTTTCCCGTGTGTTGTCAGTGATGCGTCAACTACTTTCCCGTGTGTTGTCAGTGATGCGTCATCTACTTTCCCGTGTATTGTCAGTGATGCGTCAACTACTTTCCCGTGTGTTGTCAGTGATGCGTCAACTACTTTCCCGTGTGTTGTCAGTGATGCGTCAACTACTTTCCTGTGTGTTGTCAGTGATGCGTCAACTACTTTCCCGTGTGTTGTCAGTGACGCGTCAACTACTTTCCCGTGTGTTGTCAGTGATGCGTCAACTACTTTCCCGTGTGTTGTCAGTGATGCGTCAACTACTTTCCCGTGTGTTGTCAGTGATGCGTCAACTACTTTCTCGTGTGTTGTCAGCGATGCGTCAACTACTTTCCTTTGTGGTGTAAGTGACGCATCAGGTTCTATCCAGCGTGGTGTAAGTGACGCATCAGGTTCTATTCAGCGTGGTGTAAGTGACGCATCAGGTTCTATCCAGTGTGATGTAAGTGACGCATCAGGTTCTATCCAGCGTAGTGTGACTGACGCATCAGGTTCTATCCAGCGTGATGTAAGTGACGCATCAGGTTCTGTCCAGCGTGGTGTTACTGGCGCATCAGGTTCTATCCAGCGTGATGTAAGTGACGCATCAGGTTCTATCCAGCGTGATGTGAGTGAAGCATCAGGTTCTATCCAGCGTGGTGTGACTGGCGCATCAGGTTCTATCCAGTGTGATGTAAGTGACGCATCAGGCTCTGTCAAGCGTGGTGTGATTTAAGCATCAGGTTCTATCCAGCGTGGTGTGACTGACGCATCAGGTTCTATCCAGCGTGATGTCAGTGACGCATCAGGTTCTATCCAGTGTGGTGTGACTGACGCATCAGGTTCTATCCAGCGTGATGTAAGTGACGCATCAGGTTCTATCCAGCGTGATGTAAGTGACGCATCAGGTTCTATCCAGTGTGATGTAAGTGACGCATCAGGTTCTATCCAGCGTGGTGTGACTGGCGCATCAGGTTCTATCCAGTGTGGTGTAAGTGGCGCATCAGGTTCTTTTAAGTGCATAATAAGTGACGCATCAGGTTCTATCCAGTGTGATGTAGGTGGCGCATTAGGCTAGAGCATATCACTGACACTGTCCTCACAAATAGAAGCCATTTCCCATTGTAATAGCCTTGGGAAACTGTGCCCAATACAACTATCAGACTATACCCAATACAACCATCATATTGTCGAGGACCGCCTCCGTGGTCTAGTCGGAGAGCGGAAGATTCGGGGTTCGATCCCCGGCCGCGTCATACCAAAAGACGTTAAAAGATGGTACTTGGTGTTACCCTGTCTGGCGCTCGGCATTAAGGGGCTAAAACAAGGACTGGTCGGCTCGGAGTCAGTATACTGTGTCTGAGTGGGGTATTCATGTTAAACTGCGGCATGGTTTCTCAGTGAGCTAGCACTATAAATCGGCATCAGTCCGGACTAGTACAAGCAGCCACACAAACACACACACACGTACATGCACGTCGCTATATAAGTGCAATAATCTTGGACGCGACGTTAAACCCCATTTCACCTATTGTATTGTACCAAATACAACCATCAGAATGTATCCAATACAACCATCACACTATATCCAATACAACCACGAAGCTATACCCAATACAATCATCAGACTGTACCAAATACAACAATCCGGCTGTACCCACTATTACACCATAAAGGATAGTCCAAAGTTACGAAGGTCGCAGTCGTTTCAATCCCCGAAATCCACGAGTATGAACTGGCATTCGAACCCCGGATCTAGGCACTGGTAAGGGAGACAAGTCTGTAATGTGAAACAAAGTGACAATGCGATCATCTTCTCTGTTCATTTAACAAATTCACCCTGGGGATTCCGGGTTAGAACTGGACCCCAGTAACCTATGCTTGTCTTACCAGGTTATCAAAAGAATCGGGTGGTCAGGCTCGGGGACTTGGTTGATTGCGTGTCATTGTACCCAGGCCGCGTGGATCGTTTTTCACAATATCAATCACTGAATTGTCTGGTCGAGACTCGAGCATTTATAGGTCGCACTCTCACTCTCACTCTCACTCTCACTGGAATTTTGCCGAGTACGGCGTTAAACATCAAACAAACACTCAACACCTTAATGTCAACTTTTGCACTACATGGATTATAAGCTCTGTGTGTTCGGGGGTAAAGTTCGTTGATCAGAATAAGACCTCCAAGGGATCAATATTTGTAATATTAGCTGAAATGGAGAGGTGAATATCCCCCTCTTGGTGTCAGTGTCAGGTATTATAACCACAGACTAAATACCTGAGATGGCCCTTGTCACCTGATAGGCAGCGATAATACCTGTGGTCCTGTCATAAGATAACATGTAGCGTTGGAGTGCGAGGATTAAGACGCAAGGAGGGGAATAACACTTTATTACCTAATCAATAAAGTTTTCAAATAAGATATAACATTTTATCCAATAGGGTTAGGACAATAAGTATGTTCTTTTTTAATACTTAGCATATGTAAAATTACGAATGTGAACAACGTCATAAGAAACATAGTTGCTGTTGTAGTTATCATAAAGGTCAAATGTCAGGAAGTGGCTGATTGGATGTCATCGTACAGCGCAGTGCGGCATAAAACATCATCCATTCACTCTATTGTCTTGGTTATTGCGACACGTCGAGATTACATGTAAGTCATCTTGAAACTGATGTTTTCTCTTAGAGGTAGGGGCGGCGGGGTACCCTAGTGGTTTAAGAGTATCCACATGGGTAAATTGTGTGAAGCCCATTTCTGGTGCCCCACGCCGTGATATTGCTGGAATATTGTTAAACGCGACGTAAAGCCATACTCACTTACACAATCTCTCAGGGGTAAGGCGGTTATCAATTCTTAGCTCATTTTCTCTTACAATCAACGGTGTACTAGTCATACGTCTGTAATGAACAAAGGATGGCGTGGTAGCCTAGCGGTTAAAGCGTTTACTCCTTACACCGAAAACCCGGGTTTGAGTCTCCACACGGTACAGTGCACGAGGCCCACAGTTGACGTTCCCCGTCGTGATGTTGCTGGAATACTGCCAAAGGCAGCGTAAAGCCAAATTAACTAGCTACATATTCCTATTTGTAACCATGTCCTGAACGTCAGGTCTCACTCGTGTCTTCCATACGACGTGGTCGTGGACGGCCCACCCACGTGGTGCACAAGGCGAGATAACGGTCCCCGACCCTTCCAGGGGGTATGGACAGGTGCGTTGCTTACATCAGCAAGTACACTGTCGGGACCTTGGCTATCTCACTGACCTCTGGGCGGAATGCATAGACGTACCGATACCAAGGCCGTAGTGACAGGGGAGGGGTGGGGGTGGGTGGGTGCGAATATTTGTACAAGTATCACTTGTCCCAAACTTGATTCACTAAGGGGCGACTAACGGGATTGGGTGGTCAGGCTCGCTGACTTTGTTGATGCATGTCATCGATCCCAATTGCGTGGATCGATGCTCATGATATCAATCACTGGATTGTCTGGTCCAGACTCGATTATTTACATATAGCTGGAATATTGCTGAGTGCGGCGTAAAACATCAAATCAATCAATCAATCAATCAATCAATCAAATATTTTTCACAGCGGGCACGGGTGGCCCAGTCGTCTAAGGCGCCGCGTCCCTTGGGCACGCAAGAAACCTATGACTGTGGGTTCGAATCCCCGTTCACCCCGATTATGTTTATAGGTTTGTCAGCACCATACCCGTTCTCGTGGGTTGCACTAAAGTGGTAAACGGCTGAGACCTGCATTACTTCAGGCTTTCCTCCCACATTAAGCTGACACGCCGTGATATAACTGGAATACTGTTAAAAGCGGCGTTAAACCCAACTCAATCACGCACTCATTTTTCACATTCATCTATAAATAGCAGACGACAGAAAACCAACTTAGAGTTATCCCACTAGTTCCATTACATTCGGAAAATATCGTACACATCCGGAGAATGGCGTCTTACATAATTAATTCGAGAAATACCGACATGCATACATGTATGGCGACATTCCACATTAAACCACGGTGCTATTAATGTGTCTCTTCTGTGTCAGCTGATTATTAGTGTAATCAAACGAATAAATAATTAAAGAGTCATGAGGGTTATGCGAATAGATGTCGCCTTGGTGCCGTCTTAGATCAAAACAAGTGGTACTTGGATCTGCATAAAGAGCAATATGGCCTTATCATGGTTTGAGGGATGAAGTGCATCCGATTGGTACAATGCGAATGCTCTATTTCGTGTATATACTAATATCCTAACACACATCCTTGTTCACTCAAATGTATACCAAATAAGTTGTGTTGTGTATACTAAATCCCCCGCGTACTGTTTAGTGAACCTTGAAGGTGTTCTAATGGCTTGAGGGAAATAAGAAAGGAAACGTCTTTGACTGTGTGATTAATTTCTCGTTGTTACAAAACCTGTTTCCTGGAGGCAAAGAGACTTGCCTGTTGTCTGTCCTCGGGTGAACTGTAGAGGGCCAGTCAAAACAATGTCACGTGACTCTTTGCGTCCAGGAAACAGGTTTTGTAATAACAAACATTCTTGCACCTGTAGTCTACATCGTTCTCGCTACCGCTGGCGAGCTATTTTAAACGTGACGTCATGCCCGATGCTGCTTATTAAATCACCCTTAACGAAGCGTGAGGTGGCGTTTAACGCCCAAATTGTAGTGTGATACAAACTATGTTGATGTACCGTAACGTTTACATGCACATCTGTAATAACATGGCCATTGTGAACTATGTGCCAGTGGCCTCTCTTCACTGAATAAACAGCTTTACCTGCACATGCATAGACATCTTAGGAAACAAGTAATAACTGAGTTTTCTGTCTGGACATCTTCCACTCAACCAAGTCAAACTTGCGTCTGAAATACATAGCTTCGCGAAATGAATAGACAGACGACGCAAAACTAGCCATATATAGTAAGGATAAGAATGTATAGATGAACAACTTCTTTATTACAATTAAGAGCGACGTTTCGGTGTAGGTTCTAACACCGTTATCAAGTGAGCCTACACCGAAACGTTGCTCTTAATTGTAATAAAGAAGTTGTTCATCCATAAATTCTTATCCTTACTTAGTACTCCAACTTCTAAATGACTATCAAAGAAGTTAGCCATGCATAGTACGCCTTAGTATTTGTCACGTGGTCCTTCTCACGGAGAGCAGGACCACCTACATTGCTTGTATGAAGGTATAGGCAGGACATTGCTTGTGAAGCCCCTCTACCCAACATGGCCCAAACTGCGTGCAACGTTGGCATCGCGGTGAGCGTGATCGCGTCCATCTTTTTGGCTGTTGGCCTCGGAGCTACTCTGTATGTCACCACAACTGGTAGCGGCAGCAACGGGAACACCACCACCACCACAAGATCAACCACTCCGTCCACAACACCAGGGTAAGACGAGCGTCACCCAATCCATCCCGTGTCTCTCAGCGAGGTCATGCTTCTTTTTCTGTGTTCGCTTAACCATTGGAGTTATCCAAATGTCGTCGCATTTTGTTTGGTGATATAGCCTCAATGCCAGTGGAAGTAATTGCTAAATGCAAGGAAACTAGTAGTATTATGCACAGCTACATCATTTGAAATAGCACATAACAACATTATTTCTATACATGTGCAATTAAATAGGCAGATATTTTTATACATTCCCAGCCCTTCAATGCGTTTAACATTTTGCAAAGTTATAACTGATAACTGATTTCTCTCGTAATTCAAACTAATTTGCTTCAGTGTAAACTTAAAACTGTAATATACTAACACAGGTTAACTCGCAATTTGCTGATCTATATACGGGGAAACCTCGTTAACTCGAAGTTCTGTGGGACATCGAACACATTTCGAGTTATCCGTATTTTGAGGTTTACAACGATTTTGCTGATGTCATAAAGTGTCATCTGTTTAATTGTTATCCCCAGATGACGTAGATAGATGTTAATCGTATTTCAGTAATTGCTTTGCTCTGTAGCGTTTTTTAGGATATACTTGATAGTACATTCGCCAGACTACAATCGGGTCGACTTCTTGCTATGGAGATCTGTTCATGTGTAGACACGGAATGCAGACGATCTAACAATGCTGCGCCGCGCGTGAATAAACACAGACCATCCAGTGCACGCGATGTGATATAGCCGTGTCTGGTGACCTGAGGTAGATACATGCACACATTTCACGACTGTTTACTCTGCCGTGATTGGCTACGCACGACCAGGAAGTTAAAAACTACCGAGTAAATCAGATGTAGGTAATATATATGTACAGAATGTCCAGTGCACCAAGGCAAAGAAAACCATATCTTTCACATCCACTCAAGTTACTATCAGCCTTTCGATCGCAAGTCATTTGAGGGAATGCGCAATGGAATTTTAGTCTCACGTTCTTCAAGTTAGATGTATTTGAGTTGAACATCATTCTGGTTGAGTGTGTTTCAGGCCTAGATTGTGTTCCTAAATCGTCTTAACGACGTTTCATGGCTTCCCATTACATCTTCATCAGGTCAACATCGTGTCATTGTTATCGCGCTTGTCAATTCAACGGGGTAACAACGTTTCATTGTTATCTCATACCCATTCAACAGGTCAACAACGTTTCATTGTTATCTCTTGCCCATTCAACAGGTCAACAACGTTTCATTGATATCTCATCCAAATTCAACAGGTCAACAACGTTTCATTGTTATCTCTTGCCCATTCAACAGGTCAACAACGTTTCATTGTTATCTCTTGCACATTCAACGGGCTAACAACGTTTCATTGTTATCCTTGCCCATTCAACAGGTCAACAACGTTATATTGTTATTCCTTGCCCATTCAACAGGCCAACAACGTTTCATTGTTATCTCATACCCATTCAACAGGTCAACAACGTTTCATTGTTATCTCATACCCATTCAACAGGTCAACAACGTTTCATTGTTATCTCATACCCATTCAACAGGTCAACAACGTTTCATCGTTATCTCTTGCACATTCAACGGGCTAACAACGTTTCATTGTTATCCCTTGCCCATTCAACAGGTCAACAACGTTTCATTGTTATCTCTTGCCCATTCAACAGGTCAACAACGTTTCATTGTTATCTCTTGCACATTCAACGGGCTAACAACGTTTCATTGTTATCCTTGCCCATTCAACAGGTCAACAACGTTTCATTGTTATCCCTTGCCCATTCAACAGGTCAAAAGCGTTTCATTGTTATCTCATCCAAATTCAACAGGTCAACAACGTTATATTGTTATTCCTTGCCCATTCAACAGGCCAACAACGTTTCATTGTTATCTCATACCCATTCAACAGGTCAACAACGTTTCATTGTTATCTCATATCCTTTCAACAGGTCAACAACGTTTCATTGTTATCTCATCCAAATTCAACAGGCCAACAACGTTTCATTGTTATCTCATACCCATTCAACAGGTCAACAACGTTTCATTGTTATCTCATCCAAATTCAACAGGTCAACAAAGTTTCATTGTTATCTCTTGCCCATTCAACAGGTCAACAACGTTTCATTGTTATCTCATACCCATTCAACAGGTCAACAACGTTTCATTGTTATCTCATATCCTTTCAACAGGTCAACAACGTTTCATTGTTATCTCTCGCCCATTGAACGGGTTAACAACGTTTTTATTGTTATCCCTTGCCCATTCAACAGGTCAAAAGCGTTTCATTGTTATCTCATCCAAATTCAACAGGCCAACAACGTTTCATTGTTATCTCATACCCATTCAACAGGTCAACAACGTTTCAATGTTATCTCATCCAAATTCAACAGGTCAACAACGTTTCATTGTTATCTCTTGCCCATTCAACAGGTCAACAACGTTTCATTGTTATCTCATACCCATTCAACAGGTCAACAACGTTTCATTGTTATCTCATCCAAATTCAACAGGTCAGCAACGTTTCACTGTTATCTCCTGCCCATTCAACAGGTCAACAACATTTCATTGTTATCCTTGCCCATTCAACAGGTCAAAAGCGTTTCATTGTTATCTCATCCAAATTCAACAGGTCAACAACGTTATATTGTTATTCCTTGCCCATTCAACAGGCCAACAACGTTTCATTGTTATCTCATACCCATTCAACAGGTCAACAACGTTTCATTGTTATCTCATATCCTTTCAACAGGTCAACAACGTTTCATTGTTATCTCATCCAAATTCAACAGGCCAACAACGTTTCATTGTTATCTCATACCCATTCAACAGGTCAACAACGTTTCATTGTTATCTCATCCAAATTCAACAGGTCAACAACGTTTCATTGTTATCTCTTGCCCATTCAACAGGTCAACAACGTTTCATTGTTATCTCATACCCATTCAACAGGTCAACAACGTTTCATTGTTATCTCATATCCTTTCAACAGGTCAACAACGTTTCATTGTTATCTCTTGCCCATTCAACAGGTCAACAACGTTTCATTGTTATCTCATATCCTTTCAACAGGTCAACAACGTTTCATTGTTATCTCATATCCTTTCAACAGGTCAACAACGTTTCATTGTTATCTCTTGCCCATTGAACGGGTTAACAACGTTTTTATTGTTATCCCTTGCCCATTCAACAGGTCAAAAGCGTTTCATTGTTATCTCATCCAAATTCAACAGGTCAACAACGTTTCATTGTTATCTCATACCCATTCAACAGGTCAACAACGTTTCATTGTTATCTCATCCAAATTCAACAGGTCAACAAAGTTTCATTGTTATCTCTTGCCCATTCAACAGGTCAACAACGTTTCATTGTTATCTCATACCCATTCAACAGGTCAACAACGTTTCATTGTTATCTCATATCCTTTCAACAGGTCAACAACGTTTCATTGTTATCTCATACCCATTCAACAGGTCAACAACGTTTCATTGTTATCTCATCCAAATTCAACAGGTCAGCAACGTTTCACTGTTATCTCCTGCCCATTCAACAGGTCAACAACATTTCATTGTTATCCTTGCCCATTCAACAGGTCAAAAGCGTTTCATTGTTATCTCATCCAAATTCAACAGGTCAACAACGTTATATTGTTATTCCTTGCCCATTCAACAGGCCAACAACGTTTCATTGTTATCTCATACCCATTCAACAGGTCAACAACGTTTCATTGTTATCTCATATCCTTTCAACAGGTCAACAACGTTTCATTGTTATCTCATCCAAATTCAACAGGCCAACAACGTTTCATTGTTATCTCATACCCATTCAACAGGTCAACAACGTTTCATTGTTATCTCATCCAAATTCAACAGGTCAACAACGTTTCATTGTTATCTCTTGCCCATTCAACAGGTCAACAACGTTTCATTGTTATCTCATACCCATTCAACAGGTCAACAACGTTTCATTGTTATCTCATATCCTTTCAACAGGTCAACAACGTTTCATTGTTATCTCTTGCCCATTCAACAGGTCAACAACGTTTCATTGTTATCTCATATCCTTTCAACAGGTCAACAACGTTTCATTGTTATCTCATATCCTTTCAACAGGTCAACAACGTTTCATTGTTATCTCTTGCCCATTGAACGGGTTAACAACGTTTTTATTGTTATCCCTTGCCCATTCAACAGGTCAAAAGCGTTTCATTGTTATCTCATCCAAATTCAACAGGTCAACAACGTTTCATTGTTATCTCATACCCATTCAACAGGTCAACAACGTTTCATTGTTATCTCATCCAAATTCAACAGGTCAACAAAGTTTCATTGTTATCTCTTGCCCATTCAACAGGTCAACAACGTTTCATTGTTATCTCATACCCATTCAACAGGTCAACAACGTTTCATTGTTATCTCATATCCTTTCAACAGGTCAACAACGTTTCATTGTTATCTCTCGCCCATTGAACGGGTTAACAACGTTTTTATTGTTATCCCTTGCCCATTCAACAGGTCAAAAGCGTTTCATTGTTATCTCATCCAAATTCAACAGGCCAACAACGTTTCATTGTTATCTCATACCCATTCAACAGGTCAACAACGTTTCATTGTTATCTCATCCAAATTCAACAGGTCAACAACGTTTCATTGTTATCTCTTGCCCATTCAACAGGTCAACAACGTTTCATTGTTATCTCATACCCATTCAACAGGTCAACAACGTTTCATTGTTATCTCATCCAAATTCAACAGGTCAGCAACGTTTCACTGTTATCTCCTGCCCATTCAACAGGTCAACAACATTTCATTGTTATCCTTGCCCATTCAACAGGTCAAAAGCGTTTCATTGTTATCTCATCCAAATTCAACAGGTCAACAACGTTATATTGTTATTCCTTGCCCATTCAACAGGCCAACAACGTTTCATTGTTATCTCATACCCATTCAACAGGTCAACAACGTTTCATTGTTATCTCATCCAAATTCAACAGGTCAGCAACGTTTCACTGTTATCTCCTGCCCATTCAACAGGTCAACAACGTTTCATTGTTATCCTTGCCCATTCAACAGGTCAACAACGTTTCATTGTTATCTCTTGCCCATTCAACAGGTCAACAACGTTTCATTGTTATCCCTTGCCCATTCAACAGGTCAAAAGCGTTTCATTGTTATCTCTTGCCCATTCAACAGGTCAACAACGTTATATTGTTATTCCTTGCCCATTCAACAGGCCAACAACGTTTCATTGTTATTTCATACCCATTCAACAGGTCAACAGCGTTTCATTGTTATCCCTTGCCCATTCAACAGGTCAACAACGTTTCATTGTTATCTCTTGCCCATTCAACGGGCTAACAACGTCTCATTGTTATCCTTGCCCATTCAACAGGTCAACAACATTTCATTGTTATCTCTTGCCCATTCAACAGGTCAACAACGTTTCATTGTTATCCCTTGCCCATTCAACAGGTCAAAAGCGTTTCATTGTTATCTCATCCAAATTCAACAGGTCAACAACGTTATATTGTTATTCCTTGCCCATTCAACAGGCCAACAACGTTTCATTGTTATCTCATACCCATTCAACAGGTCAACAACGTTTCATTGTTATCTCATATCCTTTCAACAGGTCAACAACGTTTCATTGTTATCTCTTGCCCATTGAACGGGTTAACAACGTTTTTATTGTTATCTCTTGCCCATTCAACAGGTCAAAAGCGTTTCATTGTTATCTCATCCAAATTCAACAGGTCAACAACGTATTATTGTTATCTCTTGCCCATTCAACTGGTCAACAACGTTTCATTGTTATCTCATACCCATTCAACAAGTCAACAACGTTTCATTGTTATCTCATACCCATTCAACAGGTCAACAACGTTTTATTGATATCTCATCCAAATTCAACAGGTCAGCAACGTTTCATTGTTATTTCCTGCCCATTCAACAGGTCAACAACGTTTCATTGTTATCTCTTGCACATTCAACGGGCTAACAACGTTTCATTGTTATCCTTGCCCATTCAACAGGTCAACAACGTTTCATTGTTATCTCTTGCCCATTCAACAGGTCAACAACGTTTCATTGTTATCCCTTGCCCATTCAACAGGTCAAAAGCGTTTCATTGTTATCTCATCCAAATTCAACAGGTCAACAACGTTATATTGTTATTCCTTGCCCATTCAACAGGCCAACAACGTTTCATTGTTATCTCATACCCATTCAACAAGTCAACAACGTTTCATTGTTATCTCATACCAATTCAACAGGTCAACAACGTTTCATTGTTATCTCATATCCTTTCAACAGGTCAATAACGTTTCATTCTTATCTCTTGCCCATTGAACGGGTTAACAACGTTTCATTGTTATCCCTTGCCCATTCAACAGGTCAAAAGCGTTTCGTTGTTATCTCATCCAAATTCAACAGGTCAACAACGTATTATTGTTATCTCATACCCATTCAACAGGTCAACAACGTTTCATTGTTATCTCATATCCTTTCAACAGGTCAACAACGTTTCATTGTTATCTCTTGCCCATTGAACGGGTTAACAACGTTTTTATTGTTATCCCTTGCCCATTCAACAGGTCAAAAGCGTTTCATTGTTATCTCATCCAAATTCAACAGGTCAACAACGTATTATTGTTATCTCTTGCCCATTCAACTGGTCAACAACGTTTCATTGTTATCTCATACCCATTCAACAGGTCAACAACGTTTCATTGTTATCTCATACCCATTCAACAGGTCAACAACGTTTTATTGATATCTCATCCAAATTCAACAGGTCAGCAACGTTTCATTGTTATTTCCTGCCCATTCAACAGGTCAACAACGTTTCATTGTTATCTCTTGCACATTCAACGGGCTAACAACGTTTCATTGTTATCCTTGCCCATTCAACAGGTCAACAACGTTTCATTGTTATCTCTTGCCCATTCAACAGGTCAACAACGTTTCATTGTTATCCCTTGCCCATTCAACAGGTCAAAAGCGTTTCATTGTTATCTCATCCAAATTCAACAGGTCAACAACGTTATATTGTTATTCCTTGCCCATTCAACAGGCCAACAACGTTTCATTGTTATCTCATACCCATTCAACAAGTCAACAACGTTTCATTGTTATCTCATACCAATTCAACAGGTCAACAACGTTTCATTGTTATCTCATACCCATTCAACAGGTCAACAACGTTTTATTGATATCTCATCCAAATTCAACAGGTCAGCAACGTTTCATTGTTATTTCCTGCCCATTCAACAGGTCAACAACGTTTCATTGTTATCTCTTGCACATTCAACGGGCTAACAACGTTTCATTGTTATCCTTGCCCATTCAACAGGTCAACAACGTTTCATTGTTATCTCTTGCCCATTCAACAGGTCAACAACGTTTCATTGTTATCCCTTGCCCATTCAACAGGTCAAAAGCGTTTCATTGTTATCTCATCCAAATTCAACAGGTCAACAACGTTATATTGTTATTCCTTGCCCATTCAACAGGCCAACAACGTTTCATTGTTATCTCATACCCATTCAACAAGTCAACAACGTTTCATTGTTATCTCATACCAATTCAACAGGTCAACAACGTTTCATTGTTATCTCATATCCTTTCAACAGGTCAACAACGTTTCATTGTTATCTCTTGCCCATTGAACGGGTTAACAACGTTTCATTGTTATCCCTTGCCCATTCAACAGGTCAAAAGCGTTTCGTTGTTATCTCATCCAAATTCAACAGGTCAACAACGTTATATTGTTATTCCTTGCCCATTCAACAGGCCAACAACGTTTCATTGTTATCTCATACCCATTCAACAAGTCAACAACGTTTCATTGTTATCTCATACCAATTCAACAGGTCAACAACGTTTCATTGTTATCTCATATCCTTTCAACAGGTCAACAACGTTTCATTGTTATCTCTTGCCCATTGAACGGGTTAACAACGTTTCATTGTTATCCCTTGCCCATTCAACAGGTCAAAAGCGTTTCGTTGTTATCTCATCCAAATTCAACAGGTCAACAACGTATTATTGTTATCTCTTGCCCATTCAACAGGTCAACAACGTTTCATTGTTATTTCATACCCATTCAACAGGTCAACAACGTTTCATTGTTATCTCATACCCATTCAATAGGTCAACAACGTTTCATTGTTATCTCATACCCATCCAACAGGTCAACAACGTTTCATTGATATCTCATCCAAATTCAACAGGTCAACAACGTTTCATTGTTATCTCTTGCCCATTCAACAGGTCAACAACGTTTCATTGTTATCTCATCCAAATTCAACAGGTCAACAACGTATTATTGTTATCTCATACCCATTCAACAGGTCAACAACGTTTCATCGTTATCTCATACCCATTCAACAGGTCAACAACGTTTCATTGTTATCTCATACCCATTCAACAGGTCAACAACGTTTCATTGTTATCTCATCCAAATTCAACAGGTCAACAACGTTTCATTGTTATCTCCTGCCCATTCAACAGGTCAACAACGTTTCATTGTTATCTCTTGCACATTCAACGGGCTAACAACGTTTCATTGTTATCCTTGCCCATTCAACAGGTCAACAACGTTTCATTGTTATCTCATACCCATTCAACAGGTCAACAACGTTTCATTGTTATCTCATACCCATTCAACTGGTCAACAACGTTTCATTGTTATCTCATACCCATTCAACAGGTCAACAACGTTTCATTGATATCTCATCCAAATTCAACAGGTCAACAACGTTTCATTGTTATCTCTTGCCCATTCAACAGGTCAACAACGTTTCATTGTTATCTCTTGCACATTCAACAAGTCAACAACATTTCATTGTTATCTCATCCCAATTCAACAGGTCAACAACGTTTCATTGTTATCCCTTGCCCATTCAACAGGTCAACAACGTTTCATTGTTATCTCTTGCCCATTCAACAGGTCAACAACGTTTCATGGTTATCTCATACCCATTCAGCAGGGCAACAACGTTTCATTGTTATCTCATCCAAATTCAACAGGTCAACAACGTTTCATTGTTATCCCTTGCACATTCAACAGGTCAACAACGTTTCACTGTTATCCCTTGCCCATTCAACAGGTCAAAAGCGTTTCATTGTTATCTCATACCCATTCAACAAGTCAACAACGTTTCATTGTTATTCCTTGCCCATTCAACAGGTCAACAACGTTTCATTGTTATTCCTTGCCCATTCAACAGGTCAACAACGTTTCATTGCTATTTCTTGCCCCTCCCTTCCTCAGGTTAACGTTTCATGCCCCTTCATCGTTTTAGTAACGTTTCATGGCTACATTTTGCCCTTTCAAAGGTTTATCGAAGTATCGGAGATCCTCTCTCAAATGTCCTGAAATGTTGTTGAGATTCATGAAAGGTTCCATAAAGTTTTATGCGTTTATGTTCCCTTCACAACTAAATGCTAATCAAAGACTCATCATAGTGTTTGTATTTTCCGAAAAAGATGAGATCAATTCACCCCTTGTCTGTTTCAGAAACATCTACCAGACGCCTTGTGGGTTCTGTGGTCCCGAGATCGACGTTGGGGTGACCATACAGAACTACATAGTGGAGCCCTTCTTCAATCATACAATTGAACTGTTTGGTATGAGACGACGAGAGCTCATCTTCTTCTTGGAGAATGCAGCTAAAAAGCAAAAGGAATTCAGGTAAGTGTTTGATGTCAGTGTGGGTCATGATATGTTGTTGGTTGGTTTGTTGTTTAACGCCGCACTTAGCAGTATTCCAGCTATATGATGACGGTCTGTAAATAATTGAGTCTGGACCAGACAATCCAGTGCTTAATATCATGAGCATCGATCCACACAATTGAGATCGATGCCATGCATCAACTAAGTCGGCGAGCCTGACCACCTGATCCCGTTAGTCGTCTTTTACGGCAAGCATGGGTTGCTGAAGACCTTTTCTACCCCGGTTGGTTGGTTGGTTGGTTGGTTGTTTAACGCCGCACTCAGCAATATTCCAGCTATATGACGCCGGTCTGTAAATAATCGAGTCTGGACCAGACAATCCAGTGATTAATATCATGAGCATCGTTCCACGCAATTGGGATCGATGACATGCTCCACCAAGTCAGCGAGCCTGACCACCCGATCCCGTTAGTCACCTTTCACGACAAGCAGAGTCACCTTTTAGGGCAAGCATGGGTTGCTGAAGACCTATTGTACCCCGGATCTTCACGGGTCTCATGATATGTTGTAAATGTATGCAACGCGATCACCCCATGTTGCCTTATCCATTGGATTTGAGTGGGTGGGTGGGTGGATGGGTGTGTGGGTCCCTGAGTGAGTGAGTGAGTGGTTTTAACAACGGCTAGAATAGTGTATCAGTCATGTAAACTGGTAAAAATAAAGTATACACCAATGTTTGATGGTGGCTTAAACTGAAACCGACAAGAAATGGTTATTCAAAGTGTGATGTATTTGATACGGATATCATAATTGTGGTTTAGACCTGCCGTGTTTCACCCTAGCAACGTTTTAATAACTTTAGTAATGTGTTGATCATAGACAATTTCCAAGTGTATACTTTCTTTTGACCGACAGTGTGACCTGATGTCAGTGCATGTGTACTTAAATGGGTATGAAACCTAAAGTGACGCAGGTCGTAAATGCTTATCATTTTGGTGATGTCTTAGAGGTTATGATGCTCACAAACCAAGGATCATAATCAGAGTAATCTGTAATTCGAACCCATGCTGGCGGATCCTGTTCTTCTAAGGGACAGAACTCTTGACATCGAATGATGGCGGTTTTGACTACTGGTCCACCATACAAAGCTGTTAGGGGATATGATGGCCGATGCTGTTTCACTATTGCGTATATATAGCTCCTAGAACCAGATTTTTGAAAAAATATATGTGGGTAGCGACAGTAACTCAAAGTGTAGTCAGCTCCTTCGCATTGGCAAACTAGGACAATGAAAGATGTCACAATAGAAGCTGTTGGTTTATACACACCTGCTAAGATTATGTATTGCTCTTTTATTCTCTCGATACATTGCAGTATGATTTGAAAGAAATAATCCGTATTGACCTGTTCTTATGCAAACTGTTTGAATTGTGTAGGTTTGCCGGAAACTACGGAACATATGGATTTCTTGTGGACACCATCAATGGCCTGAAGGCGGACTACAGCCTTAACAAGACATGGTGGAAAATCTCAGATCAGGACATGGTGTCTCTCAGCGAAGGTAAATCGTCTTTATCATAATACAGATATTGCCGGACAATACACAGAAGCTTGAATTAGGGCATTTTTTAATATTTAAATTAATGCATAAATATAATATTTAACTAAGGTCCCGTACGGTAATGTTCAGCTCAAATATATTTCCTTGTTTTTAATTAAAAAAGATTAAATATAAACCGACAACCCCCTACCTTTTCGTCTCTGCTTGGTTACAGCAGTCTGGTGTTATCCTAGTTGGGGGTTTTGTTGGGTTTTGTTGGGTTTTTTGTTGGTTTTTTTTTTTTGGGGGGGGGGGGGGGGGTGGGGGGGGGGGTACAGCAGTTTGGCGTCTGTATGTTTTTTTGAGTGTTGTTTTGCGGTTACAGCAGCTTGGTGTCAGCGTAGTTTGGGGAGGGGGGAGGGGGCGTGGTTACAGAAGTTTGGCGTCTGTATAGTTTTGTGAGTGTAGTTTTGCGGTTACAACAGTCGGGTATCACTGTTGTTCTACACTATGGAGATCAATACTGCAGCACTATGACCGCAGTAAAACACAAGTTCACACATTGTAGACATGTGACGAACGGGGCACGTGAGACTTCAAATTGAGATCTGACAGGCTATGTTTTCACTTTCTTCAAAAACATTTTATTCTATTCATTCAGGCAAGACACAGTCGGCCAAAAGCTTTACAACGAAAGAGGAGTGACAAAACCATTTCGATATCCATATTCATAATTCTCTGCTAATCCGTGAAAAGGTTGCACAGTTGAAAGGTTCCATTGTGTTCCCGTTCCGTATACCCTTTGGCTAGATTGTTTTAAACACATATGGAGTGAAATATACGAATTGAGTGCATGTTTTGCAGGTGTGAGTTCCTACATCCCTCAGCATCGGGAGACCCTCATCTTCACCTTCACGCAGAGCGGCGATCATTAAGTCACCGGTTTTACCAGTCGGCGTAGATGGATATGATTTCAGCGTGAAGCATGCATGGTGGCTCGTCGTGAATACTTCACGCATGTGTATATATATGTACAACGTTGCCCCGTCACCAGTAAATAAATACGGCGTAATAGTGATGTGTATCTATTTTAAGTCATGTAAAGGTCCAGTTCAAAGGTTCCATGGCGGATAAAAGTCTGAATTCCTTAAGTTTAGGGGGAGGGGGTTTAATGGCAAGGTTTCGGTTTTTGCACAAGATAGGGTTTTGTCAGAATAAGAAAACAGGCAATTAAAACACGAGAATGTATCGCCAAAGAGGCCACAAAACTCAGGAATTCAACAATTTCAGGATTAAGTTTTTGGTGAGATTGTGTCATGTCCCAAATCCGTCATCGATCTTTTGAACTGGTCCCTAATGGAATAAAACACGCGGAATCCCAATGAGCCCTACTCCCTGCTTTAACCTTGCGCGAACCCTACCGCTGCCTTGACATTGAGAGCAATGTGTAGAGTAGAGGCCGTATGGCAATATCACATATTGCCGATGTAGCCTGATCGCTCATTGGTCAGCTCCTTTCGGTTTGAATATAGCCTTGGCGTGATTCGTTGGTTAAGAATAAATACCACATGACAAAGCTTCTGTATGTATTCACGGGTGATAAGAGGAAGGCATGCAGTATTGAAGATAAGGGCCGTTATATCAAATGGGCAAAGTGTATAAACCAGTGATGTAGTAAGTATCAACATTTTCAGTCCCAAGTTCAAATTTATGTCTATTTGGACACTTTTCAGACAAAATATAACTATTGTACAATGGATTTTTATTTAAAATGTATAATAAAAGTCGATTTCCTTCTATCACGTTGTCAACAGCTTATCATTTAAAAGTGCATAACCACATGGGGATTCCTGTTTGTAATAGATCCTCGGTGACCCGCTGCGTGTCAGCGTCCCCCGACAGCGTTGGACATCGTGCTGATAATATCACACTGATTTGTCTCGACCTCAGTCTGCCATGCTTGTTAGAGTTGACTTAAAGGGCTCGGGTGGTCAGACATGGTGACTTGAGTGATTGGGTCACTGTGTCCCGATGGCGTGAAATTAAATGTTGCCCATGCCTTCAGTCACTGGTTTGCCTGGTCTTTTTATTGACTTTTCATCTGCCTTCAACACAATTCAGCCACATATTTACTGAAATACGTGTTATCTGTTGGCATACATACTTACACCTTAATGTTATCTAAGTGAGCCAAAACGATGAAGAGCATTGGATTATTGCTACTGTTTCTGATGAACCAAAGGTGAGAACTTGCGAATGGACATCCATGCATGTCAGCCGTGATAATAGTGTCAAAGGAGTGTAGCTTGGAGCCCTACCGGTGCTTTAATCTATATTATATAACTGAAATGGACGATAAACATCACATCATCCCGACCTGTAGCAGAGGTACTAGGTTGACCGCAAGGAGTGGTAGAAGAGTGGGTCCAAGGAAGACCTTAGCATATTTGGTTGATTCAAAACAAACCATTTATTTCTGAAGTGAAGAGCCGAACAATTTCTACAATACATCTTTTTTTCACCACATCCATCATGCCAAACAAACAATTTGTATTTTGGGGAAGTAAAACCTGAAGCAAAATCAGACACACAGAATTTCAAATGGTAGGTCCCTAAATTTGAATGCTTATCAACCATTGGTTCTGAATCGTGACTGTATAACAGCGGACAGATTTACTTTACCCAGACGTGTTTCTTATCTTTTGTTTACTCTCGAAAGTAAATACGGGGTCCAATAAATATATTATTTGTCCTCTATAAATGAATTCTCAAACTTAAAATTTGGAAGTCATAAATCAGAATGTCAGAAAGATATCCTAAACACTCAAGTTAAGAGTGTAAACACTTGTCGTTGTCCACTCTAAGATTTATATTGATCAAATTGTAATGTTCTATATTTCATAAAATAACATTTAAAAATACAGCAATATATCTTGACATCTGATATCACTCCAGTCAAACATTTATTGATGACGTATATGTGTACACTTTTAATGTCAAAATGTTTTTCTTCAGGATTATTTCGGATGCAAAAAATAACTAATACGTTAAATGAAACGAACAACTTTTTTATTTCACCGAATATTACTGGTTGCTAGGAAAGTATTAGCTTGGCACGGCTGCCTGCGATGCCATGTTGAAAGATGTTCTCATTCATACTTTTGTTTTGTTTTTATAATATTTTCAGCTAGGTCTGTTGTTCCCATATGACTAGATTACATTCACATTGTGTATTTATAATAATTGGTGAGGAACAATTTGGGAAGTGGTGTTTTGTGTTATCGTCTGCACCCAACGGCGCGCGAAAACTTAGGTATTGAATAATGAACCTATTGTTTAGCTTTTCGTTTGACATTTTATTCAATAATTGCAAATGATGGAATTATATTGAGATACCACACATTGACTTTACTAAAACACTTGTTCGTTATACTAGCGACCAAGCTATATTACAGTAGTGTTGCGTGTAGATACCCAAATTTAAACAATTTGTTAACACAGAAATCTGTACGTAAATGAGCTTAGTGTGAAACCATCAAACAACCAACAGGTGCTATACAATCAACAAATGTATTACAAAATTAACTAGGTTTACACATTAACACAATGTACTGCCCAGCAATTAACATAGAAGTACACAATAGAAAGGTAATACAATGTTCAATGACATCATATAACATGATGGCAGTGGTCAGTATCAAATACCAAAACAGTGGTGATAGCAAAAGTCATTGATAATAATATATATTCACTCAGCGGCGACAGTGGTCAAGCTTCCGTGATGCGCTTGGCAGGGAATCAGGGACGATGAGCGATCCTCACATGAAAGCTGGTTCTGATGTGTTGAAAATGCAAATAACACGTTATTGTCCCCTTATATACACCCTACCCAGCCACTGGAATGTTCCGCACAGTGCCCTCACCAATCAGTCGGCACTAAAACATTAAAGAAATTTCCAAAACACACTTATCACCGTCCGCGGTATACCGGACAAGCAGTTTACACACCACACTAGCATTTAAATATAGTAACTTCCTGACGACTGATCACTGTCCAAACACAATGCAATGAGGGGCATATCGACTCCCAGCAGAAACAATGCAACACAGCTACAATCACTGTTAAACAATAAAATACACTGGCATATATAACAGTGGGAAGTTCTCATTTGTTAGTCACTTGTCATATGACGTGATGACGTCATGGCACGACTGTGTTCAATGAGGATTTGTCATTGGAGCACATTTGGTTTCATAAGTGCAGTTTTGAAATGTTACGTTCTCCCGGCCTTACTGACATATACTACAGTAGAATGGCTGAGGGGACCCTCGATGTAAGACGAAGGTGCGGTGCGATGCGATCCGCCCTACGGTGCAGCGTGAGGGGATACAATGTTATACCGCGATTTTACAATCTCATGTTGCAATGTACGATGTTGCGATTCTATTTCACAGAGCCCAACCTACTATCTAATGTGATTCTCCGAATCTCAACTGCCTCCTTGGAATAATACACCTGTGTATGCAACAGTACCATTTCTACCATGTGTGCAGTCCTCGGAGCCACAATTCCATAGATATTGGAAGCACCAGAGCACAGGGTGGACACACATTCGACTTCTAAAACCCGGATGACACAAAGAAGCCCCCCCTTAAAGGTATGGAACGCCAAAGGCCAAGAGAACAGGGTAGGCGAATTGCTGTAAGCTATCTGTAACTTTTCACACTGATTCATGATTTCACCACGAACTACGATAGCCCTCCTTTCTGTCTTGATCAAGGCATTGACCTGATGCTGCCTCGGATCAAACAAATAGAGTCGCGCCTTCCTCCCACATCAAGCCGACATGTCGTGATTTAATTGAAATGCATTTCATTGCGGCGTTAAACCGAACTCACTCATGTACTCACTCACTAAAACCAACACTATCCAACAGCGAAAAAGCACACTATCATCCCAAGTCGTGCTTTGTCGTCACGGAAGTAGCGTGCAAATGTATCACTTTGTTCAATAATTTTATTTCAATTTTATTTTCTACTATACTGAGTTCTGTCTTAACCTAATCTACCGTGATGCTATAAGTAACATAAAGCAAGTTTGCTACAGCCATGCTAAAACGAAAGAAGAAACGCCCAGATACAATGACATACACGTCTGCTGGCAACGCCAGTCCAAAGCGGTCTCATCCAGTTTAGGCCACCAATCAGAATTGCTGCACGCGCATGACGATTAATTACACGGAGAAGAGTTTTTAGTCAGCGGTATGATGTGCTGAACAGCTCGAAGACGCACCCATTCCCTATTTAATACATTGCACGTTGAATAAGCCCCTTGGCCACGCGATGACGTCATAGCAGGAAGATACACCTATATAAATATCATAAACAACCACAGAAGACATTGTAACTAGACACTTGTCAGTGTAAAATGGCTGCTACTCGGTATGTTATCCTTGTGGCAATAGGCATGTGTGCAACTTTGCACGTCACCACATCGACTGCGGCAACAAATCCGGCAACGGCACCAGGGTAAGAATCGTCTTTCAACCCACTCAGACACATGCAGCATTATAGGTGCTACTGTGACATATTGTGGCAGAAACACAATACAGTTAAATCCCGTAAATCTGGACAGTAAAGAAATGGCGTTTAAACTAACTACATGTAAATTGTATGTCCGGTATATTATCTTCGCCCAAGTTGTTAAAGTTTCTCTCGTCACGCTGATGACCTATGTTTAATTCCCAGAATGAATAGTTGGGTTTAACGCCTCTTAACAGTATTCCAGTTATATCATGGCTTGTCAGATTAATGTGGGAGGAAAGCCCGAAGTGAGGCAGGTCCCAGACGTTTACCACTTCGATGAAACCCAGGAGGACGGGACGGGCATAATCGGAGCGAACCTGCATTCGACCCCAAAGGACGCAGCTCTGCACATGAAATTTAGACGACTGGGCCACCCGTGCCCCCTTAAATTCCGACAGGGGCGGTTGGATAGCCCAGTTGTAAAACCATTTGCCCATCATTCCGGGATGGATTTTCCACGTGGTTGCAATGATCGAAGCCTTTCTACCCCGCCTTGATATGCCTGGGGTGTTGCTAAGAATAGCGTTAACCTCATGCCCTGAAAACCCATCCCGTGCGTGTCGAGTTAAAGTGCTTGCATTGTATAAATGTTTTTCAGTGGCAAAAAACACACACCATGTGGGCTGTGTGGTCCTAGGATCGACGTGACGCTGTGTGTACGGAACTCCCTCGTCAAGCCGTACTTCAGCCACACTGTCGAGATCAAACGTATGAGACAACGACAGCTCATCTTCTTCCTGGAGAAGGCGGCAGATATACGGGAGGAGTTCAGGTAATTGTTGAATGCAGTGAGTTTTCGAAAGGTGAATTCAACTCAGTCCCAAGTTTGCTCAAAGTGCCTCGATACTATTTACTAGATAGTGACAGCAACATATATGACTGTTATGGTGGCTGATTAGGGCCATCTCCATATCGCCCCTAGAAATCCACGCGATATCACGACAATGCGATAGTACAACACGATATAACGATATTATATACAGCCAAATATGAAGTAGCGATAACACGCAACGACATGGCAATAGCAGGACATGACATGGCGATAGCACGACACGACATGGCGATAGCAGGACATGACATGGCGATAGCACGACACGACATGGCGATAGCACGACACGACATGGCGATATGGTAACGCAATACGGCGAAATGGCGATACAGCGACGTAGAGATATTGCGAGATTGCTCAGTCCCAATTTGAGAAATTGAGGAAAGCGGATACGTAGGATGATACTGATCATCTCTCATAATAAGAAAGCGGGAAGTAAGTTAGATACACGCACTCATAAGCCCATATACTGAATAGGTAAGCACGAAGGCACCCTGTATCTAACCTTAGCTCAATTGTTGCCGCAAAATGTGTTTTTGTTATTCACTTACGAGACGACTGAGCAATTGAAGTAGTGAGTGAGTTTGTTTTTACGCCGCTTTTAGCAATATCACTGCGGGGGACGCCAGAAATGGGCTTCACACATTGTACCCATTTCGGGAATCGAACCCGGGTCTTCGGCGTGAAGAGCGAACGCTTTAACCACTAGGCTACCCGACCGCACCTGACCAGTTGAAGTAATTAGAAACGTGTAATTATCGCCGAATCCTACATCTTAGGCTAACAGAATCAGTCAACAACATTTCAGTTTATTGTCAAATGTCAAATCCATATAAACTCTTAGAAAGAGGTTTGGGCGTGTGTTGAGTGACGCATTTCTTGCACACCCAAACGTTTGATGAGAGATGACATAGTGCAACGGTGACACGGGACGACAGTGGGCACGTGTCCAGTAGGAAGACATTACACGGAATGTAACAATGTCAAGGTCATGAGAACAAGTAGGCATAGGATTTCACCAGAATGACTTTCGGTTGTCAAGGCAACTGGCCAATCTCATTAAAATCAGATCTTAGATCTCGCTATCGCTAAACAAAGATCTGAGGACATCCCATTAAAAGGGTCGCGTCAGAACGACCTTTCATCCGACCAATCAAAGCATAAAAGTGACAGTCGGAGTGTGTTTTCTAATCGTGCAACCTCGAAAATGTTAACACGGGACATTCCGAATGACCGGGTATTCCGAATGGCAGTTACAGCCCGTACGACTGATTCCGTCAAAATTATCGTCCATCTCTCGCATCCGTGGGATAAACATTTGAACGAAGGAGGCGTTGCACGTTACATGGGAAGCACTGCCATACAATCTCAACCATATAATAGATATTCGGGAATGTTCGTTTATTCAGTTTTCAAAATTTTAATCGAGAACTGTGTCAACATATTTTCCAAGCGTAGTCTGAAATGGAAGTCGCCAGGTTGAAACGAGTGCCGTAAAGCTCGAGAAAGCTGCTTTCTATTTGGCTGATGTCGACTTCTTGTTAGTCATTTCAGTGGTCGGCCAAAGTTCGCGGAAGGTCGTTCTTTGTTTAGCGGCAGCGAGTACCTAGATCTGAGTTTAATGAGTTTGGGCACCTAGCACAAGGTTTGTTCTACAGGTTTGGGAGAAAATCTCCCACATCATTACGCTGCCACCGTCATCTCTGTTGGCTCTCCCATTAGTTCAGTACAGCAAACATCGCTGTACTCAGCGCTGTACTAATTCTCTAAATGTGGATAAAACAATGTTATCCTTTCTAGCACACAAGGGTACATGATGATTGTGGAAGGGTTCCCATGTATCTCTGTAGTTATTTAAAGGTTATGAAAATCTGGGTCAGGTTACTCAATACGCTACTCAAGTAGATGTTATAATATGATGCTTCTCTTGGTGTTATAATATACAATGCAGAAAATGTAGGCGATATTTTGTTTGAGGTGTAACTATAGGACAATGCACCAATGCCTGGCGATAAAAGTAAGTGATTTATTTCGCAAGAACATTTCCGAAGACGTCAAACTCTAAACAACATTATGGCAGTCATGAAGCACGTGACCTCGGGCGGCACGTGCAAGAGGTGGTATGCCAGATTTACCATTGTAAATGGACCAAACGCTCAAAGACACTTTATTAAAGTACATTTAATCATTAAGGAAGCAACAGCATGGATCATGCGACGTTTGCACCGTGCTAAACGTTTAGTTGCCAGAGACATGTTGCAGGTGGGCACACGTCAGAACAGTGTTGCACTACCGCTGCACGTTTCTCAGTCTGTCATTGACGACGTTGTCAATTACACTATTGACCGTTTAGGCACTCGGATTTTCACAATTATTTACCATTAAACACACATTCATACGAAGAAAGTTGGTTCTTATCGAAACATAATCGTTGACCTAACTAAAAAATACCAGTTTTGTAATATTTCATTTCGGAAGAAAAATATTTACCACATTGTTATCATGTAGTTTTGTGACCGCTGACACGGCCTTGTAACGGAGGGAAAGAACAGACACGATTTAACTATGACATAATGTGTGTCAAACATGCTTGCAGCAGGCATGACCGAACTTCACCAGTATACCTAGCCACATCTATGATGAGTGAAATACATATAAATAAATTAAAATGAGTTTTGAATTGAAACATGATTTAAACTACCTAAGTACATTAAAACTTAATATTACACTAGAATTGATGGAAACACCTTCCGAGTAGAACATCAGATACACAGTCGACGGGAAATCCTTGTTTAATGTCTGTGTCATCGTAGTTTGTTCAGCAATATTCCTGCTATGTCACAGAGGTTTGTAAATAATCGAGTCTGGAACAGACAATCCAGTGATTGAAATCATGCGCATCGATCTACGCGATTGGGATACGATGACATACATCAACCAAGTCAGCGAGCCTGACCACCCGATCTCGTTGCTGAAGACCTATTCTATCCCGGACACGGGACGTGTCATCGTAGTATTTAAATCAGTAACGACAGGTGGAATGACAGCTCTTAAAATACACACACAGACACGCACGCACTCACTCACGCACGCGCGCACACACATCAAGCTGAAACGTCGTGACATGACTGAAATAATGTTCACAGGGTCCTAAAAACAAACTTCCTGTTCAGGTTCACCGCGACATACGGAAAGTGGGGCTACTTCATCGACACCATCAATGGACTGGACAGCAACTACTATGTGGATGAGACTTGGTGGCACATTATAGATCAGAATAATGTGTCTCTACCCTTAGGTAAGTGGAAGATTATAAAGTAGCAGAACGTGTTGCAAGATTCCAGGTTGATCAATGGTGGTAAATGGACTTACCAGACTAATTAATGGAATGTTCCAGACGAACCAGTGCTTGATATGATCAGAAACAGACCACTCAGTCGGGTGCGATGACACGCAATCAACCAAGTCACTGAACCTGACCACACCCTATACACTTAGTCGCTATTTACAATAAAAGTTTAATTGTAACCAAATCTGATTCATATGCATAATGGTCGTCCCCAGAATAGGTTCTGATTTCCACCTTGTAGCAGTGCACGATTTCACTATCTTTCGAATTTGTTCACATGCTTACCCTTTTCGCGAACACCTGATGTCATCACTGATTGTAAGTGATCCATTCATATAATTTTCAACACCTTTACGCCTCTTGGAATCTGTTTCGGGAGTTAATCGAGACTGGTTTGTCTCTAGCGTTGGCGTTTTATATTACATTATAGATATAAAGGAAAAGAGAATATACGAAGTGGGTGTTTATTTTCTAGGTTCGAGTTCCTACGTCCCCAAGAACGGCCAGACCATCACCTATGAGTACGTCCGGGGAGGCCCGCACTAGTCACCCGTCTTCACGCCAGAACGTCCCACGTGTGATGGAAGCGGATGTAAAGTCAGAAGCGATGTATTTACGTTTCAACCAACGGCAAATGTCCTTAATCTTAATAAACGTAGATAAACTATTCAATGTTAACATAATGAAGCAGGGCTTGGACTCATCTAAAGGATGTCTCCCTTACCGAGTCAGCTTGCTGACGGGGTTAAAGTTTTTGGCCATGAGGACAAGCGCGACCTTGGATCAGAAGGTCACCGGTTCGAATCCCATCACGGGACTTGGTAATTGTATTGCTGCTACAATGACAATACATCTGATGTATGATAGTAACCTTTTCAAATAAGACCTGTTGAATCATACCAGTTAAGTTTACATCGATAATCATTGCTGAATCAATGTAATTGTGAATAAACCTTGTATCTTCAAATATGTTGACTTGATCTTATTTATTTTGAAATTGGAAGTGACAGCACAAACAATGACTGCTTTATGTTTAATTTCATTTCGTTAGGTGCAACGGCTAAGAAATGATGCCATATTGTCTTGGGATAGACTTTAGACGCATGGCACGAATTATCTCTTTGAAGAACGAGGTGCCCGCTACCAGATAAGACTATGTTTAATTTTGACACCAATGGTTATCTTGTACTAATTATAGAGCGTACATATAACAGACACTGAAAATCTTGCACCAGATATCAAGGAATATTTTAAGGTAATGTAAGCGTTTTTTTCGGGGGAACAAATGCGTACTTGCGTCATTCAATAATATTTTCGTAGGAAGCTCATATCTGATTTGTGCGAGTTGGATTTAGCGCCACTTCGAACAGTATTTTAGTTATATTATCACTGTAATGCTGTAAACACGGTTCGTGTCCCAGTTCCATGGAGCGATCTTAGCGCTACGAGTGTTGTGCGTCTTTTATGTTAAAGTAAACTAGTGTCCAAAAGAAACGATACCACCTGTTTGCAACGACGTAAAAGAAAAACTAAACAATGCAGAAGTTTAGGATTGGTGTTATGCTTTTGAGAAATCCTTTCACAACATCTGTACCAAAATTTCATTTCAATAAAATCTGTACAACCAATATGACAAGCCTTTAAAGATGGGTGGGGTCGAAAAATGAACATTTCGTTAGAGCACTGATCACAGAAACAACGGGAAATGTCACACCACACGTCTCAAAGTCAAGTCAGTAGCGGGTATGTCCACCGTGAGCATCAATACATGCCAGAACACGCCTACGGACTGATGACGTTGGGAGTGATGCGTTGCCATTCCTCGAGGAGACATCGTTCCAAGTCCTGGACGTTGACTGGAGGCACACGGCGACGTCGGATTTGCCGATCGAGGTGGTCCCATAAGTGCTCGATGGGATTCATGTCCGGTGAACATGCGGGCCATGGCAAAACCTGTACGTTGGCGTTGGCAAGGAAGTTCTGTGTCAATCTTGCTGTGTGTGGCCTTGCATTGTCATGTTGGAAAAGGAGTCCACGAGGCTGTTGCTGAATAAAGGGCACCACAACAGGCCGTAGGATGTCATCAAGATAACGCTGTGCATTCAGGTTTCCACGAATTACGACAAGCATCGTTTTGACGTCACCACATATGCCACCCCAAACCATTAACCCTCCACCTCCAAACGGCCGGACCTGTTGGATACAGTTAGGCGCCAAACGTTCACCAAATCGTCGGTATACAAGCTGCCGTCCATCGTTTCTAAAGATGAGGAATCTGCTCTCATCAGAGAACATAACACGTGCCCAGTCCCGCCGTTGCCAACGTCGAACTCGCCTGGCCCAGATCAGTCTGTTGTTCCGGTGTCGACGCGTCAGGAGCGGTCCGCGGTAGGGATGACGTGGCCGGATACCATACTGCCGTAGTCTCCTGTAGGCGGTCCGTCGACTGATCCTGTGTCCCAGTGCTGTAGCCGCCGTGGACGTCGCTGTTACGGTGCGGTTCCTCAGGTGTAATACCCGGATGTAACGATCTTCACGGGGCGTGGTTACTCGTGGTCTTCCACTCCTGGGCCTGTCTGACGTCTGACCTATCTGACGTAACCGCTGCATCAACCTGGTGATAGTGATGCGTGCGCAGCCCAACCTTCTGGCGACGTAGACGTGTGACGCTCCTTGTTGGACCATTCCAACGGCTCTCTCTCTCTCGATGGCTGTCAAACATGGCATATCTTGTGTTCTTTTTGTTGCTGTGATATCAACGTGTCTGATCAGCCGTTTTATACAGTTTTTCTGCACGTGCAGAACATGCTAGAGAGGGAAATGTCACTTTCACGAAATTTACGTTTTTTCCCGGAAGTGATCACGTGTTCCCGGTATTTTTTATCGACTATGCTGTGTTTGGGATGTGCAATACGAATTGGCATGTTTTCATACTTGACAATTCACTTAGTAAAAAAAAAATTTGAAAATAAGTTGGTATCGTTTATTTTGGACACTAGTTTACAATCTCGTTAAAATCAGATATTTTACTTACGCCGATACGACACCTCTCTGCATTAAGATCTACGGATCTGCGTAACTTATATAGTGACGTGCCTGCACATGTGTGTTTGGTTGCTTTTACTAGTCCTGACGTGTGCCGGTTTTATAGTGCTAGCCCACTAGATACCATGCTGCAATTTAACATAGACACTCCGATCAGAGTGTAACTTCCGAGCTGACCGGTCCTTGTTTTATCACGTTGATGCCGAGCGCCAGACAGAGTCATATCAAGTAATCGACAAATGCAACATTCTTCATCTGAAACGTTACAAAGCAGAAGAGGAAGGATAATTCAGTTTACTTGGTGGGGCGAGTTACTGACCATGTCGTACGTACTTAGGGATGCAGGTTGGGGACAAACTCCAGAATGCGCATATCAAGGAAAAACGTCTGGCAGAGTACAAATGTAGACTTAAGAAAATCTGTTCAGAACTGAACGCTCGCAATATATAATAGACGAAACAAGAAATATTACCACCCTCACACGAAGAATCATGTCAGACAATAGATCTCACCACCCTCGCTCCTCCCACAATCGTTTATATTTACCAATTATAAATTGGAGGGCATGGTTTGATTTACTTGGAGGCTCCATATGATAGAATTGTTTTGTGCACTTTTGCACACCTTATTTGTCTGATGAACATGTCAAGACTCATGATAAAAAAGGCATTTCACAGTTTCTTAAAGGAGCCAAGGATATGGGAGATAATCTCAAGGTCAGTGTTGATGTTGTGGATTGTTCTGTTCTGTACTGCTGGACGTAAAGAAATGAATGTTAACCAAGCGAAGTGCCATATCAAATCGGCCCAGACTTAGTTTTTCAGGGAGAGGCTTTCTGAACGACCACTGTATTGCGTTTATGTGCAGTGTGTTGAGAAGATACCTGCAGAGTTCTTTGCTTGGCTGTCTGGCCTGAAAAGTGAAACCAGAGGCTTTCTGTTTGCTGCCCAAGACCAGTCGTTTCCCACTAATGTGACATTTGACACTATTTTGATTGACAAGATTCAGTAAAAAACGTGGCAAATATGCAGACCTCCCTTGTGCCAAGTTGTCCGACTACCCATTGTTCTCGGTGCCTTAGGTTTGGTACCTCCCAATCTGTTGACTGACATTGGGAGAGTATCCGGGTTTGCTACCAGGAATACAGCCCTCTGACAATCAGGGTAAAGTTCTGGGTAGGTTTGACTAGGCATCGCTTCCTGGGGGAAGTCCCATTCGTTGTCTGGGCTGCGTGTAGAGGGGGCAAGGGCCCTGGACTGAAGATGAGCCTAACCAGCCTGACTGTGCCAGGATCACCCAAACCCCTTTGACGCATTTTTTATTTCAATCTGTAAATAATAATAATTCATTCGTGCCATACAGCGATCCCATACGGTGGTCTAATTCTCCAGATACTATCCAGTCGATGGTGTGGCCACCAATGTGTGTTTCACTTGTAACATGCTGGACAAAAAACGTTCAATACATTTCTTAACATTCGTCCTCTGTAAATCGTCATAGTGAATATTAAAGTCACCCAGAATCACCAATTTACCTTTTATTGCGTTGAAAGTTTCAGGTAGAACAGAATAGTCCTCGCGACACTGATATAATGACTACCTTCGTAGTTTCAAATGGGGCCAGTACCACTGATGGTGAAGAGAAATCTACACAAAGGTTTTAACGAAAAATACCCCTACTTTATCCTAGGAATGAGGAGAATGTTGCATATTCTATTTGGAACATACCTGTTTTTTGGATTCAAAGCATATTGTAATTTAATTGATTTCTCTGCTGTACAAGATGTCTAAATCATCGTCAGTAATAAAATCTTTTGGTAGACGTTTTTGGATCAAAACACAGACCATCCGCTCTGTCCAATACATCACGGATGGGCCTTCTGTGACATACTAATATGACTTGAATAAATTATTTGGGTGAATCGGACCTGCAACCTCACAAGTCACGTTTAGCATAAAAAAACCACTGTTTTCCCACTGAGCCACTGGGGCAGGTGATGAAAGGGTTTCAGTCTTACATGGCATGACTTCAGTTGTCTGCATGCTACACGTGGTCCTTGCCAACTGCCGTCGAATTCGTTTTATACCGCGACAACTATATGGTTTCACTATAAGGTATCCCAATGTTTTCGTCTTGTTTCTGGTATTTGTTGTATTTAGAAGGTTCATTAGTTAGTTAAAACACTCCCCGGTTTTCCTTGAAAGTGCCAAACCTCGAGCTCGATGCCTCGTGGTTTTCCCTCGCTCGAGATTTTACATTTTCAACCAAAATTTTGGAGTCGTGTTTCAAATATTACAGAAACGTCTAATTATCGAACATATTTTATATACATGTAAAACGCATGTTTGTGTTGGTCTTCCAGGAAATGAAGGTATTCTTGCTGGCGGTCTTGTGTCTCTCAGCACATACTGTTGGTACGTATGGTTTTATCACATTCATACGCGTGCGACATTCAGACACATCAAGGTTTATTAAATGATTAGGCCACATGTCTATGGGTTCGAGTCCCGGTTCGCCCCGATTATGTTTCTAGGTTTGTCGGCACCATACCCGTGCTCGTGGGTTTCACCGAAGTGGTAAACGTCAGAGACCTGCATCAACTTCGGGCTTTCCTCCCACATTAAGCTGACACGCCGTGATATGACTGGAATACTGTTAAAAGCGGCGTTAAACCCATCTCACTCACTATCTATTACAGTTGATGAACACTGCAATGCGATAATTGTTTACTGAAATAGTTGACGCATACATTTCAAATAGGACATCAGACTTCAGCGACCTATACAGTACCTACCCTACCCTACCCTACCCTACCCTCACATCACCTCACATCACCTTACCTCACCTTACCCATGGATGTGTGTTCGTGTTGCACTTCAGTATGTCGCCTGAGTATCAGCGGGGATCACTTCTACGAGGGCAGCACGAGGGTGTTCCTCAGCGGTGTCAACGCTGCTTGGGTCTACCTCGGCACCGACTTCGGTAACAACCAGCTTGACAGCTACAGGCTCTCCAAATACACCGACTACATCAAACAGGTTCAGTCCAACGGAGGAAACTCCATACGTGAGGCCCTTCTTCATATTATACCCTCATATCACCACTACAGCCTTGGCTGAAGTGACATTGATAATTACAAACACATCACATCTACAAGACGGATCAGCACATGTAATGACATACATCTCGTTCGCCTACAGAATGTTTATATTTCAATGTTCATATTTGTTTTAAAATTATAGGAAAATAACAGACATATTAAAAAGAATTATGGCTTCAATTTTTGTCAGCCCCTGATTACTTTCGTTATGGTCAAAATGAGAGTGTAAAAGTCTGGGATTTAATGCAAAAAAGATAAATTGTCCCTTAAAATTCTTGAAATCAATAAATATGCTTCAGACTGTTGATTAAGAGTGACTTGTCTGGCGCAAAATATACATTGTTGCAATGTGTTTCTTCCCCACAAAATATCTAGACTCATTGTTTTAAAGAAAACGTCTTGTTTTGTAATGGTAGCTGAAAAAATATCCAGTCTCTATACAATATCCCAGCAGCTCTGGATATCCCTAGCGCTCGGCGTAAAGGGGATAAAACAAGGACTGGTCGGGTCGGTCAGTGCAATGGATACCGATGGAATCTCTTTGGACTGGCGCTATAAATTCGGCATAGTACAAGCAGTCACACACACACACACACACACACACACACACACACACACACACACACACACACACATGCGCGTCTCCATATAAGTGCAACATCGCGCGTCGTTAACCCTCATTTCACCCATCTCACCTTGATGATCGCCCATGCTAATAGTCATTCGTTTTTCTAGGCCATATTCACGTGGTATATAATAAGATGTAACATTACTGACTTCGGCGTCAAACAACATCAGCTCTCTCCCTTACCCCAGGTATCTTCGTGCATGACAACTGTGAGACTACGCCAGACATAGACTCCAACGGTATCACCCAAGGCCCGGACAAATCTGGAACGCTCATCAGCGACCTTAAGAAGATCCTTGACGTTGCCGAAACTAACAATGTCCTCGTCTTCTTTGCTCTCTTCAACGGTGCCCAGAAGAAGACCGACCACTGGAAGCTCCAGGGCATCATCGCAGACGACAACAAGAGACAGAAGTACATCGAGATGGCCCTGCAGCCTATGGTGAAGGCCCTGGGCAACCACAAGGCCCTCGGAGGCTGGGACATCATGAACGAGATGGAGGGTATCATTAAGGTCGAGGCTCATGCAGGGGACAGCTGCTTTGATACCAGCTTCTTACTCAAGTCCGGGGCGGGTTTTGCTGGGGCAACCTACAGCGCTCAGGATCTACAAAGGTGAACCGGAAACAGCACAAGGAATCCCGATGATTCATGATATTTATTTATATTTGAGCAGTGCCATCCCGTGAAGCGTCTTATATGTGCTGGCGTTTCTTTTGGTTCGGTAAGAGTAATGTTTCAAGTTCAACTTCCAAATAATTTGGCACATAGTCAACATCTTTATTTCTGATTATTGCAAAGGAGTAGCCTAGTGTTTATAGCGTCCCTCACTCTTTCAGATTATGGCGAAAGATTAGCCTGTTTATAGCGACACTCGTTCTTTCAGATTTTCCTGTTAAGGCTGGCATTTCAAAAGCTTTGGAAGTGTACACACAGCTTTGTTTATTGCAACCAATAGACTTTTTTGTTAACACCCGAGTACTTTCATATATACCGTGAGTGTGTACAGTTGCACACTGTTCTTGGCAATAATCCAACAATATTACAGAGGGGGATACTTATAACGGGCTTGAGGACCCAAACCACGATCATCGTCGAGGGAAGTGGAATCAACGCTTTAACAATAGGCTACCCCACTGCCCATTCGTTCTTCAAACGCGTCTTGCTGAAGGATGTAATTAAATGAAGGTGTTTCGTTTGAGATGTCTTGTCTTGTCCTTTAGGTTTCTGAACCACCTGGCCAATGGTATCAAGCAGGCAGACAGTGCTGCGCTGATCACATCCGGGTCATGGAACCCAATATCCAACACGGACATGTTTGGTTCTCAAAACCTGTACAATGATAGCTGTCTCCGCAAAGCAGGTGGAAAACAACAGGTTAGGTTGAACTGGGTTGTACACAGCTTTATACAACATATCACCCATCAGGTCAAATCTGAAATTAAATTCTTTAGCCCTGAACGCGTAATGCTATCCATGTCTCAACCATCGAATAGAAGCACGGTTAAGGGACGGAACTCTGCACAACAAAATACGGCGCTTTTGACCATGGGTAAACCATACCTTGCCTCAAACGCGCTATCACGATACGATGTAGATTGTTTATTATTTCCGTATGTATTGACAATGATCTCTTCCCAATATATCCCTAGTTCCGTCGTTTAAACTGACAGTGGTTGGTGAATGTGAGTATGATTTTACGCCGCTTTTAACACTATTATCATGACATGGCGTTTTGTCACGAGGTGGAATGAGGTTAAACCATTCAATATTATTGAAATTATAGAGCGACGAGCATGCATATGTGTGTGGCTGCTTGTATTTGTCCGCAAAAAGGCCGATTTTATAGTGCTAGCCCACTGAGATACCCTGCTGACGTTTAACATGAATACCCCACTCAGACACAGTATACTGACTCCGCGCCGTCCAGTTCTTGTTTTAGCCTTTTAATGCCGAGCGCAAGGTTGGGTAACAACAAGTACCATATATTAACAGTCTCTCCGGGCAGATCTCTATCACTAGACCACGGGGGCGGTCCACGGATTGTTCCATTGTTGGCAACTGAACCCGGTTCTTCGGCGTGACCATCTTCCCGGGGCATGGGAGTTAACTGACTGTAAACGTCCAGTTTCGATCCTTGCCGAACAAGGCTGGAATTTTTAGGTTCGATCGTAGCGCCACCAGTGGCTATTACGAATTATGTCCCTTCTATGTCCTTCCTATTGACCAATAAGATTCCATCTCTCATATCACTTGCCTTTGCTTCAAACAAAATGAGGGCGCCTAGTCAAGACGATCTGATCGATAATCAAGATCTATATTATAACGGGTAACATGTTATAATATAGCGGGTCTTACCTCGCGACGTGCATCAAGTCAAGTGAGAATTAAAAGCATGGGGTGATTTTGAAAATATTTGTCGGCGCCCAATTAACTGTACACATCCTGTTCAAATCTTTCAGTCGACCGAAATCCGTGTTGTTTCCGAACAGGATGTCGATTTCGTTACGCGATCTTATTGCATAGGCTCATTAGTCCTGCCAAAATATAACTCCGTAATTTCAGCCTAGTTCGACAAGGATGGAAACTGGACTTTTACAGTCAGTTATTAACTCCTTTGCCTAGGGAAGATGCGTCGTGACGAGCGAACGACAGTGACAGTAACTCTTTGTCATGTATAGTTGCTCACGCTACCAACCTCTGATTTGCCTCTCCAAGCTTTAAGTATTTAAGCATGATATAGACTGCGACGTAAAATAATCTTCACTCCCTATTTGTGTTTGTGCTGTACACAGGGGGTCCTCTCCTTCTACTCTACCCACACCTACGCAAAGGCAGATACGTGTCAGTGTCACTATGACAACATCTCGCCCTTCCACGGAGCTGGAGTAAGTATTGACGTCACACCTGTTGACGCTATGAAACATTACACAATGCTATTGCAATAGAAAAAATAGTAATATGCCGACGATAGAGTATACAATCAACATCACTTATTTTCCTCCCGATATGTGGGAATTATATGGATATGTACAAGTACCCAAAATTTGACTCAATAATCAACTTGCAACCGGAAGCGTTGGGCCACCATCTTGTTATCCAAAACAGCTGCCGATGTTCGTATATTTGGTGACCAAAGGAAGAGCAATGTATAAAGTTTCTTCAAATATTTGTAATTTATGGCTGTATATCTACAGCCACCTATAGATCCCAGTAGTGACAATTAGAGAAAGGTGATAATAAACAATGAACGAACAAGGGAATGTAGTAACCGCACTAAGATACGGGTAGCTGCTTCAGTCACAGGTAAGCCACTTTTACCTTGATTCCAATTTCGAGTCAGAATGGGTCCTCAACAACATACAGTCAAGTCTTGGTAATCCGACACTCGTTAATCCGACACTCGGCTTTATCCGACACAAATGATTGGAACCGATTGATTCAGTGCTATTTAGTCCCGTTAATCCGACATTCTATGCTTGTCAGGGCCGACCTAATGGACAGGATGGTAACGTGGTCGATTGCTGGCAATGTAGACGTAGACCGTTGTTCATAATCACTGGTGTGTCTGATCCAGACTCGATTGTTTACAGGCCGCCGTCATACAGCTGGAATATTGCTGAGTGAAACTAGAAAATGATGAATTATTCACGTGTCTTCCAGCATCACAAGAGTGACTATGGCCTGGATAAGCCCCTTGTAATCGCCGAGTTCAGTGAGAAGAAGGGGGACGGGTGGACCGCGAGCCAGCAGTTTAACCACGCCTACTACTACGGGTATGCCGGGGCGTGGGGGTGGCAGTACAAGCAGGAGTCGTCTGATGCTGACGAGGACACTGCGGCCGTCATCAACGCCGGGCTCCAGTTCCTTAAGGGCAAGACAGACGCCAGCAACGGAGGAACAGTCAATTTTCATTTGTGATTGATATGTGTTGTGGTGAAAAGAAAAATAATTAATATTGTATGATATTGACGTTTCGTTTGTATTTATATTGAAAATGTCACGCTTTGTTGTAGGACATCTCAAATATAAGAGCCCAACTAATAATGAATTATAACGCTTGTGTATTTAGTTGAAGAATAGTTTGATGTCTTGAACATTTACTGCAAAAATACAAATATGTTTTTCGTTTGGTATTCAACAATGTCATCCTTATTGCGTATATACTGCTCAGAAAAAGAAACGTAAACCAGATGTGCTGTGCATCTGAATAGATGATTGGTGATGACATATTGCACTGGACACAAAAAATAACAATGGTCAAGGTCCTCAGAACACAATATATTGTGTGTCCACCATTAAGTTCAAGCACTGCCTGTATAGCAGATGTTCAAAGTGTTGACGTCACCGTTGACGATGTTGTTGCATCAAAACACCAACTATGATGGGCCAGAGCCCCCTCTGAGACGGAACGAAGGCGTTTCCACACTCTGTGGCCTTCGCAAAACGGAAATTGTTACGGTGGTAAGGGGGTGTTGTTGGTGAGGTGACGTGTCACGCTGCTGGTACCAAACTCTAGAGATGGTGGTCCGATTCTCGGAGTAAATTATCTGATTTAATAAGATTGGATCCTTCCTTACATCTGACGGTGGCAAATCACATATTATCTTGTCTACACTCTGTGGTCTCTTGTAATACACGTCGCAGCTTACCGCTGTAATCTCCCTAGCCTGCGGGGGTCCTGGATAAGATAGTGGTCCCAAACCACGGATCCATACTGAAGGGAGGGTGTTACTTGTTTAATGTAGGCTACCCAGGCCACACACGACTGCGACTGCCTTGCTACCAGACGTTGTTCGTTGTTTCCTTGTGTTTCAGTTAGTAGTGGCAAGACTTAGTAGTACAACAGTTGGTATCAGGTAGGCACTTGAGAACCACACACACACACACACACACACACACACACACACACACACACACACACACACACACACACACACACACACACACACACACACACACACACACACACACACACATACACTCATTCACCCACCCACCCACCCATCCACTCACTCACTCACAATATCATAATCCCACGTGCAGAATAAGCACGTGCATCAACCCCGTGGTTATCATGAGATGTTACTTTTCTGAATTAATACAGTAGCTGAAGTGTTTGATAGGCATGACTTAGATTTTGATGGATGACATGGATGGCTGTCTTATTTGTCAATAGCAAAAGCTTTCAAATATGAAGATAACAGAGTTAACTGTGTAACATACCTCGATCCCTCAAGCCTGTGAACATACTCCACAAGTTTGTCAAGCCTTCTGTGCTGGTGTGTAACATACCTCGATCCCTCTAGCCCGAGAACATACTCCACAAGTTTGTCAAGCCTTCTGTGCTGGTGTGTAACATACCTCGATCCCTCTAGCCTGAGAACATACTCCACAAGTTTGTCAAGCCTTCTGTGCTGGTGTGTAACATACCTCGATCCCTCTAGCCTGAGAACATACTCCACAAGTTTGTCAAGCCTTTTGTGCTGGTGTGTTAACATACCTAGATCCCTCTAGCCTGGGAACATACTCCACAAGTTTGTCAAGCCTACTGTGCTGGTGTGTTAACATACCTCGATCCCTCTAGCCTGAGAACATACTCCACAAGTTTGCCAAGCCTGCTGTGTTGGTGTGTTAACATACCTCGATCCCTCTAGCCTGGGAACATACTCCACAAGTTTGTCAAGCCTTCTGTGCTGGTGTGTTAAGATACCTCGATCCCTCTAGCCTGAGAACATACTCCACAAGTTTGTCAAGCCTTCTGTGCTGCCGTGTTAACATACCTCGATCCCTCTAGCCTGAGAACATACTCCACAAGTTTGTCAAGCCTTCTGTGCTGGTGTGTAACATACCTCGATCCCTCTAGCCTGAGAACATACTCCACAAGTTTGTCAAGCCTTCTGTGCTGGTGTGTTAACATACCTCGATCTTTCTAGCCTGAGAACATACTCCACAAGTTTGTCAAGCCTTCTGTGCTGGTGTCTTAACATACCTCGATCCCTCTAGCCTGAGAACATACTCCACAAGTTCGTCAAGCCTTCTGTGCTGGTGTGTAACATACCTAGATCCCTCTAGCCTGAGAACATACTCCACAAGTTTGTCAAGCCTTCTGTGCTGGTGTGTTAACATACCTCGACCCCTCTAGCCTGAGAACATACTCCACAAGTTTGTCAAGCCTTCTGTGCTGCCGTGTTAACATACCTCGATCCCTCTAGCCTGAGAACATACTCCACAAGTTTGTCAAGCCTTCTGTGTTGGTGTGTTAACATACCTCGATCCCTCTAGCCTGAGAACATACTCCACAAGTTTGTCAAGCCTTCTGTGTTGGTGTGTAACATACCTCGATCCCTCTAGCCTGAGAACATACTCCACAAGTTTGTCAAGCCTTCTGTGTTGGTGTGTTAACATACCTCGATCCCTCTAGCCTGAGAACATACTCCACAAGTTTGTCAAGCCTTCTGTGCTGGTGTGTTAACATACCTCGATCCCTCTAGCCTCAGAACATACTCCACAAGTTTGTCAAGCCTTCTGTGCTGGTGTGTTAACATACCTCGATCCCTCTAGCCTGAGAACATACTCCACAAGTTTGTCAAGCCTTCTGTGCTGGTGTGTTAACATACCTCGATCTCTCTAGCCTGAGAACATACTCCACAAGTTTGTCAAGCCTTCTGTGCTGGTGTGTTAACATACCTCGATCCCTCTAGCCTGAGAACATTAGTCCACAAGTTTGTCAAGCCTTCTGTGCTGGTGTGTTAACATACCTCGATCCCTCTAGCCTGAGAACATTAGTCCACAAGTTTGTCAAGCCTTCTGTGCTGGTGTGTAACATACCTCGATCCCTCTAGCCTGAGAACATACTCCACAAGTTTGTCAAGCCTTCTGTGCTGGTGTGTTACCATACCTCGATCCCTCTAGCCTGAGAACATACTCCACAAGTTTGTCAAGCCTTCTATGCTGGTGTGTAACATACCTCGATCCCTCTAGCCTGAGAACATACTCCACAAGTTTGTCACCGCTGTGGTTCGGGTATCCTTCTGTGCTGGTGTGTTAATATGCCTCTGTTTATCATGTTTTGGGGTGAGAAGCAGGTGCTCTGATGCACTTCAATTTCTGCGTATAGTAAGCCTCGTGTCGAGTCAAGACGCAATCCTCTATTGTTGCCTGGCAATAACAATCGACAGTTAATAAACCAGAAACTTTACATAACTCGCCAACATGCTTCAAATCAGGTGATTTGACCAGAACAATGCATTGCATCTCGTTCACGTATGGAATTAAACGATGGGGGTACGATTAGGGCATTGTTTTTACAACAACTTGATCTGCTTAATTTAAAAATATGGGAAAACTGTCAGAACCTTTCTTAAGAAAGTATTCAGGTATGCCCACTGGAATTATCAACACGTGTATTTGGGCACCAAGGTAACAATAACGCTAAAAGTGATGAGGAACGTTTCACTGTACAGACTGTAATACCTGAACACGAGTTCAGCACATGGAGTTTCCCGAAAGGTGAAAACAGCATTACTTTCTCACCTTCTACGGTACGCTTCTGTACTGTTAGTGTTGGCGTCTAGTTACACAGAGACCATATATCAGTTAGGTACCTACCCGTGAAGATCAGGGTTAGCATTGGTATTCAGGAACCCAAGCTTGTCGTAAGATGCCACTAAAGGGATCGGGTGGTCAGGCTCGCTGACTTGGTTTGTGCATGTCATTGTATCACATTTGCGTAGGCCGATACTCATGATATCGATCACTGGATTGCCTGGTCCAGACTCGATTATTTATCGATCCACGTAATGTATCAACCAAGTCAGCGAGCCTGACCACCCGATCCCGTTAGTCGCCACTTACGACAAGCATAGTCGCTTTTTACGGCAAGCATGGGTTGCTGAAGGCCTATTCTACCCCGTATCTTCACGGGTCAAAGCTCGTATCAGGGTGGGGGTGTAAATATGAGACTCCTTGGCGCTGTACTTACACAACATGTTTATGACTATCTCCGATTTCTATTCTGTACATGTATATCGGTAAAAGGTTTTGATAAGGGATTTAATGCAACAACTTACATTATTGTGATAGATTAATGAGACACAGAGATTACTAGTCTGAATGTCTTCCGTCTCAGGCTGAAAATAAAGCTATTCTCTGGATATTCTCCGCTCTATTAATGCTCTTGTTCCCCAGCTTCATGCTCACTGACACCGGAACCGTGCGTTATTTTACTGGAACCACACACATATATGTAAATTCTGTTTAGAATTATAAAACTATAGTATAGGGCGATCAATATTATACTTATTACATGTTTCCACAATAAAAGTTGAAGTGTGAGAGAAGTCTAAACATATTTTCTAAAACTCTTTCATTTCAATGTGTTAGCTGTTTCCCTGCAATCCTTTTGTTTTGTCCCAGAATAAGCATGTCTCGAAAAAATGTTCAAGGAGTTAGTAACACCTAATAATACAAAAAGTATGATTACATTCTGAATGGAAACATTTTGTGAAACGGCATAATATCCATTTTTTGTAATATTCAAAGTATCAACACTTTAATTTTTGCGTCAATACTCTTGAAACTTAATAATTAACATAATTTTAAAGTATTTTATACAATCATTTTAAATATCGGCAATGAACAAAAGTACTTCCTGCAGGATCGAATACAGGAAGTATTATTCCAACCATAGCAACGTTTACATTGTTGCTCGAAAAGATGTGAGGTTTGAAAATGCGTGTAAGTTGCTGAGAGATAGGCTGGGGCAGTAAATATTCCTGTCAGAAAAACTTACGGTGGCATGTCAATGATGGATGATAGGAATCTTTACATGTGTTGTGAAATTCCACGGATAAAAGCTATGCTGATTCGTTTAGTCAATGAAAATGAAATGATTTTCTGTGTTATATTATTATATATTAAAAGATAATTTAATGCACTCAAAAATACAGCATCCTTAAAGTTAATTGTGTTAGGGTCAGGGTTATTCTAATTCTTCCCTTAGCCCGTGGATACTTGAATGCAAATAGTGGCGATAATGTTAGTCACGAAAAGTAGAAGCGTATTCCAAATGATTAGCGGCCAGCCAACCTCGAGTTATTTCCCTTTGGAAGAGGTGGCGCAAACGACAAGACGTCGTCCGCATGAAGAAAAGTTGGTTCTTTTGCAGATTGTAAACATTGGTTAATTTTAATGAATGACGATGGAAATTGGATCTGAAATCAGTCACAAGATCCGGGTAAGATTCTAGCACTATATGCATAGTAGATTAAACATGCACCACAACATGAATCCAATGTCAATGGCGTTCAATAAAAAGCTATTCGGTGTACCCTAATTTCGTGGTACATTTACTTGCCTTTGGGTGTCCAGCTAATGCACTGGCTACACAGTTGTCAGTCACCGTAGTACCGAACAAGACTGTTGATATGTCAATTATGAAACTACACTATCTTAATCACATTTTTGTGTTGTGATGGTTGGTGAAAATTAACAACACTAAGCTTGTTTCGTGTAGTCGTTGAACGACACTAGACGGTTCATCAGCTGTTCATGTTCGTGTTGACCAATATATGCACATTTTCGCAAACCCAGGCTCTAATGTGTGGACTGTTAACAGTTGATGATGAGTATGATTTCTAGAGTTGCGTATGTTATATTTATTTCAAATTCAAGGGATCACTAGCATGTAGGAAAATGTTTGGCAACAATGCAGTTTATTGGGGACAGCTAATATAGCGCCTATTAGCTCAGGTTGCCGACTGTGCCTCTGGCTTCGCCGATTTCGCGTGCCTCTTCGATTTTGTTTTTGTTGTGTAAGGGTAATGATCTCCCTTCCGATAAATAACAATAATAGCCCACTCCAATCTTTGCTGCCTATGGTAAGTTGTTATCGCCACATCCCTTCACAGAACTCCTTGCTGGTGGGCTGCATAGAGTCTTTTTTTAATGATAGATGTTGAAGTACAGCTTCCTGTATATGCACTTCGATCTCTGTTGATAACAGCAGCAATTTTGGATCTATTATGAAGTGCAAGTCACGTAATGAGACGATCATCATGTCTTGATGTCATTTTTTAGGTCTGCCGCTCCCAGCTCTCATTGCGACCCAATCCATTTGATGGTACTCGTCCCACAAATGAGAAAGTGCACCTTTTGATTTGTCAAACATTTGATTGTGAGTTCCCCTATAGGTGCACCCACTTTGGCTTGTGTGCATGTGTCTGTAGTATATTTCTGTATGCCTCACTTTTGCCCTCAATTCAGTGCCTTAACATAGACCTTGGGTTCAGTGCCTGAACATAGACCTTGGGTTATGATCCTGACTCTTTGGTATTAATCTTTGTCTAACCTCAGTTCAGCATGTTAACAGTTATCATGCTTATGACGTACTTTAATGACGAGACATGTCTGTTTGTTTTTTTGCAGTCTGCTATTAAGGCAAAACTGGTTGAACTTGGAGCCTATGTAGGTATGTAATTCCACCGGGATTTTTAACTTTACTATGTTGATCATGTTGACAGGGACTGAATGTTTGTAAAAACATGATGATAATGTGGATAATTATTATAATATTCTTTAAACCATGGTCACTTAAATCCAGCATAGTAAAAAATGAATAGATGAATGAAATAGTTTACATATATCATGTATATGATTATCAAAATACATATTTTGTTAATTAGATAAACTTGTAAACACAATGACTCTTTGCTGTATGAGGAGATCTCTGCTTGGTTTGTCATGTTTCTAGGTTTATACTGTGTGTTTGTAATGTAGATGAAGAGCTACCAGACTACATCATGGTGATGGTGGCCAACAAGAAGAACAGTTTACAAATGAAAGAGGACCTCAATCTCTTCCTTGGTGGGAACACAGAAAAGTTCACCACATGGTAATCTTGTTTTCTTTAATATTGATTTATTTCTGGTAAACATGGATAGGGTCATTACTGTTGCTAATAGCAGCATGTTTTTGTGTTTTTCATCCATTAAACATTGTTAAATATTTCTATAATGATCTGTTGTCGAGAACACTTCATGTTGTAGTTTTCAAAATATGGATTTCCCATTATTTGAATATTGTAAGACAAAGTATAATTCGGTCTCGCTTTAGTGTTTTCATCTTGATCAGGGGCAGTCAGGTAGCCTAGTGGTTAAAGCGTTCGCTCGTCTCGCCGTAGACCCGGGTTCCGACATGGGTACAAGGTGTGAAGCCCATTTCTGGTTTCCACCGCCGTGATATTGCTGGAATATTGCTGAAAGCGATGTAACACCACACTCACTCACTCATCTTGATCAAGTCAGTCTACTAATGTATACTGTGTCAAATAAACTCTAATTTTGTGTGAGTATTGAATTTTGTGTTTCTTGCTAGTACATTTATTAAGCTGACCTTTAAAAAGAGATTACAGCCTCATATTAATTCTTTGTTTACAGGCTCCACAACCTCATCAACAAGTTGCAGTCTATCTCAAGTGGTGAGAAATGTCCTATGGCTAGAGTGAAAGATAACTTTGTGACAATTTCAACAAAACATCCTCAATTAATCCATAGATTGGAAATTTCAAATAGTGTGGTGACACGACCATCTGAAGGAGGAGAACTACATTGTGAACAGAAATTATTTTGTCTAGCATTCAGTTATCATGTTTATAGCAGCTTCCCAAGGCAAGGCAGTTAACTGACTATGTAAGTTTCCACCCTTGCCGCACTAGGCTGGAAGTATGGCATTATATTTTGGCAGGACTAAGGAGTCTATACATAGTCCAATCAAAATCCTGTGACGAAAATCGACATCCAGTTCCTAAACTGTCGTGCAGGTTTAGGTCGATTGCAGGATTTGCATATCTTTTGTACCGGCAACTAGGCGATGACAGATATTTTCCAATTTTTTTCATGTTTTAAATGAAGGCGCTCAAGTAATCTCATGCTCTAGATCTTGATTATCGATCAGATCGTCTTGACTGGGTGCCACCATTTTGTTTGACGCAAATGCAAGTAATATAATAGGTGGAATCTGATTAGTCAATAGGAAGGACATATAAGGGATGTAATTCGTAATAGCAACTGGTGGCGCTACAATCGAGCCACGAAATTCCAGTCTAGTTTGGCAAGTGTAGAAACTGGACGTTTACAGTCTGTTAACTCTCTTGCCTTGTGAAGAAGGCTCATAGTGATTTCTTGAAAATATTGAACCTTTCACAGATTCACAATCAGAACTGTAATTCAACACATATGAAACTTGAAGATTTTGAAAACTTATAAGGGAAAAGCATGAGCATGATGAAAGTCATGGGGTCCTTGTCATGAGACTTAAAGATTGAAGGAGTCTCTAGATTTAAACATGTGTTAAATAATTTCTTGATTTCGAACACTGAGACAATAATGGATGTCTCTACATTAGCACATGTTGAGGGATTACTGACTGCACAATACAGAAAAAGTATTCTGTCATTTGTGTCTGATCATGATTGAAAGGAATAATTGATGGTATAAGACCAACACCTGATTAATATAAAACCAAAAGAAAACTCACAATCAGCAAATTGTTGCCAAACCAAACATCAGCTCACATGATGGAGGATGAATATACCAGTAGTGGCTTGAGACAATAAATTATCTTTCAGAAACAGTATCAGACGACAAGGAGAAAGAAAAGAAGGAGAAGGAGAGGAAGAAATCCACGGAAAAGAAGAAATTTGCCACAATAGATGTACCAGTGGCAGTGCCTGTTAAGAAGGTTGAGAAGGCACCTGCAGTCCAGAAGGAGACGGTGAAGCCTAAGGCCATCAAAGTGAAAGAGGTAGTTGTGCAGAAGGAGCCCTCACCTGCACCAGAGCCTGAAGAACCGGAGTTTACTGTCAGGGCAGATACAGGTGAGGCAGCAGTAGCAGTAGGATGACTTAGTTGTTTAAGGCCCAGCTTCATTTCCCAAGTAGGTACAAGATGTACAGCTCTAATCTGCTCTCCTCTCACCAAACATATCTTTTGGAACTACTCGTCAGAAATTTGGCATTATTTTCAGCTGATTTTTCACTTAATATACGGCTTAATATATAGGCCAGAAGACATTTTACTAGACTCGGGGTAGGACTAGTAGCTATTGTCGCAGACTGATATGTTAAGCATAACATACTAAAAGGAGGCATATAACTATACTCTCTCACTCAGTTGAGCTGTTATCATGATGTAGATATACATGATACTCTCTAAGTGTTTAGACTTAGAGACATTACTGATCTGTTATAACCATTCTATATTGTATGATACTCAGAATCAGTATCTTCAGATTAGTGTGAGGACAGTCTGTGGACCGCCTCTGTGGTCTAGTGGTAGAGCGTCCGCCCAGAGAGCGGAAGGTCCGGGGTTCGATCCCCGGCCGCGTCATACCAAAAGACGTTAAAAGATGGTACTTGTATTTACCCTGTCTGGCACTCGGCATTAAAAGGCTAAAACAAGGACTGGTCGGCTCGGAGTCAGTAATCTGTGTCTGAGTGGGGTATTCATGTTAAACTGCGGCATGGTATCTCAGTGTGCTAGCACTATAAATCGGCATCAGTCCGGACTAGTACAAGCAGCCACACAAACACACACATGCATGCACATCACTATAAGTGCAATAATCTTGGACGCGACGTTAAACCCCCTTTCACCTCACCACCTCACTAAACCTGTGAAGACGATAGACAGGTTTCAGTTTTGTAGGACCAGAGCTCGAAATTGGTCAGAATTAGATGTCGGTTGTATTTTTGAAAGAGCAATGATGCAGGGCTCCGTTCCCTTTGTGGATCTATATAAATATATTTATATATGCATGTAATATTTCAGATGAGTTCAGTGAAGAAATGAAAGAGATTGAAAAACAGGCAGAGGCAAAGAGAGTCCCCAGTCAGCCCACTACCACAGCTCCCCCAGTAGTAATCCCCACCCCTAAGGTCGTAGTCGCCACTCCCCCACCAGCTCCTGTGACGGTAGTGAGGGAGCCACCCGTGGTCCGACCCGCAGCTAGTGCTGTGTCTCGACTAAGTGACAGAAAGCCTGTTGCAAGACCAGAGGCCCGGCGGGATGGGAGGTCCGTTGTCTCATCAGACAAACCAACTACAGTAGTCAGAAGGGTGAGTTTCTGTCGGGTACCACTGCTCACTGCTTTTATTTCTGTCTGGGCCAAATACTACTAGCTTGAACATGTATTTTGTCATTATTTTCTGTAGATTTTAGTCTTTTGTACATGTACGGTAAATCTTTAAGTTAATGTGTCTCCAAATTAATATAACTGCTGACCCCTAGCCCAAAAGCGACTCAATATCAATGCAACTCCCCCCACCCCATCCCCAGTGGAATGATACCTATCCTTATCTTAATCCAACCTAACCTTAATCCAAGCAAATAGCACCACGCTGAGTTGAGCACTTCGATAAAAACAATTAACAGTGTTTTCCTAAAAACAACACGGGTATTAATGAAGTTCAAGGGCAATAAAATAATTGAACCAACAACAGTTCACTGATAGATATGCAGAGAAGGTGTTAACAAACTTGAAGGCAAATGACAAGACAAAGGCTGTTAGATCTGAGGAGTGTGGTGAAGCCTATTGGTGCGCGTTGGGTTGTGTTGGCTTTTGACGAAGTGTCACGTGGGTGGCGTCTCTCTGGACTGCTGTAGTGGTCAATGTTGCCTAGTTTTACATGAGTGGGTAGAACTCTTGACCCCAGCCGTGATAACTCACCAGATGCCTCTTGTGTAATTCCTATTCTTTGAATGACATGGTTACATTCACCCTTTTACAACTGCTGCTCAGTAAACCGTGTTTGTGATAATATTCAAGTTGGTATCCAAAGTGTGCAGTGAGGCAGTCTTATTGTTGATAGTCATTTTGGAGACATAGATGCAAAGTTTCATTAATGCGAAGAAAGACCACTCGCATTTTTCGCATTTAATTCACACTTGCATTAATTTCAAGATTTACAGTATATGGACTAGAATAAGCTGATCTTACAAGGCAAGAAATGTTTTGCAAGACTTGGGCTTTTGAGTAGTCGGCTAAAATCACAAAATAATTGATTTTAATTTCAAAGGGTCGGATATGGTCGGAAATAATGATTACATCATGTACATCACTGTTTATTTCCGTAGTGGCAACACATGCCACCCACCCTATCCTGCTAGCCCTGGTGTGAAAATTCATAAGGGGTTTTCTGATACTGTTTGGACACTAGTAGGGTAGATTGGGGCATGTAGGGGCAGTTTCTGTGTTTCCTTCACTAATTTTCTTTTTTCTTTCAGTAACTTAAAAGAAGTGGCCTAATAAGTTTTGGGATATATTTTCGGAAATATCATAAACATGATAAAAGGGCTAGTTGTATCCAAGCGATCACTTTGCTGTTTGTGTGTAATATATTGAGCTGTCTTACAAACTGGTCGTTAGGGCAGTGAGGTAGCCAAGGGGTTAAGGCATTCACTCTTCACACCAAAAACCCGGGTTCGATTCCCTACATGGGTACAATGTGTGAAGTCCATTGCTTTTAAACTTATTGCATACTGCGTGAAATGGGGACAATTTTTCTCAGAAACTACTAAAGTTACTTGAATGAAAGTTTGCATGCTTATCTAAGTGATACCTGTCAAGACTGAGTTTGAAAAGTGGCCCTGTCAGATATATTTTTATTGAGTTATGGCCCTTGCTTCATGCTTTTGAAGTTAGTGCATACCGTGTGAAATGGGAGTCAAGTTTTCTCAGAAACTACTGAAGTTAAGATTTGTTCAAATTTCGAACTGATCCAGTCTGAGTTAAAATATTGGTGCCGTAAATTATTTCTTTGCAGAGTTATGACCCTTGATCCATGTTATTTTACATGTGGCATGTGATGAAGCTAGATCTAAGAGATACTTGGAGACTGAGTTATTTTTCCAGAGAAGGGACCTTTTGTCATGTTTGTGTGTATTAATTTCATATTTAATCATTTTTTCTGATGACATTAAGACCGCCTCCGTGGTCTAGTGGTAGAGCGTTGCCCGGAGAGCGGAAGGTCCGGGGTTCGATCCCCGGCCGCGTCATACCAAAAGACGTTAAAAGATGGTACTTGTTAGCCTGTCTGGCGCTCGGCATTAAGGGGCTAAAACAAGGACTGGTCGGCTCGGAGTCAGTAATGTGTGTCTGAGTGGGATATTCATGTTAAACTGCGGCATGGTATCTCAGTGTGCTAGCACTATAAATCGGCATCAGTCCGGACTAGTACAAGCAGCCACACAAACACACACATGTACATGCACATTGCTATATAAGTGCAATAATCTTGGACGCGACGTTAAACCCCATTTCACCTCTTTCTTCTTAAGGCTTTATAGGACTCTTTTTTTTATGGTTTATATTCACTACTATATGAACAAACAAAATTCTAATGTGCTCCATGGCGGAGAATAGTGATAACAGTGTTTTCTTGTTTTATTTTCTCTTCAAAACCACATAGTGAATGCTTCTACCATGTTTGCTGTTAATGTTTTACAGACAATGGTTATGAAGTCTTCCAGTATAGCTTTGAAGCGGAAAGCCCCTAGTTCTGTAGTGAAACCCATGTCCAGTCCTGCTGAGGAGGAGGAAGAGTACGACCCTCACAATCCCTCGGTGGGCAGCGTTGCCAGTGTAGTGCGAGTCACTGCAAGGAAGTGAGTGTGTTAGCTTACAGCTTGCTTTCAACTTGCCAGGTGATTAAAGTGTCCCTTCACAGATTTCCCTTCATCTGAATCTGTGAAGTCATGGTGTCCCCTGACCTGATATTGCTGGAGTGCTGCTAGGAGCTCGCTCCTTGTGTGTGGTCAAACCAATTTGTCTCTTCTTGTTTTATGTTTGGAATGGAACTACCAAACTACCAACTACCCAAGGACACAAGTGAACTGGACCAATAAAGAGCATTGAAAAAAGGCTTTAGTGCTTAGTGCTACACTATTTTACTGAATGTAATGTTAAAATGCCTTCTAATTTGAGTAAATAGGAACTTCACAATTGAGTTTTCCCCAGTCTGCCTGCCTAAGGCACTTCGTTTAGAATCTTAGAAATACACGTTTCACCTGCGATGGACATAATGAGATGTGGCTGCAGACTGCTCTTGTCAGACATGAAGCAACTAACTGTACTGTACTGTACTGTACTGTCTTTCTTCGTACAAGTTAATACTTTTTGGATAACAAAAAGGGGAAAAAATGTAAAAACAGGCCAAACTGAATTTCTACACAGAGTTATGGGAATTGAATTGCCGCGTGGGGAAGAGGCCACCCTAACTAACTGTATGCCGTGTATCTTTATCCCAGGTCTAGTGTACCCCGATCTCTCCAGGCCAACAAGATGCTGCTGATGAAGGCTATGACAGATGCAGAGAAGTCCGTCACCACCACTGGCAAGCGATCAGTCACAGTAGCCGACACCAGACAAGGTATGTGGCTATGTCGCAGGAACACATCAGCTTCTGTCCTACGCAGTTCTTGTTTTCAAATATTGGAAACTCAACTTTGTTAACTGTTTCCTTTGTAACTATTTCCTTTGTAACTATTTTTTTTTTAACTGCAAAACAACTGCACCATGGAACCGAAGGGAGACATGTTGCCCCCTTGATAACAACCCATACAATCCAACATTAAAATAAGAGGTAAAACCCACGACTACATAACCCTTATAGATCCCCCGCTAATATTAATTCAAGTATAAATGAACACATCATTCCTTCCATGTAGATCAGCCAAGTACATTCTACACGAAACTGATACGTAATATATGTTGAACAGCCCTGCCCCAGCCATGCAGTCTTAAATCTATCATATTGATCATTGCGTGATTTTGTGAAATCAGTAAATGGCCACACAAGATCAATGTACAATCAACAAATATGTGGCAGCAGCAATATATAATAGGATTTATTTCCTGTCTGTGCACTTATGAATGTCCAGAATTTGTCCTTGTCTTGAGGGAGACACATGCTCTGTTCTTGAAGCAGAGATACCATATTGGAAGCAGGTAAATTGTTGATGTTTTCCGATAGGTATCATCTGCACTTTGGAAGTAGATTAGTAGAAGAGGGCTTCAAATTGCTTGTGTAGGTACAGCCAGCTTTTTAGAAATGCCTCAAACCGTGTAGTACTACCCTTGTAAATAAGCCTTTAATTTAAGCAAGCTCCTCACAGCGGAGCTCTCTATACTGGAAGGGTAATGAAGATGTGAAGGACTGGTATGGAGCTTGGACTGTAAACAGTAAGGGAGGTCACTCTATTTAACATGTGTGTTTGATTTGCTTCACTAACAATCATCAGAAACATACTTACAATATATGCTGCCACATAACAATAGTTTGAGACAGGCAGCTCATTTCTGAGTTTGTCTTTGGTTTTCCTTGTCAGAGCGAGGCCAGCAGCGCTCTCAGTACAACAGCAGTAGGGGAACAGTACCAGCAGACAACAACGTGACACGGTCCTACAACCCCACTCGACCTAGCCTGGTGTCCCGGTCCAAGAAGGAGGAGATTATGAGGAGAATGAAGTACACCATCGAGGTCGAGTCACCTCAGGATTCACCCGAGGAACCAGGCTCTGGTAGGTTTGCTAATGAATTGAAAGCTTTGCTGAAGGAATAATAGTAGGCATTTTCAACATGTCCAAAAATGGAAAGTTTCTGTTTAAAAAGAATTTTACTAAATGTATTTGATACAGGAACATGGCTAATAATGGCAAATAAGAGATAGCTAATCATTATCACCACTATGAATGAATTTTATACAAGCAAACAAAAAATTAGTCTGCTGCCTGGAGGCATGGGTGGCCCAGTCGTCTAAGGCGCCACAATTCGCTGTGCAGAGTTGTGTCCCTATCTTGTGTCTGGCACTCCAGAAACCTATGATTTTGGGTTCGAATCCCAGTTCGCCCTGATTATGTTTCTAGGTTTGTCAGCACCATACCCGTGCTCTTTGGTTTCACCAAAGTGGTAATCGTCTGAGACCTACAACACTTCCACATTAAGCTGACACACTGTGATATAACTGGAATACTGTTAAGTGTTAAACCCAACTCACTCACTCACTCACTCACTCACTCACTCACTCACTCACTCCTCTACTGCCTACTTTTTTCTCAGGATGAATTAAGACAGTTAATGGTCTTTTCAAAAGTTATCACTTCAAGCTTTCCTCGCACATAAAAACTAACAGGCAGTGATATAATTGAAATACTGTTCAAAGTGGCATTAAAACCAAACTCAATCTCTCCCTCCCTTTGCAAAAGTAATCTAGCCCATTGTAGCAATTATCAACAGTTAGGGAATATAATGATGTAACAGCAGTAAGGTTGCTGAGAGAAAGAAATCAAGACTGGTTCCATGAAAGTCCATCATAGCTGACCTGCCTTCCATAAATACTTTGATCTTGTGCAGGTGACATAACTACATGCATGAATAACTTGTTGTCTGCAGAGGAGGAGCTGGTGCCCGACAACCGGGTGGTAGAGGTGGACCCAGAGGAGGAGCAGGATCAGGGAGTGTCCAGTCCAGAAGCAGTGGCTGGGGCATCTGACTCTGACCCTGGGATAGAGGTGGAGACGGTGGTGGAGGAAGAGGATGGAGTAGGTGGGGGGGTAGAGGAGGAGACGGAGCAAGAGGCAGAGGCTATACCTGTTATCCTGGAGGAAGAGGCATCAGATGAGTTCCGCCATGTTCTGGACACAGAAGTGGGTGCTGTGAGTCAGGTTCAAGGCAGGCTACAGCAGCAGCAGCAGGAAGTGATGGCAGAGGAGGAGGGTGACGGCAACTCCAGGGTTGTCAAAGACAAGTAAGTCCAACAAGAAAAGACGTTTTGTCTTGGAAATTGTACATGTATGCATTTGTGACCTACTGTTTATTATACAGATACCAAATTACTTTTAATTTGCTTTAAATAAATATTGACGACTACAGTGATGATATTGAAAACGGGATCATGTTATTATTGCTCTGAATGTCTTGCTGGATTGAAATAACCTGTCTTGAAATTTTGTAAGCTAGTGACTATGACAATCTACCAGATGATAAAGAAGTGAACTGTGCTGTGTACGGGGCAGTAAACACATCACAACCTCTACATAATATCTACTACTCAACAGTTGCTAAGGACTACACCTTTGGCAAAAGATGACTATTTTGGTCCTTACCACAAAAGTGGAGTAGTAGATATTATATGTGGAGGTTGTGTTGAAGACTAGTGCCCCATTCACAGCAGTCATTACCGTATAATCATCTTGACTTGCTGCACCAGTGTGTACCTTAGTGCATCAATATTCTATCTTCTTCCTACAGTTCCAAGAACACCAAGTTTATTGTGACCCTTGACGGTGTGGATCCTGACCAGTACGACAGCATGGAGGTGGACATGGACGATGCGGCCGCCGACTCTACACGGGTCATGGAGATGATGTCCCGCGTGGCTCCTCCCAGAATCAAACCTTTCTCCATCAACCTCAAGGACTCAGATGGTGAGCACATACCTTTGATGGATTTTGTTGGACATTGCGAATGGGGATGTCACAAAATTCCGACAAAATTTATCTAGTAACTCTATGATGTGTCACAATATCTCATATTGCAAATTGTTCATTGTTGACTGACCAGGCATTGTTTGTTTCTATTGTTATATTTACGGTATTTTCTCTATTAGATGCCAGACCACAAATACACACAGGCCTCTCACTGACTCCAGGTTATATGCTCTTTTTCAAAAATAGAAGCCCTGCCTCCTCTACTGTAATTTGTTGGTGGTTAATAATGACTGTTTCATGCAAATGTACCCTTTGTATGGCTTTAGAATTTAGGATTCAGTAAGATATTGAGTTGTGACTGTGCCAGCATAAACAGAAAGATGTGGGGCGTCTAATAGACGCTAGACGAACGGCTTGCACAAAATAAATAGACGCCTGGGTGTCTAATAGGAGAAATATGGTACATATCAATGCAGATAGTGTAGTTATTATTTTGTTTGTATTTCAGACATGTTAGGTTCTGTGGTTATCATCTTGGTGAGAGAGTAATATAAGTATCAGTAGTCTGGTAGTTGTTAATAGTTGGTATAAACGCATTATGTAGTGAAAACCCATAACACCATTATACATCCCATCATTCATGTCGATAGATATCATCATCTTATTACATTAAGTAATACGTTACCACTGTTATACCGAGGCTGTTGTCTCCCACAACTGCTGCTATAGCGAAATCTACCACAGAGATCTCAATTACCTCATGCAGCACGTGCGTAGCCACCTAGCTGCCATGTGACACCCTTCACTCTTGTCTCCTTCGTCTGCTTAGCAAGACGTGTTTTCTCCTGCTGAAGCGTTCCTTGAAGATTTGGTGATATTTATTATAGTTTATTCTCTAATAAACTGTGCTTTTATGGGGCGTTGCGGTAGCTACGCTTGGTTATAATTTTCCCGCCAAACGGAAAATTTTTCCCGCCCTTTTTTCTATATACTTGCGGGGTTCGCGTATGCACGTTGTGTTTTACGTTTCCCCTGTTCTTGTATGTTTTGGGGGTTAACATAACTTATTTCTTTAATAAAAGTTATATGTGTATGTTATATGTTCACATTGCTCGTTTATTTTCTTGTGAAAATGTTCGTTTGTGAATCATTGTGGTGCGTGCGTTGTAACCATGTTTTGTTCTTTGTTTATAGCAAACAATCAATGTCTGACATGGATATGTCCCCAGTATCCACCCCCTCTACCCCTGCTCCTCGGAGTTATGGGGTGTGCAGAAAGTTTTTGTCGTCCCGGGATCCCCACGTTCGTTGCCCGCGGTGCAGGGTTCCTTGCGGGGACACCCGGTGCATCCTGTGCGAAGGTCTGGGGCCTGCGGATTTTGAGCGGTACCGGCTGTACGTACAGTCCGTCTCCACCCCTGTGGTGGCCGGTTCGTCCGGTCGGGGTCCCCGTGCGGGTACCACCTCCTCGGCTGCGGCGGATCCCCTTGCGGCCCTCGGGCTGTCTGGGGATTCCGTCGCCGCATTGTTGTCGAAACTTGTGGATTCCATGCTGGCGGCCTTATCGCAAGATAGGCCGCTGGCTGTTCCGTCCCCGGCCTCTTCGGTGGCCGCGGGGTCGGACGCGGGGTCCACCGGTAAAGCGGCGGATCTCTTGGCGGCCCGTGTGCTGTCCGGGGATTCCGTCGCTGCATTACTTGCATAACTTGTGGACTCCAAGCTGGCGGCCTTATCTCAGGATAGGCCGCTGGCTGTTCCGTCCCCGGCCACTTCGGTGGCCGCGGGGTCGGACGCGGGGTCCACCGGTACGGCGGCGGCTCCCGTGGTCACCGGTCCTTCCCCCGAACCGTTGCTCCCGCTATCGGTTTAGGACCGCGTGGCCATGGTTTATGACCTCTTTGAGGACATGTCCTGGCCGGTACCGCGGGGAATCCACGACTGTGGGTTCCTCCGAGGTATACGATGAGTCTTCCGACTCGGCTTTCCCCGCATCAACCTTGCTGCGCGGTTTCAAGCCTTCCTTGGAGAACGCCTTCGCGGCGGCCTCCGGTCGGGGTCTCCCGTTGCCTCCGACGTCGTGGAGAAAGGGTTTATTCCCGGTACATGACCTTGCCTTTCCCGAGGCTGGTCCTACCGCGGAGGCCCATGTTGAGCGGTTGGGTGTCCGTGCCCCACCGGCTGCTACGGTAACGCAAGCTACCTTGCACCAGCTGGACGCCCTCGCTCGGCACTCCATGTCTCACGGAGACACTTACTTGGCTGCAGCGGCCCGTCTGGTCGAAGGTTCTCCCACGGACCGTGACCAGCGCATTTACAACTGCCTGCTCAGTTTAAATGCTTCCCTGGAGTACGTTGCCGAGGACTCTCGGCACACACTTGCTCTTGTTGGGTCCCTGCATAGGCGCCTGGGTGCCGCTCCTAACCGGAGCGCGCCCCAGGCTGCTGCGGCCGGTAGGTCTAAGGGGTCGGGTTCTTCTTCCTCTGGGAAGTAGCCCCGCCCTGAGGGCTCCGGTATGGGCAATCAGCTGCCCTTTCGCGGGAAAACGGGGAACTGGGGGAAGCCCAAGTCGTCGACGGACGGCAAGGGCCCCTCCAGGTGACTCTCATTGGAGGGGTTCGTATGCCGACAGCGCCAACTTCGGTTGGCCCTTAGGCGAACCCGAGTCACTTGGCCCTGGACAGTTGCGCCTGTCGCAACCTGTCAGGGCCCCCTCTCCTTCCCCAGTGGGAGCCAGACTCCAGACTTACTGGGAGAATTGGGAACAAGTGTTCGACGACCCGTGGGTGGTCAACACGATTCGGTACGGCTATCGGCTTTATCTCAAAGCGAATCCGCCGCTCACCGTTGCCCCGTTGGCAGGTTTCGATTCGGAAACCGATCTTCCCATCCTCGCCGATGCCATCGGCAGGTTGGTGGAGAAGGGGCAGTACGGGAGTTAGCTCTACCAGAAATAACACCGGGGTTTTACTCCAGGATATTTCTCGTTCCCAAGTAGGACAGTGCCGAACTCAGAATGATTCACACGTCCGCTCCCTGGCTGTTCACCCGGTTAACCACCCCCATAGTGGGGTTCCTCCACAGGAGGGGTGTCCGGTACTTCGCGTACCTGGACGACTCGCTAGTAGCAAATCGAATGACGGACACCCTGTCACGCCATCTCGATTTCGCACGTCGGCTCTTGGAGCAATTTGGGTGGATTATCAATCTCCCCAAGAGCGAGTTAACCCCTTCTCAGAACTTGCTGTTCATCGGAGGTCGGTTCAACACGGTGTCCCATCGCCTCTTTGTCCCCCCAGACCGGTGGCACAAAATTCAGGCGATGATTGCCAAAGTCTTAGCGGTGCAACAGACTGTTCACTTTTGGGAACAGCTGTTAGGGCTACTTGTATCAGCCCAGGACTGCACCGCACGGGGTCGTCTCCAACTCCGCCCGCTGCAACGGTTTTTAATCCAGTTGTTAGCAACGGAGGTGAACAGTGCGACCGTCGCCCTCCCGGATCGGCTCCGACCGCATCTGGAGTGGTGGACGGTCCCTTACATTGTCTTATCAGGAGTCTCTATGCGGCCCTACCGGGCCACGTTGACCCTGTATACAGACGCCTCTCTAGTGGGCTGGGGCGCCCATCTAAAGGGGGAGGTGAGCTCGGGGCTGTGGTGCTTAGACGAACTAGGTCTTCACATCACTTGTCTCGTGTTCAAGGCAGTGATCAACGCAGTCAATCACTGGAAGCATCGTCTCGTCGACGCCCGGCTCATGCTGGCGACCGACAACACGACGGTAGTGTCCTATGTGAACAAACTGGGGGGAACCCACAGTCACTCGCTACTCGATCTCACGTTCGAGTTTTACGCTCTGGTGGACAGTGTCCCGTGCCAGATACGCGCCCGTCACATCCCAGGTGTGCGGAACGTACTGGCCGATGCTCTATCGAGGCCTCAGGATCCGAGCCCCACAGAGTGGATGCTGAACCCAGTAGTGTTTCAGTGGCTGTGCGAACGTTTGGGTCGTCCGATGGTCGACCTGTTCGCAACGCGGTTCAACAATCAACTCCCGTTGTTTGTATCACCAGTCCCGGTCCCGAGGGCCATCGATCACGATGCTCTCGCGTTAGACTGGACGGGCTTGGTCGCTTATGCTTACCCGCCGACAGCGTTGATACCACACATTCTAAGCCGGCTCCGAGGAGTTCGCTGTCGAATGTTACTGATCGCGCCCATGTGGCCGAACAGATCGTGGTACCCCGACTTGCTGACCCAGGTCACGCAGTCGCCACTTCCACTGCCTGTGAGACCGGATCTCTTGATCCACCCTCACACCCGTCAGCTTCATCCAAACGCAGGGCAGTTCAATCTGCACGCGTGGATGTTGTCACCGAGCGTCTGAGGAGTAAAGTTTTTTCTCGCCGGGCGTCTCGGGCATACATTAGTATGCATCGTGATTCTACCCAGAAGGTGTATAATGCACGTTGGGTTATTTTCACGAAGTGGTGTTGTAAACATCACATTCATTCGCCAGATAAGGTATCTGTGCAGGATATTGCTCGTTTCATGTCTCACTTGCGAGAGACCCGGAAACTCTCCGGGGGTTCCATTGCCAACTATGTCTCGTCCGTTGCTACGGTACGGGACGTTGCTATGGGTACCAGTCTCTCCAAAGAGCCGGTGATACGGGGTATTATCAAGGGTTTCAAACAGCACGATCTTAAGAAGGGCCGCCTTCGGGCACCGGCCTTGGATCTTTCCCTAGTGTTGCAATCACTTACGGAAGCTCCGTATGAACCCTTGCATAGTGCTTCGTTCCGGCATGTGACTTGGAAAACAGCATTTCTCCTCTCCTTTGCCACGGCGGCACGTGTATCCGAAATTCATGCACTCGATGTCGCCAAGGTACGATTCGATAGGGGTGACGAAGGAGCGGTCCGCCTGGGCCTGCTCATGGGCTTCGTCGCCAAGAATCAGAGAGTCGGGCATACGGAGAGAGAATTCACTGTAAGATCACTCAAAGAAATCTTACATCCTGCTGATACTGAGGACAGAGCGCTGTGTCCGGTTAGGGCCCTTAAGTATTATCTTAAGGCTTCGAATGAACGTAGACAAGGGCGTGACCGTCTGTTCATATCGTGTAACCCTAATCGCACGGTTGACATAACTCGCAACTCGATTGCGTTGTGGCTTCGTTCTGTCATCAATCTGGCGTACCGGTTTCGGGGGTTACCGGTAGCGGGGTCAAACCCGCACGAGATCAGGGCGCTAGCGGCAACATTTGCCCTACACTCGAATATCTCTGTTCGCAGAATATTACGAGGTTGTTACTGGCGTTCTGACTCGGTTTTTGCCAATCATTACCTCAAACAGGTCGCTGATGCCGTCGTGGAGAGTGTGCACCGTCTTGGCCCGCGGATCGCGGCGCAAGCGGGCACCTAAGGGGTGTGCCCAGCGCAATTCCGAACTCCTCAGGCGTCTGACCTTGCACGGTGGTCAATCTGGGTCGTCTCCAATGTTCCCACTGCCGTGGGTACAGGAGTTGGGGTCCCGCAAACCAGCGCACTCACACCACAGGTGAGGGCGGCTTTTTGTGTGCTTTGTCCTTATTTGTATTTTGACAATTATGTCTTTAATTGTCTGTCGTGTATCCCAACCTTGTGATGCATGCTTACAAATACTGGAATTAGGTCACGCGCCTAATGCATACTTTAAGTAGGCTTGCTCTGGGATATACGGTCTGAAGGAAATTAATTTCCCTCTTTTCGACTGTTTAACCTGATCTAAGATTAAGCTCACGCGGATACAGTGTTCTCATCCGCTGCGGCGATGAAATACCTATCCAGTGGGGCCGTTTGGAGTCACCAATCGTTTTGGCAATGACGATTGAGCCTTACGGTATGCGCTTGACAGTGCTTTGGTATTCCTATAGGGTAACGCCTAGCTAGGTGCATGCGCATCGAGTGCTTCCGCCTTGGTGTTTACTTCCGCTGGTCGGAAGGAACGCTAGCAGTCAGGATTCGGGTTGTAGGTGCTCCCCACCGCCTACTGTGGTAGTCAGCCTCGGTATAACAGTGGTAACGTATTACTTAATGTAATTTGTAGAATTTTCCTATTCGGAATATTCTATAAGTAATACGTTACCACTGGGCTGCTGCCCGCCCGTCCGTCCCCCGAGCACTTGCTCTCGCAGGAGACAAGAGTGAAGGGTGTCACATGGCAGCTAGGTGGCTACGCACGTGCTGCATGAGGTAATTGAGATCTCTGTGGTAGATTTCGCTATAGCAGCAGTTGTGGGAGACAACAGCCTCGGTATAACAGTGGTAACGTATTACTTATAGAATATTCCGAATAGGAAAATTCTACAAAATTGCCGAAATGTTTGCTTTCAGATGAAGAAGATCCTTCTATTACCCCTCTGAAAAAGGCAAAAATGGCAGAAAAGTGTCGATTTTGGCCAGCATGTGTTAATGGCAATGCATGTGAATATCACCATCCCACAGTCACTTGCAAGTGAGTTTACAAGCATTGTCTTTTTACACAGTCGCATGGGGGGGTGCCATGACCAATCTCATTCAAGTCCGATCTTAGTGCTCGTTACCGCTACACCAAAGATCTGAGGACATTTCTATTTCAGTAATCGTTATAAACACTTTTTGGTCAGGACCACTTGAGGACAAGGGAAGATCTGGTTTGGAATAGGTCTTCAGCAACCCATGCTTGTCGTAAAAGGCAACTATACTTGTCGTAAAAGGCAACTATGCTTGTCGTAAGAGGCGACTAACGGGATCATGTGGTCAGGCTCGCTGACTTGGTTAATGCATGTTTTTGGTTCCCAATTGCATAGATCAATGTTAATGATGTCAATCACCTGATTGTCTGGTCCAGACTTGATTATTTACAGCCGTCATATAGCTGAAATATTGCTGAGTGGTGTTAAACAATAAACAAACCAAAATGTTGAAACATGGCACAGTGGTCTCCCTTGCACTGGTAACAGCTCGTGCAGTGAGGTAGTTTATTATGAAGGCTTAATTCTAGTCTCACTCTTGTCATGTACCTCATTCTGGTAATAAATGCATCTACTTTGCTGACTCGACAACATTGATCTATTGTTTACTGTTTTATCTCTTAACAGAACATTCCCCAGCTGCAAGTTTGGAGATAAATGTTTGTATATTCACCCAAATTGTAAATATGATGCCCGGTGTACAAAAACAGATTGTCCATTCACACATGCAAGTAGAAGAAAACCTATGGCTATATCCCCTCCCCAAGGTAAGGATATGGTTTACACGGCATTGCACAATGATTGCTATACAGTAAACTATGGTTATAACGAACTCAAAGAGACCACTTCTTTTAGTTCGTTATAACTGTAGTTCATTATAAGCATGTTCATTATAAACGTAGTTTACTGTAAGTGGCGTAAAACCTTCCTCACAGTGAGTTGGCAAACAGGAAAATCTGATGATGAGTTTAGAGGAATCCAGCAAAATCACGGCTGGGGACACTTGAAAAGTGCATCACTCATTGTACCCAATTGAGGAATCGAACACAGGCCTTCGTGTGATGAGCAAACGCTTTAACCACTAGGCTACCCCACCACCCCAGGTTCTGCTGGATGTGGGTTTGAATTTCCGAAGTGCTCATGGATTTCACCAAAGTAGGATGTCAATCACTGGATTGTCTGGTCCATACTAGGTATTCAGCAACGCACGATTGCCGTAAAAGGTGATTATGCTTGTCGTAAGAGGCGACTAACAGCGTTGGTTGGTCAGGCGTGCTGACTTGGTTGATGCATGTCATCGTATCCCAATTGTGTGCATCGATGTTTATGATGTCAATCACTGGATTGTCTGGTCCATACTTGATTATTTACAGACCGCCGTCATATAGCAGGAATAATGCTGAGTATTGTAACTACAAACAAAGAAAACATTCTGGAAATTACTTGCCCTTTGGTGTATGTGATGAGTAGAAAAACCTTGTTACATGTACGCATGTGTCAGTGTATTCATCATGTTCATTTTTCATGTTTGACTGTTGCAGTTATTGCCATTCCCCAGCCCAAGGTGATACTAGCTGCCCCCATGGCGGCTGTACCTGCCGCATCAACACATCCTCGTCAGATCACCTGTAGATTCTTCCCAAATTGCCACAACATGAAATGTCCATTCAAACATCCAAAGGTAGGTTAATATTGGCTCAACATTACTCAGTGTTTTACAGATCCTTGTCATCATGGTGGGCACGGGTGGCCCAGTCGTCTAAGGCACCGCAATACGCTGTGCAGAGTTGCGTCCCTTAGGCACACCAGAAATTTATGATTGTGGGTTTGAATCCTGGTTATGTTTCTAGGTTTGTCAACACCATACCCATGCTCATTGGTTTCACCAAAGTGGTAAACGTCTGAGACCTGCATCACTTGGGGCTTTCCTCCCACATTAACCTGACACGCTGGGATATAACTGGAATACTGTTAAAAGCGGCGTTAAACCCAACTCACTCACTTGCTCACTTTTCATCATGTTCACAGGGTGATGATGGGTTATGAATGGTGTCTCTGTGTGTGTGTCGGTGGGGGTGATACTATTGAAAGTCAATCTAAGTACCCTCTTTGTTGTGAGTTGCATGCCCGTTTCACATGGAGACAAATAGATTATTCCTTTGCAACACAATAACCATGATAACAGAAACATGAGTTCAGATGTCTGACAATGTTGACAGAGTGTGTGTTGTGTTGCAGCCTTGTAGATATGGGTTGAGCTGTGCCAAGAAGGCAGCATGCCCTTTCTTTCACCCAGCCCTGCCAAGCAAAGACAAGCTGACCTGGAAGGCAGGCAAGGTGGAGCAGGGGAGGTAGGTCAGAGCTTGGACAAAGTGGTGTGACACGTCATACTTCATTGTCAGGATGACAGTAAAGGATGCCTTTATAAGACTCAAAACCATTCATCCAATAGCAATCAGTAACGTATACCTTTAGCCTGCATGTTGTTTTGGGAAAAAATAAGAATTCTGATACAAATAGCAAACTTTTTCATTCCAATAATATGACAGGACTTTGTTTTGGGGGGTTCTCTACAGTTATATTCATTTAAACTTAAGTGATTTGAGCTTTTATGTTTTTGACTGTTCATTTATATAAGTAAATTAATCTTCATATGGAACCAGGGTTTGTCCAGAAAGTTATTAGTCCAGATACCTAAAAGGGGCATTGTTTTTGTGAATATATAAGGTGTTAGTCTATATTGCAATGTGGAAACTGTATCTGCTCTCCTGTTTCAGTGCCACCAACACAGACGGCATCAAGGCCTCTTGATCTTCATCAAGGCCTCCTGTGTGACTGCTGTCTGTGTGGATGTGTTTTACATGATGCGTTGTCCAGAACATGGTGTGATCAGTGGTTGTAAGGACACTACTCTCTGGGCAGAGAAGACCAAAGGTACCTAGCTCCTCACAGTGATCGTTCCTGGAGCTCTCTGTACTCTCGCTGCCACCAGTCCCTACTCTTCGCTGTGTGACTGCTGTCTGTGTGGATGTGTTTTACATGATGCGTTGTCCAGAACATGGTGTGATCAGTGGTTGTAAGGACACTACTCTCTGGGTAGAGAAGACCAAAGGTACCTAGCTCCTCACAGTGATCGTTCCTGGAGCTCTCTGTACTCTCGCTGCTACCAGTCCCTACTCTTCACTGTGCACAGCAGACAAGTGGACCTCCCAACTGTGATTACAAACTAACAGTGGCTGCTGTGGCACAAAATACTTTCACCCTTCTCACTTGTTCTGTCAGCTGGACGGGTAGCCTAGTGGTTAAAGCGTTCGCTCGTCACGCCAAAGACCCGGGTTCGATTCCCGACATTGGTACAATGTGTGAAGTCCATTTCTGGTGACCCCCGCCGTGATATTGCTGGAATATTGCTAAAAGCGGCGTAAAACCATACTCACTCACTCACTCTGTCAGCTGGATATTCTATTTTATTTCAAGTCAGGTATACGCATGGATAAACCAAGATGGTGGAAATGTAAAGAAAAAAGTTTGGTGTTTTTCTAATTGTATGGGACCAATTGAACCAATTTTTTTTAAATGAATAAATGTACATTTATCTGGGAAATACTAAGGTCATTTCACAATTCACATAAGTAATATGATATACGCCAATACACATTTGGGGTTTGAAAGAAATTTCAAGTTCATTATAATAGATGCAGCCACACTGGTTGTAGCGATTATACTGGGAGTGTAATGAAGGTGACACTCACTGGAATGGAGCTTTCAGTAAAGTACCACGGGAACTACTGCCCGGAGAACCACTTCACACACTAACTTGTACAACATAGTTCAGACAAGTGTACATGCTGAATGCATGTTGATTGTGATATGACTCTGATGTGTTGGATTCTGACTTAGCTAGGGATGAGCCTGGATGACTGTGGGTCTCTACTGACAGGGAGGACTGTGGGTCTGTACTGACAGGGAGGACTGTGAGTCTCTACTGACAGGGAGGACTGTGAGTCTCTACTGACAGGGAGGACTGTGGGTCTGTACTGACAGGGAGGACTGTGAGTCTTTACTGACAGGGAGGACTGTGAGTCTCTACTGACAGGGAGGACTGTGGGTCTGTACTGACAGGGAGGACTGTGGGTCTCTACTGACAGGGAGGACTCTGGTTCTCTACTGACAGGGAGGACTGTGGGTCTGTACTGACAGGGAGGACTGTGGGTCTCTACTGACAGGGAGGACTGTGAGTCTCTACTGACAGGGAGGACTGTGGGTCTGTACTGACAGGGAGGACTGTGGGTCTCTACAGACAGGGAGGACTGTGAGTCTCTACTGACAGGGAGGACTGTGGGTCTCTACTGACAGGGAGGACTGTGAGTCTCTACTGACAGGGAGGACTGTGGGTCTGTACTGACAGGGAGGACTGTGGGTCTGTACTGACAGGGAGGACTGTGGGTCTCTACTGACAGGGAGGACTGTGAGTCTCTACTGACAGGGAGGACTGTGGGTCTGTACTGACAGGGAGGACTGTGGGTCTCTACTGACAGGGAGGACTGTGAGTCTCTACTGACAGGGAGGACTGTGTGTCTGTACTGACAGGGAGGACTGTGAGTCTCTACTGACAGGGAGGACTGTGGGTCTCTACTGACAGGGAGGACTGTGGGTCTCTACTGACAGGGAGGACTGTGGGTCTCTACTGACAGGGAGGACTGTGGGTCTGTACTGACAGGGAGGACTATGGTTCTCTACTGACAGGGAGGACTGTGGGTCTCTACTGACAGGGAGGACTGTGGGTCTGTACTGACAGGGAGGACTGTGGATCTCTACTGACAGGGAGGACTGTGGTTCTCTACTGACAGGGAGGACTGTGAGTCTCTACTGACAGGGAGGACTGTGGGTCTGTACTGACAGGGTGGTGTTGTCAGACTGAGCAGGCCGCACATGGTTACATTGATCAGTTATTTTAGCAACATGTTGTGTTATTAGCAGTTGTTTGGGATTGTTGTGTCTGTATTACCCTATTAATGCTGAGGTTGAGAAAATAATTGATGTGAGTATAAGGCCTTAACACCCTGTTTTGACATATATTTTCATTTTCAAAATATTAATACAAATTCAATTGAGAGAAAAGACTATTCTTAGTTTGTGGTTGGTAGGAGGGTATGTTACAAAATGTGCTTGTGGAACTGTTTCCTTGAATGAAAAGTCAAAGAGTTATGTCCCTTCCCATTTTAAGTTTTGGGGTACTTTTTCTTATTATCGAAATTTGTTTTCTAACTAAATCTGCCCAATGAAAACAAGTTGTTTGTTCCACCACTGTCCCTCATTGTGAAATTTGGGTTGACGGATACCTAAGCCAGGTTATAAGACCAGTGTAATCCAGAATCACAAGCAATGAAAAACTACAACTTATTTACATGATATGAACAATTATGGAAAAGATACAACGATAATGTATGTCTTGTTTTTAACACATTCTTATTATCAGCCTTCTGTACACTAAACATTGTGTCTTTATCAAAAGCATTATCAGGAATGTGTGTTGACATTTGATATTTTGTTAAATCTGAACAACGACAAAGCTATGACAGTTCTGTAACAGAACAGTAATTATTTATTACTACTGCAGACAACATTTCACAAAAACAAGCCAGCAAAATCAAACAGCAGCGTTTCTGAGAATGCGACTACCTTGGTATTTTGTTTCAAATATATTGTAACAATGAAATCAATGCCAATTAAAAACAACTTTAAATAAGTAACTATGATTTTAGTCCTCTCTGATTTTTTTATGGCAAATTGTGTCATGGTGTGACTGATTTCAGGCAAAAATGACATGAGACCCGTGAAGATCCAGGTGAGAATAGGTCTTCAGCAACCTATGCTTGCCGTAAGAGGATCAGCTAACAGGATCTGGTGGTCAGGCTCGCTGACTTGGTTGCATGTCATTGTATCCCAATTGCATGGATCAATGCTCATGATGTCACTCACTGGATTGTCTGGTCGAGACTGGGTTATTTACAGACAGCCTTCATATGGATGGAATATTGCTGAGTGTGGTGTTAAACAACAAAAAGCAAACAACCAAAAATCACATGACATGACACAGAATGGAACTGGTCGCAAAGTCTTGCTTAGATGCCCTGCTTGTGGCTTGGAGTCCCAAATGTACCCTGATTGTGACCTTGCTTGTGGGTTTCAGCCAAGGGATTATCAGATATGACCTTTGTCAATTGGTCTTGCCTCTGCCTGTTGACCATACCACAACAGAAATACTGTTCAGTAATGCCTTGAGAAGAACTCATAAAGACAACACAATCTAAAGTGTGTCCAGTATATGAAAATATATTTATATGCAGCTATTTCTTTGGTATTTTAAATTTGGGCTGTGTGTATCAAGTTTTGCCTCTGCTTGTTTTTATTTAACTATATCATTGATGCAGTGGCATTAAAGAACCTGGACTTGTAACCATGGTAATTCTAGTTGTGTGAAGGTTTTCTTTTCATGCTGAAATGCTGAATATTTTAAAATATGTTTGTTTATTAATGAGCTCAGTAATACTATGATTATGCATAAATTGCAAGAATGGGTTTTTTTTATTGAACATTATTGTTTAGGTATGTATTAATATTGTTTCACATAATCTGGTCTGTAGTTAATGATAGATGTAATCAATGAAATAAAACTAATACAAAAGCCTTTACTCCGAAACGTTGTGTTCCTCATAATAAAGAAGTTTACATCCATAAATTCTCTTCCTTATGTGTACCACTTCTAAATGCCTTTCAAAGAAATAAAACTGGTTTTGATTTTTATCCAGATCAGTTGCAGTGGTATTGTAAGTGATTACATGAATCTTGTAGGTATGTGGTAATTGCAGTTTTCTTTCTAAAAATACAAAAAGTATGTCCATTGTTAGCATTTATTTCTGTGACAAACAATCTCAAGTACAAGAAATATGGAAATAGGTGATGAGGATCATCAACATGCTAAATGGAAGAAGATGTCACCGTACTGATGTTGCAGGTCAGATACAGTGTAGTCACAAGGCCCTTTTATTGTTCTGTGTTTCTTCAGGATTGTCATAAATTAATGTTAGCTCCATTGAATACTGTTTTCTATTTTTACAAATGTAATCCAGGCATCCCTGAGGCATTATTAAACATGCTATTTGTAGTGGACTGTGTTCTCTGTTTTTGTGTCATTTAGGGGAGATAGCCTTGTGGGCAGAGGGACAAATCTTATGTTGGTACATGCCAGTTATACCAAGGGACAAATCCTATGTTGGTACATGCCAGTTATACCGAGGGACAAATCCTATGTTGGTACATGCCAGTTATACTGAGGGACAAATCTTATGTTGGTACATGCCAGTTATACTGAGGGACAAATCCTATGTTGGTACATACCAGTTATACTGAGGGACAAATCCTATGTTGGTACATGCCAGTTATACTGAGGGACAAATCCTATGTTGGTACATACCAGTTATACTGAGGGACAAATCCTATGTTGGTACATACCAGTGATACCAAGGGACAAATCTTATGTTGGTACATGCCAGTTATACTGAGGGACAAATCCTATGTTGGTACATGCCAGTTATACCGAGGGACAAATCCTATGTTGGTACATGTCAGTTATACCGAGGGACTAATCCTATATTGGTACATGTCAGTTATACAGAGGGACTAATCCTATGTTGGTACAATCCCGTTATACCAAGGGACAAATCTTATGTTGGTACATGCCAGTTATAGGGAGGGACTAATCCTATGTTGGTACCAAGCTCCTCACAGCGATAGCCCGTTCGCTGAGCTCTCTATACAATCGCTGCCACCAGTCAAAACTCCCCACTGTGATAGGTGGCCAGAACCATTCTTGGAGTTGAACTCGCAACCGAATGACCGTTATGTTTATAAACAAGTGACGACTGTCGCGACGCCGAACACACTTACCCCTGCTAAATTACTTTCTTCGTTTGTCAATTTGAATTTCTATTTCATTACATCTATCATGTCATTGATATTGTAAGAATGTAAGGGAAAAGTTGGTTGATTTGCCGTTAGTCTGCAATCTCGAACCAATCTGATCATTAAAAAAACAAAGTAAATTCACCTGGAAAACATAGCCAGTCGTAAACCTTTTCAAAATGAAATATGATGGCATTCCCCAAAACATAAACAAAAGTATTAACGTTACTACATTTGGGGTTAGAGGGCAAATTTCAAAATTCTTGTAATGGCCGCGCCAACACTGGTGGCAGCGATGTTACCGAGACTGTAACGAAGGTGGCACGCGCTGGGAAGGAGCTTGTGTTGGTACATGCCAGTTTTACGGAGGGACTAATCCTATGTTGGTACATGACGGTTATACTGAAAGACAACCTATATTGAAATCTATCTCAAGTGTGTCTCGGGGATTCCTATGGGCACGACAAGCGTGACACTACTCTTACTATATTATCCCTTAATAGATTGGGAATGGATCGTAAATTATACATTGCTGATCCCAAAAAGTTCATGCACTATTTTGAATACAGATCAAGAAGATAAAAGAATCCCTCACGAATAATTTTTTTTTTATTTTACATATGTCTTGCACCTACAAATATACCCTAAATACAGTTAACTATGTTCAATCATACTGAATAACACTCTAAGACCGTGTTTTATATAGCATCTGGAATATATATGACATATGGGGGGCATATACTTGAATCATTACGCAGCGAGTTGACAATTCTTTGAGCTATGCCGTTTGCACTCAGACGGAACCCAGTCGCAAAATGACCACGAGAGGAACACGAGTCGCTGTTTGGCTTGTCCACGAATGCTATAAAACGTAAAGTTGGAGACAAGATTGTCCTAACTGAAGGAGTACGACCAGTGGGGACTGTCCAGTTCAAAAATAAACGGTGGTAAACGTCTGAGACCTGCATCACTGGGATTTCCTCCCACATCAAGCTTACACGCCGTGATATAACCCAACTCACTCACTCACTCTTATCCAATAGTCGAGGAGGTCAAGTGTTCCTCGCCGTGATGTCGCCTACGGGTGTATTGACTAGGGTAGGAACCATCACCTCTTACACAACGTCCTGAGAATACAGACACTTGTTCTGGGATTGTGACAGCACGTGTGACACATACTTCCACCATGTCTCGGCCGGAACCCAGTTTTACGGTATTACTGTCCCTTGATATCCTGGACATGTCTGCTTATCCCATGCTTTTAATCAGTGTCCAATGTTGACGCGCAGCGACAACCTAAACCCAGTTTGTTGAGTGCTGAAATAGAGTTACATCAGGTCAGTTGTGTTACACCGATTATCAGCGCTATACCGAGTATCAATAGAGTTACACCGATTATCAGTGCTATACCGAGTATCAGTAGTGTCATGCTGACTATCAGCGCTATACCGAGTATCAATAGTGTTACACCGACTATCAGTGCTATACCGAGTATCAATAGAGTTACACCGACTATCAGCGCTATACCGAGTATCAATAGAGTTACACCGACTATCAGCGCTATACCGAGTATCAGTAGTGTCATACTGACTATCAGCGCTATACCGAGTATCAATAGAGTTACACCGACTATCGGCGCTATACCGAGTATCAGTAGTGTCATACTGACAATCAGCGCTATACCGAGTAAAAGTAGTGTCATACTGACTATCAGTGCTATACCGAGTAAAAGTAGTGTCATACTGACTATCAGTGCTATACCGAGTATCAGTAGTGTCACACTGACTATCAGCGCTATACCGAGTATCAATAGTGTTACACCGACTATCAGCGCTATACCGAGTATCAATAGTGTTACACCGACTATCAGCGCTATACCGAGTATCAGTAGTGTCATACTGACTATCAGCGCTATACTGAGTATCAGTTGTGTTATATCGAGTATCAGTCGTGTAAACCGAGTATCAGTGTTAAACCGAGTATCAGTAGTGTCATACTGACAATCAGCGCTATACCGAGTATCAATAGAGTTACACCGATTATCAGTGCTATACCGAGTATCAGTAGTGTCATGCTGACTATCAGCGCTATACCGAGTATCAATAGTGTAACACCGACTATCAGCGCTATACCGAGTATCAATAGAGTTACACCGACTATCAGCGCTATACCGAGTATCAGTAGTGTCATACTGACTATCAGCGCTATACCGAGTATCAATAGAGTTACACCGACTATCGGCGCTATACCGAGTATCAGTAGTGTCATACTGACAATCAGCGCTATACCGAGTAAAAGTAGTGTCATACTGACTATCAGTGCTATACCGAGTAAAAGTAGTGTCATACTGACTATCAGTGCTATACCGAGTATCAGTAGTGTCACACTGACTATCAGCGCTATACCGAGTATCAATAGTGTTACACCTACTATCAGCGCTATACCGAGTATCAATAGTGTTACACCGACTATCAGCGCTATACCGAGTATCAGTAGTGTCATACTGACTATCAGCGCTATACTGAGTATCAGTTGTGTTATATCGAGTATCAGTCGTGTAAACCGAGTATCAGTGTTAAACCGAGTATCAGTAGTGTCATACTGACAATCAGCGCTATACCGAGTATCAATAGAGTTACACCGATTATCAGTGCTATACCGAGTATCAGTAGTGTCATGCTGACTATCAGCGCTATACCGAGTATCAATAGTGTAACACCGACTATCAGCGCTATACCGAGTATCAATAGAGTTACACCGACTATCAGCGCTATACCGAGTATCAGTAGTGTCATACTGACTATCAGCGCTATACCGAGTAAAAGTAGTGTCATACTGACTATCAGTGCTATACCGAGTATCAGTAGTGTCACACTGACTATCAGCGCTATACCGAGTATCAATAGTGTTACACCGACTATCAGCGCTATACCGAGTATCAATAGTGTTACACCGACTATCAGCGCTATACCGAGTATCAGTAGTGTCACACTGACTATCAGCGCTATACCGAGTATTAATAGTGTTACACCGACTATCAGCGCTATACCGAGTATCAATAGTGTTACACCGACTATCAGTGTTAAACCGAGTATCAGTAGTGTCATACTGACAATCAGCGCTATACCGAGTATCAATAGAGTTACACCGATTATCAGTGCTATACCGAGTATCAGTAGTGTCATACTGACAATCAGCGCTATACCGAGTATCAATAGAGTTACACCGATTATCAGTGCTATACCGAGTATCAGTAGTGTCATGCTGACTATCAGCGCTATACCGAGTATCAATAGTGTTACACCGACTATCAGCGCTATACCGAGTATCAATAGTGTTACACCGACTATCAGCGCTATACCGAGTATCAATAGTGTTACACCGACTATCAGCGCTATACCGAGTATCAGTAGTGTCATACTGACTATCAGCGCTATACTGAGTATCAGTTGTGTTATATCGAGTATCAGTCGTGTCATACTGACAATCAGCGCTATACCGAGTATCAATAGAGTAACACCGATTATCAGTGCTATACCGAGTATCAGTAGTGTCATGCTGACTATCAGCGCTATACCGAGTATCAATAGTGTTACACCGATTATCAGCGCTATACCGAGTATCAATAGAGTTACACCGATTATCAGTGCTATACCGAGTATCAGTAGTGTCATGCTGACTATCAGCGCTATACCGAGTATCAATAGTGTTACACCGACTATCAGTGCTATACCGAGTATCAATAGAGTTACACCGACTATCAGCGCTATACCGAGTATCAATAGAGTTACACCGACTATCAGCGCTATACCGAGTATCAGTAGTGTCATACTGACTATCAGCGCTATACCGAGTATCAATAGAGTTACACCGACTATCAGCGCTATACCGAGTATCAGTAGTGTCATACTGACAATCAGCGCTATACCGAGTAAAAGTAGTGTCATACTGACTATCAGTGCTATACCGAGTATCAGTAGTGTCACACTGACTATCAGCGCTATACTGAGTATCAATAGTGTTACACCGACTATCAGCGCCATACCGAGAATCAATAGTGTTACACCGACTATCAGCGCTATACCGAGTATCAGTAGTGTCATACTGACTATCAGCGCTATACTGAGTATCAGTTGTGTTATATCGAGTATCAGTCGTGTAAACCGAGTATCAGTTGTGTTGTATCGAGTATCAGTGTTATACCGGGTATCAGGAGTTTTTTTGTTTAACGCCGTACTCATTATTGTTTTACCCGGTATCAGTCATGTTATACCAAGTATCAGTAGTGTTATATCGAGAATCAGCGGTGTTATATCGAGTATCAGTACTGTTATACCGAGTATCAGTAGTGTTATACCGGGTATCACCAAGCAAGTATTGAACCTTATTTATAAAACAGAAAGTTTAAAGAATCGAGGCCTAGAATTACTTTTCACAGAACCAGTGAGTTTACCTTGATGTAAATATTGTTAGAAGGGAAGAAATACTCAGACAACATAGATTTTGCATTTTGTGCAAAATCAGTGTTTTTGAAGATTAGTTAAGGTTCAATTTCTGCAGAAATATCTTTAGTACACTCGGATCTGCGCCATAGGCATTTTAAACAATTACCAATGCACAATAATAGAATGTCGAAAACATTGCATTGTAGGACATTGTCAAGAAATGTTCTCACTAAACTGCCGGGAATAAGAAAGTATACACTTGAAAACTGGATAATACTAACAAATTACAAACTTTATCAAAATGTTACTATACTGAAAACAGTCGCCAAAACACGGTAAACTTAAGGTCCAAAACAATGATACCCTTATCAATACATCATCATCGAATAACCATTTCTTGTTTGTTTCATTTTTAGCCACCGTCGTTTCTTTTGCCCGTCAGTATATATTAGATATGCACTAGCCTTACGTGATATTTACGTGTAAGTTTTGTTTGTTTTTGTTTTGTGTTTTTTCTTTAACGCCGCACTCAGCAATATTCTAGTTATATGACGGTGGTCTGTAAATAATTGAGTCTGGACCAGATAATCCGGTGATTGACATCATGAGCATCGTTCTACGCATTTGGGATACGATGACATGCATCAACCAAGTCAGCGAATCTGACCACCCGATCCTGTTAGTCGCCCCTTAAGGCAAGCATGGGTTGCTGAAGACCTACTCTGCCCTGGATGTTCACGGGTCTTACGTGTAAGTAGCAACTATTTATGTTCATAAGCCATTCCATCATATCTCTTCCAAATAATGTATTCCTTTAATTTGTATGTGGCCCAAGTCCTTTTACGAAAAATACTTATTGATTGATTGATTGATTGATCTATCGACTGACTAATTGACACCGAGTATCGGCAATATACATGCACCGTTATCATAGGCTGAAAGTGTGATGGTAAACCATTAGATTTGTTTGTTTGTTGTTTAACGCCGCACTTAAAATGATCGAGTCTGGACCAGACAATCCAGTGATTGATATCATGTGCACCCATCCACGCAATTGAGATGATGACATATATGATGACCAAGTCAGCGAGCCTGACCATCCGATCCCGTTAGTCGCCTCTTACGACAAGCATAGTCGCATTTTACGGCAAGCATGGGTTGCTGAAGACCTATTCTACCCCGGATCTTCACGGGTCGGTAAACCATTAGAGCCGTTAGCGTTGTGACAGTGCGACTGAAACTATTCTTACAACGAAGGCCGACAGAAATCGATATTTTACAAACGAATAAAGCGACTATCGTACATAAATAATTTAATAACGATTCATACTTCCGTAACAATTAATAGTTATAAACAGGTTTAATTTACACATAAAACAACAACAAATCAATATTCATTTGACTAGAACAGCCATCGGACAAAAGAAATCAGATTCATTGCTGGCTGAGCATGTCACAATCTCATTAAAATCAGATCTTAGTTCTCGCTATCGCTAAAAAAAAGATCTGAGGACATCCCATTAAGGGTGCACGTCAGAGCGACCTTTCATCCAACCAATCAGAGCGTCGCTTACCAGATCATGAAAGTGACTGTCGGAATGTGTTTTCTAATTATGCAACCACGAAATATTTAACACGGGGTATTCCGAACGACGGTTACGGGTTTTATGATTATATCCATACAATCTAGGCCATATATGAGCCATTCCAGAATGTTCTTCTTATCAGTTTTATTTATTTTTTAATCGAGAATACGTCAAAATATGTTTCGAAGCGTAGTCGCCAGTTTGAAACTAGTGTCGTAAAGCTCGAGAAAGCTGCCTACTGATTGGCCAATGGCGATTTCTTGTGAGTCATTTCATTGGTCGGTCAAACTTCGCGAAAGGTCGTTCTGACGTGACCCGTACTGGGGTGTCCTCAGATCTTTGTTTAGCAGTAGCGAAAACTAAGATCTGATTTTAATGAGATTGAGCATGTCACAGTTCACATCAAACACATCAAGTACCATCTGGTGTGAGGTAGATTGCCAACACTCGAGGGTTCATCAAGACAATATCGGTATTCATGATGAAGTAATGATAGTCATGCCATGCTGAGAAAAGTAAACGCGTACAACATGTTTTGTGGTTCTTTGCATAAAGTCATATCCTGCTTGGAGTGCACATGGGTTTTGATCCACCGACATGACATTGGGAATATGTCACACTCAAATACATAGTGACACGATTTACAAAGATCCTCGAGTGTTTCAAATAACTTGTGTTTGATAAACCTTTTTCAGACCACGACAATTGAGAAATGCTGAATTGTGTTGAAAGACGGTTCGTTATGATTTCTGTGGTTTTTACTGAACACGTGACGCTGTGGTGATTTGTCTTGTATATACATGTATGCGCTTTCGTCACCACTCGCCCCTTTCCGTAACCTTCAAAAACTCGCTATTCGGCTTGTCCCGGAATAACACGAGTTGGTCACGAATGACGCTACTTGTCCCGGAATGATTACGAGTGGGCGCGACTGTTTGGCGGGATCACACGTGGATGTTGAAGGGTAGGTATGTAACAAATCGAGATACTGTTCGTTGTGGTGGGTTGTGCACATGTCAGACGTCTTGTGGTAAGGCACAGTGGGGACATGGGTTGTAATCAATGATTGTACATATTTGGTGCACGAGACGCCTGACGACATTAGGTGAATAGGTATTCTGTGCAGTGACACCGGGTCCAAGAGGGGTGGGTTCAGACCCTCACCTTCTGCTGTTCTTGTTCGTGAACAAATAGGGATTGTCCTGAAATAGCAATGCATCACATTAAAGATACCTGTTACTTTAAAACACTCGAAAGGATGGACGCTGTGCAGAGTGACCTCTCTTGGGCACGCGAGAATACTATGATCCCGGTTCACTATGATTATGTTTCTAGGTTTGTCAGCATAACCGTGCTCGTGGGTTTCTCCGAAGTGGTAAACGTCTGAGATCTGCATCACATCGGCTTTCCTCCATCATTAAGCTGTCACGCCGTGATGTAACTCAAATACTGTTCAAAACGGCGTTAAACCTACTCACTCTTTGAACCACTCCCCCGAACAAACGAGTTTGGTCTGAACGCCGCTTCTCACACTATTTCCGTCATAGCTTTGTCTGTCAGCTTGACGTGGAAAGGCCAAATGACGCAGATGGCCTACGTTTATTATTTTTGTGAAACCCTTCACTATGGCCCGATAACTATGGACAGCCAAATAGTCCAAAGCGCCTTAGTGCAGAGTTGCGCCCCTTAACTCCCAGGGTTCATGGGTTCGAATCCACGATGTTCCAGAATTGTGGGTTTTTTTATATGTAAATAAATAAAATAATAAATGTTAACCCGAGCTCGCTGATTACACTATACATGTACACTGTACTGGCAAACGTCTACGATCGGTCGTACTTTATGCTTTCCTCCCACCATAAACTGAAATGTCGTGACTGAAATCACTCATTAACAACATAAGTAGGGTGTGGCAGTCATCTACCTCAGTCGGACAGTCCGGCGACTGACCAGGCGACCAGCTCGTTCTCTTCTCACCGACTGGCTGGATCTGAGAACAAACAAAGTGAGCAATTACAGCTATGGCTGAGTCAGCATTAAGAACGTATTGATTACTGAAAGTACTAAGTCTGTCTCACAGTCCCTTAACCATATTATTTTCCTTTCCACCCAGCCCTTACTGTAATGCTATAGCCCTAAATGAAGCAAGTCTATATTTGTCACATATTCTGAATCTCCAATTTCATTGGGCTCCTTTTCAATTTAAATGTATATGCTTGTGTCTTTCAAAAGTATATGTTTTCAGAACTAAGCGTTAGTTTCTGAAAATACTTACATGGTGGAATACACGTTTACAAAATGGCGAGCATGAAAAATTTGAGTGGCATGTATTCACCAAATTACCCCCTTGCTCATAAAAGGGCATTCTGATTGGTGCATGTCCTCTTTAAGCCATGTCATAAGAGGTGACTATCGGAATCGGGTGGTAAGACTCGCTGATTTTGTTGATGCATGTAATCATCCCAACTGCGTACATCGATGCTCATGATGTCAATCACCTGATTGTCTGATCCAGACTCCATTATTCACTGACAGCCGTCATATAGCTGGAATATTGCTGAGTGCGGCATTAAACAACAAACAAATTTAGACCATGGGTAGGGGTACCATGTTATTCCACAACGCGATGGCAGCGGCGGAGTGAGCTCGTCTGCTGAAGTGGAAACAGTCCGGCGAGAAGAAGGTGAGATCCGGCTTGCCGTCCTGGAAACAACATTGACAGCAATTAACAAGACATGAACAAGCATGAAATACTCATATCCCCCGCTAACATGAGATGTCCGATTGTGTGCAAGGCAAGATATATTTTACGGTTTTCAAGATCACCCCCCGAAACGAGCACTCCCGCCATTTTCAAAGTCGTTGCCATGGAAACTCAAAATATACATTTTTCAAAAATACCAAACTTTCAAAAGGCACCAGTGTACCAGTAGACGTATCTATGTGCCAAGTTGGTGAAGAAATATTGTACGGTTTTCAAGATCTGCTCCGGAAAGGAGCACTACCGCCATTTTCAAAGTAATGTTGCCATGGACACACGAAAAATAAAATTTCAAAAATCCCAAAATATCAAAAGGCACTAGTTCACCAGTAGACCTTTAAATGTGGCATATTTTGGTAAGATATATCTCAAGGGTTTTGAGTTCTGCTTCTGACGGACGGACAGCACCCATTCCTATATCCCACTTCCACTTCGTCCTTGTAACCAATTATGTCAATCGCACACAACAGAACACTGGCATGATAAACCCGGTCTTTGATCTAGATGACTGTTGTTTACAAAGGCTCAAGGCAGAAGAAAGAAGCATTCACTTCGCATTCCACACGAACAGTTGCAGGATTCTATTTAAACATGGTATACTAAGAGAGAGCACAAATCGATGTGCAGAGTTGCGTCCCTTATATCCCTTTCACATGCACAACATTTACTCACATAAGTAATTTTACACATGTGTAACTATACACACATGTGTATATGTAAATTTACTATGCGTGCACATGAAAATTAATTAATGTTTTTTAAATGAAGTATGTTAATGGTGTAAGGCACACATATTCATGGTTCTTTTCACGACGTTCAACATGAAAGGTTGTTTTCCCCAAAAAGTCAAATGAGAAGAGAGTTACTTCACAGAAATATTCGCATGAAGCAACATGTGGTTGATTTAATCTGTACATAATTTTTTCACTCCTTGAAACCCAAAGGAAACACTGTCCACCCAGCTCTGAATGTCCCATAAAAGTCGGCATTGCTGTGTACTGAACAGCGTCAACTTTAGAATACACAAGTGTGGCTGATTTGTTTCGTGTTGGCAAATAAACAGATGTATTATTTAGACCATCCTCTGGTATTTGCATTAACCTTGCCATGACAACATATACGTTCAGCGCAAATTTGCACTTGTGGAAATTTACATTTGCACCTGCTCCAGACATAGAGCAAATTTGCTCCTGGTGTAAATATGCATACGTGAGTAAACGCGTTCACCTGACAAGTATACTCACATATGTATATTAAAACACGTGTATGTATAGATATATGTATAGCTGTGCATGTGAACAGGGTATAATTTAGATGCAAGATTAACTAGTTCCGACATCAGTTGTGATCCTTGATTTGTTCAGTCAGTACTTGAACTCTGCCCGTGGTTTCGTCCAAATTGTAAATGACACGACTGTCTTTTTGTTGTATTGCTTTGTTTGACAAGGAAACCTAATCATCATAACCAGACTAACATATCTTGGTGGGTATTGTTTAGAGTATGTACAAATTCAAGATTCCAGTACTGTACCTTCAAGGGTAGCTTTGTTTCTCTGAAGAACGGCTGTATGACCACTGTAAAGTCGTCCCTGTCGTCGTATCTCCCACTGTTCACCAGCTTCTCCAGGCCGATGTCGTAGTCGTCTGTCGCTTGATGTAGTTGTTGGGATGCCTCGTCGCTGCCTGGGTAGGCGCCACAACGGCAGATAAACCTGGAATACAGAACAGGTTCAGTGGGCAAAATGAATATTCTCTGGTAGCAGTTATCATCAAACTAGGAACTGTATACAGTCAAGTCTCGTTAATCCGACACTCGTTAACAAAGTAGCATTATATGAATATTTTCTTTATTACATGTTTGTATCGATATATAACGCGTAGTTGTCCGATTTTCGATCACGAACGTCGATACTACTTAATTTCGTTTATCCGACATACTTTTATACGTGACGCCAATTCTATATATACACTGTCACACGAATGCTACAACGGTGTCCAATACTGAGGCATACGCATACAAACAAACACCTTGACATTTAAAAAAAATGTATTTTAAAATAATCGTAAAGGGGTAGCCGGATCTTTTTCCAGTGCCCATTTTCTTACAGGTGAGCTACGGAACAGACAAGGCCAACGTTGAGTTTCTTCATTTCGTCGACGTGGTTCACCTCCACCAGGTTGACGAAGGCGCGGGGAATGCCGGCGTGGAGGATGTCGAGTGCCTTCTGTACACGTTGGACGTAGTTGCTGGAGTTGTAGCGTCCCTGTGGAAGACAAAGCAACCTATCTCAACCTGGAAATTCAATTCAATTAAATGTCATAGGGATTGGTATGAAGGATTCAAGAAAAGCACCCGTGTAGCAAGGCACCCTCCTTCCGTCGGACACCAGGTTACCGTATTACTGTCGGTAAATCCCGGTGTCAGAGGTTCACACTGACACGTGCCTACCGTTCTGCCTCTAGTTCTATTCCAGTTATATCAGAGCGCATCAGCTAAATGTGGGAAGAAAGTCTTAAATAATGCAGGTGTCAGACTTTTACCACTTCGGTAAAACCCACGAGCACGGGTATGGTGTGACAAGCATGGAAACAATCGGAGCCAATCAGGATTCGAAAGCACGATCATAGGTTTCTGGCGTGCTCAAGGGACGCAACTCTACACAGCGACTTCGACGACTGGGACACCCGTGCCCTCAACTATTTATTTTTTTTATATTTCTTGGCCAAAACAAGTGTTGAGCGGTTTAATGGAAGTACCATAGAAGTACCCTGTACGGATTCCGGGTCAAGATAATAATAATCATCATCATCATCATCATAATAGTACACTTGACATGTGCTAGTCCATCTACTAGGTAGTTAAAGCACTACGCGAGTGTTTGTTTACAGTAAATTGTTTTGAATAGATGTGTTTTGGGGTTTGATTTGAAGTCTTGGAAAAAAGACAGTTTGATTTCTTGTGGTAAGAAGTTCCACAACATCGGGGCACAGTGGGAAAATGTTTTCGATGCAAAACATTTCAGCCCTGAGGCTTCGGGGAGGTTCATGGCTCTGTGTTAAGTCCATCAAGTAGGCAGGCGTTGTTCCATGGTAACATCGATAGGCCATACACAGCACCTTGTGTTGGATTCTTGCCTCAGTTGGAAGCCAGTGCAGGGACATTAGTGAGTGAGTGAGTATAGTTTTACGCCGCTTTTAGCAATATTCCAATCTCATTAAAATCAGACCTCAGTTCTCTCTACCGCTAAACAAAGATCTGAGGACATCCCATTACGGGTCACATCAGAACGACCTTTCATCCGACCAATCAGAGCATCGCTTACCAGATTATGAAAGTGACAGTCGGAATGTGATTTCTAATCATGCAACCTCGAAAACATTAACTCCGAACGATAGTTACGGGTTTAACGTCTGAATCCATTCAATCTAGACCATCTATTAGCCATACCAGAATGTTCTTTTGTTCAGGTTTCAAATTTGAAATCGAGAATTTGTCAAAATATGTTTCGAAGCGTAGTCGCCAATTTGAAATTAGTGCCGTAAAGCACGAGAAAGCTGCCTTCTGATTGGTCATTCCATTGGTCGGTCGTAGTTCGCGCAAGATCGGTCTGACGTGACCCGTAATGGGATGTCCTCAGATCTTTGTTTAGCTGTAGCGAGAATTAAGATCTGATTTTAATGAGATTGAGCAATATTCCATCAATATCCCGTCGGGGGAACACCAGAAATGGGCTTCACACATTGTACCCATCGGCATGACGAGCGAACGCTTTAACCGCTAGGCTACCCGACCGCCCCTGCAGGGACATTAAGACATATAGCTCCTGCCAACGGCCAACGCTTGTAAGAGCCTATTATTATGTGGATCGGGTGGTGGAAATGTTTCTTATGGTGTGTCATAGTATCCTGACCACGTTCTATCCTGATCGTTCTATCAACTACTGTTTCGCTTGCCTTGCTCAGACGCGATTGTTTACAGGGCGCCGTGATGTGTATGGAATATTGCTGACTGCGGCGTAAAATTTCACTCACTAACTCGGTAAATAGCCTGAAAGGTTTACTCACCTCATCATCACAGTAGTCGCATAGATCATTGCCGCCGATGAAGATGGTGATGAGCTTCCAGTCGTTCTTGAAGTCCACCCCTGGTTCCGACTTCAGCCGTTCTATGAGTGACTCCGCCTGCTCTACCATATCCCTATAGAGACAAACTTGCTGAATATAAACTCCCATGCTATACGCCATTAGAACTGTATACGTGTTGTGTTAATAATGCGGTGTATTGATGTACCGTGTACATAAATTATTTCTAACAGCATGCTTCATATCACCTGTTCCATGTCATACAGTTTGTATGCGTGTGAGTGAAGTAAATATTGATTTAAGTCACGGATACCAGGGGGCATGGGTGGCCCAGTCGTCTAAGGCGCCGCCATTCGCTGTGCAGAGTTGCGTCCCTTGGGCACGTCAGAAACCTATGATTGTGGGTTCGAATCCCGGTTCGCCCCGATTATGTTTCTAGGTTTGTCAGCACCATACCCGTGCTCGTGGGTTTCACCGAAGTGGTAAACGTCTGAGACCTGCATCACTTTGGGCTTTCCTCCCACATTAAGCTGACACGCCGCGATATAACTGGAATACTGTTAAAAGCGGCGTTAAACCCAACTCACTCACTCACACAGATACCAATGTCAGGCCAAGAAAAAGTGTACACATGTGTTTCTGAGTCTTACTCTGATTTGGCCCCTGGTACAGCCAGGTCCAGATGGGCGTTCTTACTCCGCACTGACCCGCTCTTCAAGGAGAACCCTTTCAAGTTCGGATTGAACTTTCTTAAAATATCTGAAGAATTCGTTTAATGAAATTATATGAGTAGAAGCAAAGTTAGTTGTTTTAAATTGTATACCACTGTACATTGTCTACTATTGTACAACATAAAACATTGTTACATATCGTATCACAGTCGTCTAAGGCGCCGCGATTCGCTGTGCAGAATCGGGCTTTTCTTTGACCAAGTTTTTTATCAAAGTTTTTGATAGTGTAACGGGGGCTTAAGTATAACTTGAACTACATATCCACAAAATTTACCCTAAGTTACTACTAAGTAGAGTACATTAAATGTTACTGCCAACTTATGAACAACTCTGTAATTCAGTGTGTTTTCTGACAGAGAAGATGTCTTACTTGGAATGGTGGGTTGGTAGCTGAAGTCGCCATCGCCGCCAATGCTGCAACAGAAACACCAACAACATATTGTATAGGATTATTCATTAGGTACACCATGTCTACGTCGCCATTTATGCATTACAAGTCTCGGCCTGGGATGTACAGCACAACAAGTGTGTAAACACGGCTCCCTTAAGGAATCCAACTTGAAACGGACTCCTTCTGACTAAAGTATGGGTTGACTGGTTTGCATTTACTATGGTTACAGCATATGTCGGGGAGGGGGGGTCATTCGGACATTAAACATTTTATATGAACGTTACTACAAAGAAGAGAACTTATGGATGTCAACTTCTTTATTAAGAGGATCACAACGTTTCGGAGTTTATACTTACTCCTTCATCAGGTGAATGAATGCTTTGAAGCGGGTAATATATAATTGTACCTTTTTATAAGAACAACAAAAGTAATAAGCTAGAAAAGGTGGAAACTTAACTAGGTTAACTTATTATGTTTGTTGTTCTTACAGGTAAATAAATAGTTTTTAATGGTCTTCCTTATGTGTATCATTTCTAAATGCCATTCAAAGACTTGTTACTACTAGGATTATTATTTTCACAATTTTTGCGATGTCGGGTAGGTTCGGAGAAAAGATATGGTAAACAAGTTGGTTTTGTTTCTATTTTCAGGAACCGGACAGGGAATGGATATAGCAACCGGCAATCGAATAAAACATATATTGGTGAAGTGTTCCTACCTCCAAGACAGTCCCCGGTCCTGCCAGAGGAGACCAACAATGGTGCAGGCTGTAATCCCGGTGCCCGCCTGGAACACAGAATGCGGCGTATCACTGGAAGGATATGACGTCACACAACACTGGCATACCGGAGTTATTCAACAGTCATTCGTGCTATACCGAGGGGTGGTTTGGTAGCCGAGTGGTTAATGCTTTTGACCGTCACGTGTTTGATTCCCACACTTCCAGAACGCACGCGCCCCAGTCTGATATGGGAGTTTACTCACTCAGTAGTATTGCCAACATGGTATATATCAGCAATAGAATAGTCAACATCCATCTGTCCATATCTTTCTGTTCATATTTAGACTCGTGAAGATCCGGGGTAGAATAGGTCTTCAGCAACCCATGCTTGCCGTAAAAGGTGACTATGCTTGTCGTAAGAGGCGACTAACGGGATCGTGTGGTGAGACGCGCTGACTTGGTTGATGCATGTCATCGTATCAAAATTTGCATATATCGATGTTCATGATGTCAATCACTTGATTGTCTGGTCCAGATTCGTTTATTTACAGATCGCCGTCATATGAGCTGGAATATAGCTGATTGCGACGTTAAACAATAAATAAACAAACTGTTCATTTTAATGTAGCTTTGTGGGTATCTAGTAAAGAAAATGACCCAGTGGTCGAGACACGAAGCTCGCTGTGAAAAGTTTAGCCCCTACAGGATCCACTGATCGTTGGTTCGAATCCCAGACAATCCTTGATTTTGGTCTGCAGGTGACCTACGTCACTCTGGACTGTTCCGCCACAGTCAGTGTCCTGCATGGTCAAGATATAAGACTGACATGTTGACATACCGTGATAGAGTCCCCCAAGGCAGCTACCACTTGGATGTCAGCGGGCCTCAATCTGTGAACTGACAAACATCGATACATATAATTGAAACTGACGTGATTTTATCTATAGAAATACATATTTATTGAGGGGCAAAAGAAAGTATACCGAGGCTTTTTGATATAATTGGAAATTGAAAAAAACTGTTGTGAAATAATATTGTCTATTGAACCATCACTCATTCCTGCAACAATTTGGGAAAAGTAATCTGTGCCTCGGTAATTTTGTGTAAAAATAAATTCGTTTAATATTACGTATCTATTTTCACAAAATATATCAATGGCAGTTAAGCAGCAATATGTGGTCCATTCAGAATGATAAACTGGTATAAAATGTTAATGTGGGTATTTACTTATTAGTTGAAATTTTACGCCAAAATAATTATTATAATGTGTTTATACATTTCAGAATACAGTCACTGTAGGCCATGACATGTGATGCTGAGTAACGAAGACCATTGGAGCTTTTAGAAATTGTAAATAAGGCAAACATAGCTTTTGTGGCCTCTCCGAGAACATTTTATTGTTATTGTGAATACCCTAACAGGTTAATCGGTAGGGTAGTCTCTTTGATTATTAAGATAAGAATGTAAGAACAAATACTACGTCGAAGATGACAACATCGCTCATTAGGCATTGTTCATGAGTATATGAGCAGAGTGCAGATGGCAGCTGGAGTAGTCCATTATTCTACAGGTAGGCTCATTCTACACCCTTCTTTTAGTGAGGTGAGGTGAGGTGAAATTGGGTTTAACGTCGCGTCCAAGATTATTGCACTTATATAGCGACGTGCATGCACGTGTATGTGTGTGTGTGGCTGCTTGTACTAGTCCGGACTGATGCCGATTTATAGTGCTTGCTCACTGAGATACCATGCCGCAGTTTAACATGAATACCCCACTCAGACACAGTATACTGACTCCGAGCCGACCAGTCCTTGTTTTAGCCCCTTAATGCCGAGCGCCAGACAGGGTAACAACAAGTACAATCTTTTAACGTCTTTTTGTATGACGCGGCCCGGGATCGAACCCTGGACCTTCCGCCCTCCGGGCGGACGCTCTACCACAAGACCACGGAGGCGGTCCCTTCTTTTAGTAGTCAGAATGACCTTACCCAGAGTGGGCTTGAAGTCGAACAGTGGGACGTTTTTTGTGTTATACCTTACTTGAAGTGGGTGGAGTTTTGATATAACTTACCTGAAATGGGTTGAGTTTAGCTATAACATGCCTGAAGTAGGTGGAGGTTTTTTGTTTTTTATATACCTTACCTGAAGTGGGTGGAGTTTTGTTATACCTCACCTGAAGTAGATGGATTTTTTTTATACCCTACCTGAAGTGGGTGGAGGTTTTTGTACCTTACCTGAAGTGGGTGGAGTTTGTTATACTTTACCTGAAGTGAGTGAAGTTTTGCTTTACCTAACCTGAAGTGGTAACGTTACGATATACCTTACCTGAAGTGGGTGGGGCTTTGCTATACCTAAACTGAAGTGGGTGGAGTTCTGCTATACATTGCCTGAAGTGGGTGGAGTTCTGCTATACCTAACCTGAAGTGGGTGGAGTTCTGCTATACCTTACCTGAAGTTAGTAGAGTTTTGCTGTACCAAAACCTGAAGTGGGCGGGGTTTTGCTATACCTTATTTAAAGTGGGCGGGGCTTTGTTACACCTTACTTGAAGTGGGCGTGACATCTGACCGTGGGGCAGGGTTACACGGAAACGGTGGTGAGCCATAATGCTGCAAAATAAAAAAACATAGTTGATAATCCAAGCGGGTGGAGTTCTGCTATACCTAACCTGAAGTGGGTGGAGTTCTGCTATACATTGCCTGAAGTGGGTGGAGTTTTGCTATACCTAACCTGAAGTGGGTGGAGTTCTGCTATACATTGCCTGAAGTGGGTGGAGTTTTGCTATACCTAACCTGAAGTGGGTGGAGTTCTGCTATACATTACCTGAAGTGGGCGGGTTTTTGCTATACCTAACCTGCAGTGGGTGGAGTTCTGCTATACATTGCCTGAAGTGGGTGGAGTTTTGCTATACCTAACCTGAAGTGGGTGGAGTTCTGCTATACCTAACCTGAAGTAGGTGGAGGTTTTTTGTTTTTTATACCTTACCTGAAGTGGGTGGAGTTTGTTATACTTTACCTGAAGTGAGTGAAGTTTTGCTATACCTAACCTGAAGTGGTAACGTTACGATATACCTTTCCTGAAGTGGGTGGGGTTTTGCTACACATTACCTGAAGTGGGTGGAGTTCTGCTATACATTACCTGAAGTGGGCGGGGTTTTGCTATACCTTACCTGCAGTGGATGGAGTTCTGCTATACATTGCCTGAAGTGGGTGGAGCTTTGCTATACCTAACCTGAAGTTAAAAGGCGACTATGCTTGTCGTAAGAGGCGACTAACGGGATCTGGTGGTCAGGCGCGCTGACTTGGTTGATACATGTCATCGTATCTTGCGTGGATGGATGATCATGATGTCAATCACTGGATTGTCTGGTCCAGACTCAATTATTTTCACACCGCCGTCATATAACTACAATATTGCTGAGTGCGGCGTTAAAGAAAAAACACAAAACAAAAACAAACAAAACTTACACGTAAATATCACGTTAGGCTTGTGCATATCTAATATATACTGACGGGCAAAAGAAACAATGGTGGCTAAAAATGAAACAAACAAGAAATGGAGTGCGGCGTTAAACAACAAACAAACAAAAAAACTTGTCGCGGACCATCCTCACCCCTTTCTTCACAATGGTACACGCCAATGGGCGGACCTCATATTAGTCATATGGAACTGTCAGGTCACGAATGAACTTACCCCGGCTTACTAGAACATACATATAACTCTTATGTACATACTGGCAGTGAAGCGTGTTTAGTTCGAGTCACCTGATTGTCATCCCTGAAGAGATGTAGGTGTTTACTGAAGTCTTTCTGTAGGGTGACGTTGTTGGCAGCCTGGGAGAGCCACGCCCTGTAGTCGTCATAGCTGCCGTGACACGCTGGAAAAAGCAACAGGTTTGAAGAGTTCAGGGTTTGAATGCATGTATTAGGGACGAATCCACATTTACTACCCGGGTACCCACCACCCTATTACCCGACCCTACCTGGGTACCCACTGTAGGTCTCAGGAGATGTCTCAAAATGTCCGACTGGGAACATTTTTAGCATAGCCCTGGCAAAACGCATTTAGATACATGTATTAAACAATCTGGTCATTCATACACTGAAGTTGAATATTAAGTTATATCTTTATTCAACCATATGAGAAATCTGAAGGAATCGGTGCATAGTCAGAAAGAAATGCGAACATTAGTGACTTTAGTGTAACCATGGAGTTCTAGATAATTTTTGTCATTAAACAATATACACGTGACTAACCACGGGTCCGGGTAGTCCTGTGGGTACCCGGGTCCTACTCAGTACCCACCCGACCTGGGTACCCGAGTTACCCGTCCCAGCCCTAGCATGTATCCTTATTCGTGAAATAAGGCCTTTAGCGCCGACTGAGAATGGGATCGTGTGGCCAAAATGGCCGCTGAGTGAGTGAATGTCTACGAAGCATTATTCCACTATATACCGCAGCGGGTAAGTAATCGACACTGGACCAGACAAACCAGTGGCTGATAGCATGAACAACGTGATACGATAATACACGCCTTTGCAATTCATACGTTGTGTACACCCTACCCTCATTTTGAAGGGCTCTCAAGACGAGGGGTTCTTGGGACCTACTCTGGCGAATCCCCAGAGTGGTCAATGTCTGCTGATCATAGGGTTACTCTTGAATGGACCGAATTACCAAATAGTGAGCCTGTCAACTCTGGTAAATCCCATCGCTATTCACACATCTGAGGGCAATACAGTGATCTGTTTTACAGTATATCAACACCGCGTACATTCTTTCCTGAGTCGGTGTCGCACTGGCCCACCTGTCACCGTATTAATTACAACTACGAGTGTCATTACGATTCAGAGGGAATACCATGCTTCATCTCGCCCTCGTTACTTTCCCGTGGGTGTACAGTAGAGGAAAGCTGTTTTTATGCCGTGATTGTACAGTGGTGGTGAACATTAATCTGCCGATGGTGTACAGTGGTATGCACAATTTTCTGTCGAGAGCGTACACTGGCGGTGTACGGTTTTTGCCAAGAGTGTACAGTGGTGGTGTACAGTTTTAGCTGAGGGTATACAGTGGCGGTGTTCAGTTTTAGCCGAGTGTGTACAGTGGCGGTGCTTAGTTTTGGCCGAGGGTGTACCGTGGCGGTATTCAGTTTTGGCCAAGGGTGTACAGTGATGGTGTACAGTTTAAGCCGAGAGTGTAGAGCGGCGGTGTTCAGTTTTTGCAAGAGTGTACAGTGGTGGTGTACAGTTTTTGCCAAGAGTGTACAGTGGTGGTGTACAGTTTTGGCCAAGGGTGTACAGTGGTGGTGTATAGTTTTTGCCAAGAGTGTACAGTGGTGGTGCACGGTTTTGGCCAAGGGTGTACACTGGTGATGTACAGTTTTAGCCAAGAGTGTACAGTGGTGGTGTACGGTTTTGGCCAAGAGTGTACAGTGGCGGTGTACAGTTTTAGCAAAGAGTATACAGTGGCAGTGTACAGTTTTTTGCCGAGAGCGTACATTGGCGGTGTACAGTTTTTGCCAAGAGTGTACAGTGGCAGTGTGCAGTTTTCAGGTGTGGGTGTGCCGTGGTGGTGTACAGTTTTTGCCGAGAGCATACAGTGGCGGTGTATTGCTTTTGCCAAGAGTGTACAGTGGCGGCGTACAGTTTTTTGCCGAGAGTGTACAGTGGCGGTGTACAGATTTCTGCTGTGGGTGTACAGTGATGGTGTACAGTTTTAGCCGAGAGTGTACAGTGGCGGTGTTCAGTTTTTGCCGAGGGTATACAGTGGCGGTGTACAGAACTCTGGTGTGGGAGTGCCGTGGTGATGTACAGATTTTGCCGAGAGCATACAGTGGCGGTGTGTTGCTTTTGCCAAGAGTGTACAGTGGTGGTGTACAGTTTTAGCTGAGTGTATACAGTGGCGGTGCTTAGTTTTGGCCGAGGGTGTACCGTGGCGGTATTCAGTTTTGGCCAAGGGTGTACAGTGATGGTGTACAGTTTAAGCCGAGAGTGTAGAGCGGCGGTGTTCAGTTTTTGCAAGAGTGTACAGTGGTGGTGTACAGTTTTTGCCAAGAGTGTACAGTGGTGGTGTACAGTTTTGGCCAAGGGTGTACAGTGGTGGTGTATAGTTTTTGCCAAGAGTGTACAGTGGTGGTGCACGGTTTTGGCCAAGGGTGTACACTGGTGATGTACAGTTTTAGCCAAGAGTGTACAGTGGTGGTGTACGGTTTTGGCCAAGAGTGTACAGTGGCGGTGTACAGTTTTAGCAAAGAGTATACAGTGGCAGTGTACAGTTTTTTGCCGAGAGCGTACATTGGCGGTGTACAGTTTTTGCCAAGAGTGTACAGTGGCAGTGTGCAGTTTTCAGGTGTGGGTGTGCCGTGGTGGTGTACAGTTTTTGCCGAGAGCATACAGTGGCGGTGTATTGCTTTTGCCAAGAGTGTACAGTGGCGGCGTACAGTTTTTTGCCGAGAGTGTACAGTGGCGGTGTACAGATTTCTGCTGTGGGTGTACAGTGATGGTGTACAGTTTTAGCCGAGAGTGTACAGTGGCGGTGTTCAGTTTTTGCCGAGGGTATACAGTGGCGGTGTACAGAACTCTGGTGTGGGAGTGCCGTGGTGATGTACAGATTTTGCCGAGAGCATACAGTGGCGGTGTGTTGCTTTTGCCAAGAGTGTACAGTGGTGGTGTACAGTTTTAGCTGAGTGTATACAGTGGCGGTGTTCAGTTTTAGCCGAGTGTGTACAGTGGCGGTGTTTAGTTTTTGCCGAGAGTGTACAGTGGCGGTATTCAGTTTTGGCCGAGGGTGTACAGTGATGGTGTACAGTTTTAGCCGAGAGTGTACAGTGGCGGTGTTCAGTTTTTGCCGAGGGTATACAGTGGCGGTGTTCATTTTTGGCCGAGGGTGTAGAGTGGCGGTGTTCAGTTTTGGCCGAGGGTGTACAGTGGCGGTGTACAGTTTTGGCCGAGGGTGAAGAGTGGCGGTGTTCAGTTTTGGCCGAGGGTGTACAGTGGCGGTGTACAGTTTTTGCCAAGAGTGTACAGTGGTGGTGTACGGTTTTGGCCAAGGGTGTACAGTGGTGATGTACAGTTTTAGCAAAGAGTATACAGTGGTGGTGTACGGTTTTGGCCAAGGGTGTACAGTGGTGATGTACAGTTTTAGCCAAGAGTGTACAGTGGCGGTGTACAGTTTTGGCCGAGGGTATACAGTGGCAGTGTACAGTTCTTTGCCGAGAGCGTACATTGGCGGTGTACAGTTTTTGCCAAGAGTGTACAGTGGCGGCGTACAGTTTTTTGCCAAGAGTGTACAGTGGCGGTGTACAGATTTCTGCTGTGGGTGTGCAGTGGCGGCGTAAAGTTATTTGCCAAGAGTGCACAGTGGCGGTGTACAGATTTCTGGTGTGGGTGTGCCGTGGTGGTGTACAGATTTTGCCGAGAGCATACAGTGGCGGTGTGTCGCTTTTGCCAAGAGTGTACAGTGGCGGTGTACAGTTTTAGCCGAGGGTATACAGTGGCTGTGTTCAGTTTTTGCCGAGTGTGTACAGTGGCGGTGTTCAGTTTTGGCCGAGGGTGTTCAGTGGCGGTGTACAGTTTTTGCTGTTGGTACAGTGATATTTGTACTGTTTTATCTGTTTGTGAACAATGGTATACAGTTATTTGTATTTAGTCCTGGGTGTACAGTGGATGTGTACAGGCAGTAGGTTGTACACTGTCCAGGAGTTGTCTCCCTAAAAGGCAACCCCCGCTGACAGCAGCACCCGAACAAAGATCACGTCTATATATAACCCGGTAACATTACTCGGTCATGCTTATCTCGTGGCCCACAAACACTCAAGGCTACCCGCGTAATTTATCGGTCAGTAGGGCAGAAATAAACAAATAGGTCCCGATTAAAATTCAAACAAACAAACATCAAACTACGCGGGGTTGATATTTAAAGCTAGCGTTCCGCGACTGTTCTATATTTTGTCACGAGACACCCCGGAACAGGTACAGATACGTTTTTAAAAATGAAAATGATAAGACAATAAGAACGACGTATTAGTCATTGATTACCTGCCACAAGTCCGGCTGCTAGGAGGATATATGTTGATGTCATCATCAGCCGAGTCCCCACATCCACACCAGGACTACTGTCTAACAAGGTGGATGTACTGACAAAACAAAGGAGTCAAGATCACATGACCTGTCAGTCGAAATCATGTGATCCGTCCGATGTCATGACGAATGCGTTTCAATGCGGTGATCACCAGGTCGAGAGCACCTGGTATGGCATGCGTTGCGTAAAGTGTTATTTACAACACGACAGCGATACTTAAACGTGAAACTGGCATTTTTTTTACCGTTGACTGTACTGGTATAATTAGTTTGAAAACCGATGCATCTTCCACGTGATCAGGTCTGGCAACACGTGTGGTGTTCATTTCATATATACGTTACCTGCTCCATACGATATGATATATAATAACCATAGCACTACCCAAATAATAATGCCGCACAATAGGCATAATTAATAATACACGTGTTTCAAATTTGCGAGTGCGTGCGTGCGTACATTGTATATGTTTATTGTTGTAATTGTAATGTAGATACAAAGAGCACTGTTTTCCACCCCCACCTCACCGTATTCAACGAACGGTCCTTGTATTGACAGGGTCTGCTGTTTGTTAGACGTGGATAGTGTTTTAATAGCCATGTATATTAAGCATCCGCTGGTTGGTTCGAAACCTTTCACCTGTAAGCACCATACCCGACTTGTGTCACTTCGAGCTCCAACAATAAGCTCACTGAGTGAGAGAGTATGGTTCTACGTCGATTTGGCAGTATTCCAGCAATGTCACGGTGGGGGGACACCAGAAATGGGCTTTACATATTGTGAGTGAGTGAGTTGGGCTTAACGCAGCTTTTAACAGTATTAACCCACGAGCACGGGTATGGTGAAACATAATCGGAGCGAACCGGGATTCGAACCCACAACCATAGGTGTCTTGCGTGCCCAAGGGACGCAACTCTGCACAGCGAATCGCAGCGCCTCAGACGACTGGGCCACCCGTGCCCCCTTTCATATTGTACCCATATGGTAACGAACCCAGGCCTTCAGCGAGACAAGTGAACGCTGTAACCACTAGGCTACACCGCCGTCCCATGCGCCCTGATATAACTGAAAAAATATCCTAATCGTCCTGAACTCATTATTTTCAAAATCTGCCTGTTACAAACGAAAGGAACGCTTTCGTGGAAAAGAAAATGGCCTTTTATTTTCTTCATGTTGTGTCATCACGCGGCTAATGGTGGAAGTGGTTCTAAGCAATACTTTATATCCACAAGTAGTTAGTGAGTGAGTGAATGTTGTTTTACGCTTAGAATCAGCAAGTTTTCAGCCACAATACGACGGCCTATGCGTGATCGAGTCTGAGCTAGAGAAACCGACGGCTGAATGTACAACCAACGAACTCTTTTGCGTAACTTAATTTTTAAGTAGACAATGTATGGATTACAACAACTTTAATGCTGTAAAGGCGACGTTTCGGTATAGATCCTTATACCCTTGTCAAGCAAGACTAAACACTTATTTTTTGGTTTAAAACACTCATCATTCTATTCTATGCTAACACTTTTATCTACTACCTTGATTGTAATGATAATTATAATCACATTCATTACCTTGATAATCATAGCACCAATGAAACAATCAATAATGATAATAGACATTTAGTGTCTGAAAGTTTTCGTTGACAGAATTGTTGGGGATAGTTTTCCATTGCTGCAGAATTAAGGCTAAATTCTTTTAAGATAAATAACTGATTATTTCCGGTTATACAACAAATTGACCCGAAAACAAACATCTGCAGTAAATATGACAGCTGTCATAGAGATAATGACATATACGACACATGTGTCTACTGATACCCTTTCACCTCACGTGGATCAGCTGATTTCACTGCGGTACTTGGGTCCTCTATGATGAGGAAAGTGGCGGGCACGAGGTGTCCGCTATCATGTCTATAAATAGAGCCAGTCATAGTGTGAGTGCAGAATGTTATCCGGGGCATGTATTTACACTTGTCTCGTGGTCCCGACACAGAAGGATATACTCAGTGAAACAAATAAGGGAACAACTAAAAGTGTTGTGATATTTTGAATGCACCGAGCATATTTTGGTTATGTAGTGAAATGGTTTAAATGTACCCTAATACGTCATCCCGTCACCTCGTGTGATATGGGAGGTTTAAATGTATCTCTTTACGTCACCTCGTGTGATATGGGAGGTTTAAATGTATCTCTTTACGTTATACCGTGTGATATGGGAGGTTTAAATGTATCTCTTTACGTTATACCGTGTGATATGGGAGGTTTAAGTGTATCTCTTTACGTTATACCGGGTGATATGGGAGGTGTAAGTGTATCTCTTTACGTCACTTCGTGTGATATGGGAGGTTTAAATGTATCTCTTTACGTCACCTCGTGTGATATGGGAGGTTTAAATGTATCTCTTTACGTTATACCGTGTGATATGGGAGGTTTAAATGTATCTCTTTACGTTATACCGTGTGATATGGGAGGTTTAAGTGTATCTCTTTACGTTATACCGGGTGATATGGGAGGTGTAAGTGTATCTCTTTACGTCACTTCGTGTGATATGGGAGGTTTAAATGTATCTCTTTACGTTATACCGTGTGATATGGGAGGTATAAATGTATCTCTTTACGTTATACCGTGTGATATGGGAGGTTTAAGTGTATATCTTTACGTTATACCGGGTGATATGGGAGGTGTAAGTGTATCTCTTTACGTCACTTCGTGTGATATGGGAGGTATAAATGTATCTCTTTACGTTATACCGTGTGATATGGGAGGTTTAAATGTACCCATTCGTGTCACCATGTGAGATATATGGGAGGTTTACTTGTATCCGAAAGCGTCACCCCGTGAAATAAACTGTATTCCTACGCACAACCCCGTGAGGTATGGGAGACAACTCCCATTCTTAACTCCACGTGAAACTGGAGGTTAATGTGTACGGCCAATCTCAAAGGATAAATAACACAATCGTGCCAAAAGATATATTTATGTACGAAATACTATACAGTTATAAGTGAAAGGGTGACTTACAATTTGAAGTATTAACATAAGGTGAGGTGAGGTGAAATTGGGTTTAACGTCGCGTCCAAGATTATTGCACTTATATAGCGACGTGCATGCACGTGTATGTGTGTGTGTGGCTGCTTGTACTAGTCCGGACTGATGCCGATTTATAGTGCTAGCTCACTGAGATACCATGCCGCAGTTTAACATGAATACCCCACTCAGTATACTGTATAGTATACTGACTCCGAGCCGACCAGTCCTTGTTTTAGCCCCTTAATGCCGAGCGCCAGACAGGGTAACAACAAGTACAATCTTTTAACGTCTTTTTGTATGACGCGGCCCGGGATCGAACCCCGGACCTTCCGCTCTCCGGGCGGACGCTCTACCACTAGACCACGGAGGCGGTCAGTATTAACATAAGCTGCCGACAAGGGAAAGTATACACCCATGATTGTTAGTGGCTGATAATTAAACAAATTAAAGACATGGTTCTTAGGTGGTGATGTATTTGACACGGGTATCATAGTTGTGTTTTGTACCGTGCAGTGTTTCGGTTGCTGTTAGCCTTGTAACGTTTTGATAACGTTTGTAACTTTTGGGCCAAATCCAATTTTCAAGTGTATACTTTCTTTTGCCCGGAAGTGTATATCTGTTTGCCGGTTTCACACATAAAGCCCGCTTCATGTTGGTCTCAAAGTATTGCAACAGTTGTGAACATGTAGGACCATATCTTTTCCTCGAACATTAATTGTAAATGTGGATGGATGGATGCAATTTGTCTTCATAATTTGTAGTGTTATTACATTCGTGACCAACTCGTGTTATTCCGGGACAAGCCGAATACTCTTCTTGCAACGGAAAGGGGCGAGTGGTGACGAATGGGTGTTATTAGTTTTATATTGATCTATGTGTAACATGAGACGCGTTTAAACTACAAATGGTAGCTTACGTAAACTATCTCTGCGTTGCTCTCTTGGGACAAAATGATTGATGATTGACTTGTCGCTACACAGAGCTTAGGGCTGTCCCATAGTGTTTTCCTCCTAGATCTCCGATCCAAATCTGCATCACACTACATAAGCTTCAACAAAGTCCATGCATCGTGATCTAACGACAAATGCGAAATGATAATAGGAGTACAGTAAACTACGGTTATAACGAACACGCTTATAACGAACTGACGGATATAACGAACTTACTTTTTTGGTCCCGACTATTTGCCGTAGTTATGCTGTAGTTATGCTATGTATATACTTTTAACGAACTACGGTTATAACGAACTAAAATTAGTAGTCCCCTTGAGTTCGTTATAACCGAACTTTACTGTATTTATATTTTTAATCGTGCAACATAATTTACTTATCGAGTAGAAAACCGGACCCTTAAATAATTTGCATCAGTTGTTCGCGCCCTCTTTATAACAACGCTACAAATACATATAAAGTTGTATGATCGAAAATAGAAGTAAACATATTAAAAGCAAGTGTTTTCGGAAGCGAATTGTGATTCAGTTTTCGTGGAGTTACGATTCACGTACATGGCGGCAGGGTTGTTCCGAATGGGAATCTATTTGGAAAACACTATGTAGTCAAAATCAAAATTGTTTATAGAAGCAGCTTAGAGATGCGGTTCCCGCATCTAGAAATATGCTGTCCGTCTACGGTTTTTAGTAATTTCAGATCATTTCATAATTCAAACTAAACTAAACTAAACTAAACTAAACTCGGCAACGTGACAAGCAGTTAAAAGAACATTTGAACAGTAAAACTAAACACATAATCATTAACTTATCGGCAAAGAATGGAAATTAGAAACGGACATTAGCGTCAATCTTGAATTTTCTATGACGAACGGTCTTTCTTCTAAATTACCCAACAGGCACCGACCATGCAAATGTCTGTGCTTGTATAACCATCGAACCATTATACGTGTTATCTGATGCACGATATACATTGTGTGTCAATCTCTCCATCACCAGATGACTCTGTCAGGACATCAGACTTTCGTCATAACCCAATTGATATACGCAGCAAGAATCTGTAACCGTCAGCATCACGTCTGAAATACAAAGTGACTTTATACAGATAAACTGACTTGTACATTGACATACATGGTGTAACGACTGTTCAACCTCCGACATGATTATATGAATGCACTGCAATTGTTCATGGCCCGATAACATGTACCGATGACAAGTTAGAATATTTAGCTTGTTTGTTTGTTTGTTTGTTGTTTCACGTCGCACTCAGCAATATTCCAGCTATATGACGGCGGTCTGTAAATAATCGAGTCTGGACCAGACAATCCAGTGATTGACACCATGAGCATCGATCCACCCAATTGGGATCAATGACATGCATCAACCAAATCACCGAGCCTGACCAGCCGATCCCGTTAGTCGCCTTTTACGACAAGCAGAGTCACCTTTTACGGCAAGTATGGGTTGCTGAAGACCCATTCTTGCCCGGAATCTTCACAGGTCTCATGTTTCAGGTAACGGATGCAGACAACCTTCACAGCTCTCTTGGTCCATGTTGATATGTGCATATACATTTTCATTAGACTTCTGTATTGTACAGATTTAAACACACATTCTTACCTTTGATAGTTAACACTGTTCTTGTTCGTGAAGAAGTATGGGTTCAGCTGGAAGAGAAATTACTTGTACGTCACAGGAGTGAGTGAGTTGTATGTTACGTCACTTTTAGCAATATTCCATCAATATCACGACTGGGGACACCAGAAATGGGCTTCACACATTGTACCCATGTGGGGAATCGAACCCGGATTTCGGCGTGATGAGCGAACGCTTTAATCACTAGGCTGCCCCACCGCCCCGTACGTACCAGGAAGAAAGAAGTTTTATTCGGATCTGATTCATACACAAAACGTGTATGTGCTTGACCGAGTTGGTTTATACCCGGCTGCGTTCCAATTCACCAATATCACGGTGTGTCAGCTTGAAGAGAGCCGGACGTGATGCAGCTGTTAGACTTTGAAGAAAACCACGAACACGATGATGTTGCTGATAAACAAAGGATCATAAACCAGGACGAAACTGTGATGCTAACTTCCGATCCTAAGGGACGCAACACTGCGCAGTGATTTTTGCGACCTAGGCAAAATATATCTATAACAATATATTTAATCTGTTTAAGGGTAAGTTCATAAAGTGACATTATGAATGATTTTAACATTATTTTCGCCATGTTTGCATCATTTGGGTGTGGATCATTTTCCCGAGGCAAGGGAGTTAACTGTCTCTAAAAGTCCACTTTCCACCCTTGCCGAACTAGGATGGAATTTCAGGGCTCGATCGTAGCGTCACCTGTGGCAATTACGAGTTATCTCCCTTATGACCCTCCCATTGACCAATTAGATTCTACCTCTCATATCACTTGCATTTGCTTAAAAAAAATGGCGGCGCCCAGTGAAGACGATATGATCGATAATCAAAATCTATATTGTAATAAAACCAGTCTTTCTTAGCGAAGTGCATCAAATCACCTGTGCACATTGATTTAAAACATGAGAAGATTTGGAAAATATCTGTTGAGATCGAGTTGGCGGTACAAATGCTTTCCAAATCCTGCAATCGACCGAAATCTGCACGGCAATTTACGAAGCGGATATCGATTTCGTTACGCGGTTTTGATTGGACTATGCGCGGACTCATTAGTCGAGCCAGAATATAACTCCATAATTCCAGCCTAGTTCGACAAGGGTAAAAACTGGATTTTCATGGTCATTTAAGTCCTTTGCCTCGATACTCCACATGGATGTATTTATTCCAAAGGACACGTTGAATATGATAAGGCTTGGTCATAAAACTACGCCCTTACCTCACTTGGGCACTCCAGGGTTTCCCCGGGAACTACAGAGGTTTTTTTGTACCCCACAGGTTGGATCTGATAATAACACAAATACACACATTCAACTCCCTGTCAAACTCCGAGGAAACCTTTAGTTTCAATTCGATGTATCAATCTGTTACTCCAAAATCAAAATTCAAAAGTTGAATATCACTTCCTGGGATTATGAATGACAAGGTGGCATATGGGCCCCTTTTCCCTCAATATTAGCAGAAGTTAAGAAATATGTTGAAATTATTCTCACGTGCTTGTTTCAATACGTTCTTAGTTTGGATTTATCATCCAAAACTGGCTCCCACGGGAGATATCGCTTGGATGAGATCAAGCGATAGCTATACTGTAGATATCGCTGCAATGAAATTGCATCACAATGCTTTGCAGACCATTGTGACGTCATTGGTTACCATGACGTCACAATCAAATGACATCACTAATTGCCCTGCTACTGAAGCTGTTAGCAGTACTATTTACACTTAAAACACTGCTTATTACGTTCTACAAACCGAAAAAGTTGGAAGAATGATGTTGGATGATGAAAAAAATCTCTCCCTCGTGTCTTTTGATATGAAATATATCAACACTCGTTGATAAATGTGGAAAAAATCCTCGGCAAGCCTCGGAGTTTTTCCACTTTTATCAACTCTTGTTGATATATTTGATATCAAAAGACACTCGGGTGAGATTCTCTATTTGTAATAACAGTAAATATACGGACAAGGCTAAAATGTGTAGACAAGGCTGAGAAAACGACAGTACAAAAATAAGGTAAACAATACATCTTGTTGGACTAGCGCATAGTTAGATTATCTCATAACGTTGATAAAATCGGCTTTTTTCACTAATTTTAACCATTCCTAAGTATCTGAACGTGCCAGAAGTCCAAAACTGGCACTGTAAGAAAGTAAAATGTCAAGATGTCTGATAATTTCTACTCCAATATTTCAAATGTTTTAATGATGTACGACTTCTTGAAATCAAAATGAAAGTCCCTGCTTATAAGTATACACCAACACGTACCATGTTATTCCAGAGCGATGTGGCAGCAATGGCCTGACCTTTCCGACTAAAATGAAAACAATCCGGCGAAAAGTAGGACAAGTCTGGTTTGTTCTCCTGAAAATTAAAGGAGAGTTTAATTAAATACTTATGACTTTATATAATAATAAAAATAATATCATAATAAGTAGGTGTGGTAGTGAAATAGAATTTAACGCAGCATCCAAGATTATTTCACTTATATTATTGCCGATTGATAGTGCTAGCCTACTGAGATACCACGCCGCAGTTTGACATGAATACCCCACTCAGACACAGTATACTGACTCCGAGCCGACCATTCCTTGTTTTAGCTTACAAGTAAGGGAATCAAGTACAATCTTTTTACGTCTTTTGGTATGACGCGGCCGGGGATCGAAACCAGGACCTGCCGCTCCACGGGCGGACGCTCTACCACTAGACCACAGAGGCGGTCGTGTAATAGTAGAAGAAGCAGCAGCAGTAGTAGTAGTAGTGGTAGTAGTAGTAGTTGGTTGGTTGTTGGTTTAACGCCGCACTCAGCAATATTCCAGCTATATGACGGCGGTCTGTAAATAATCCAGTCTGGACCAGACAATCCAGGGATTAATATCATGAACATCCATCCACGCATCCATGACATATATCATCCAAGTCAGCGAGCCTGACCACCCGATCCCGTTAGTCGCCTTTTACGACAAGCATAGTCACCTTTTACGGCAAGTATGGGTTGCTGAAGACCTATTCTACCCTGGAATAGTAGTAGTAGTAGTAGTAGTAGTAGTAGTAGTAGTAGTGAGTTTATGCTTTACGTTACATCGGCAATATTTCAGCCATATCGTGACGAGAGTAGTAGTAGTAGTAGTAGTAGTAGTAGTAGTAGTAGTAGTAGTAGTAGTAGTAGTAGTACGAAATGGTTACCATACTTTCATAGGTAGCTTGGTGTCTCTGAAGAACGGCTGTATGACCACTGTAAAGTCGTCCCTGTCGTCGTATCTCCCACTGGCCACCAGCTTCTCCAGGCCGTCGTTGTAGTCGTCGGCAGCCTGGTGTAGCAGCAGGACGTCCTCGTCGTTCCGGGGATAGGCGCCACACGGACAGTACAACCTGTACACGGAAACACAGTTCGATGACGTAGGTGTTGCTGGATGTCGTGCCTATCGATGTTCATAGATGATATCAGTCACGTCATGACTATTGCGTTTTAAGCTCACCGTCCCAGCGCCAATTTCAACATGAAATATCCCTAGCTGTGATAAGGCCAAATAGTTGATACAACCATAGTTTAAACAATAAATGTTCTTCTAACTATGCAAAGAGCGTACAGTTTCACACAAAACTCAAAACGACACGATTAAAACATATTTTGTTCAATATGACATACACTGTCTCAGTTTGACAAAATCTAGCGACAAAACCATTTATACAAAGATAAGAAATCTCCAAAAACCAGCGTCCACCGTACGATTTCGACTATATCATAAGCATGTGTTTATGAATCAGTATCAAATAGTGATGATAACAGGTGTTCGCGAAAAGGTGAGCGTATCTTGTCCAACTAGTGGCATCCGTCACAAACACATGCAAAGGCAAGTCACTTACTAAAACGTCTGGACATAGACCGAACTTAAACCAACTTGGCTGCCCACTACACTGGAAACACGTGCGCTCGCGCGAACGCACGCACACACAGAATCCTCTCCACCACCACCACCCCAACCACTAACCCCTAACCCCTAACCCCTAACCCCTTTCACACCACCTTGGTTGTCCACTAAGCTTGGTCCCTGGATCTTGATGGAGCTTACTGGTGAACTATAGAGCAGATATGGCCGACGTTCAGCCCCTGCATCACGTCCACGTGGTTCACCTCCACCAGGTTGACGAAGGCGCGGGGGATGCCGGCGTGGAGGATGTCGAGGGCCTGCTGTACACGTTGGACGTAGTTGCTGGCGTTGTTGCGCCGCTACAGGAGATGACATCAGTGTGTGATTTGAATAGAACTAAGGCCACAATGAATTAACTATTTGTTCTTTGAAATCTCCTGTTCGTTAAAACGAAAATAGCTTTGCATTTTGGGAGTGAGTGAGTGAGTGAGTTTGGTTTAACGCCGCTTTTAACAGTATTCCAGTTATATCGCGGCGTGTCAGCTTAATGTGGGAGGAAAGCCCGAAGTGATGCAGGTCACAGACGTTTACCACTTCGGTGAAACCCACGAGCACGGGTATGGTGCTGACAAACCTAGAAACATAATCGGGGCCAACCGGGATTCGAACCAACAATCATAGGTTTCTGGCGTGCCCAAGGGACGCAACCATGCACAGCGTTGTGGGTTTGGATTGTATTGGGGACGGCTGTGTGGGTTTGGGTTGTATTGGGGAAGGGTTGTGGGTTTGGGTTGTACTGGGGAAGGGTTGTGGGTTTGGGTTTTATTGGGGATGGGTTGTGGGTTTGGATTGTATTAGGAAAGGATTGTGAGTTTGGGTTTTATTGGGGATGGGTTGTGGGTTTGGGTTATATTAGGAAAGGGTTGTATTGGGAAAGTGACATGGATTTGAGTTGTATTGGGGAATGGTGTGTGGGTTTGGGTTATATTGGGGTAGGGTGTGCGAGTGTGGGGATGTTGTTTTGAGCTTGTAACTTGTCAAAGGTCTTAATTATACCAATCATACAAAGTATTCCCAGGTGAATAATGATAGCAAAATAACAGACAAAACAAAAACAAAAAGACTTCTAAGATTCTAACGCTTTCTAAGAAATAATATCTTGGGGTGAACACATTGAAGATTTAACAACTAACCTAATCACAATTAATCAAGTGAAGTTTCTATATGATACATGTAATCTTTTCTAGATTCACATAAGAAGGGCCTCATCAAACGGGCTCTTATGATAAACATGATATACGTGATAAACCTCTCCAAACACACACACACGCACACGCACACGCACACGCACGCACGCACACACACACAGACACACACACACGCACACACACACACACGTACATGCACGTCGCTAAATAAGTGCAATAATCTTGGACGCGACGTTAAACTCCATTTCACCTCACCTCATCTCACCTCACCTCACCTCATCTCACCTCACCTCACCTCACCTCACATCACCTCACCTCTCATGAAACAGATTTCCGTCTACTCACCATGTCTTTGCAGTAGTCGCACAAGTCATCACCCCCGATGAAGATGGTAATAAGTTTCCAGTCGTTTCTAAAGTCTACACCTATTTCTGTCTTCATCCTCTTTATCAACAACTCTGCCTGTTTGACCATGGCACTGCAGAACATGGTTTAATTCAATAATGAAATGAACTTAAACACTACAATAAACAAGCGACCATTTCCAAAGATGAGACTTAAAAGACACACAATGTAATGAACCACTGAGGTGAAGGCGGAAGTAAAAATAATAAATGTGCATTTTAAACTAATTTGGGTGTTACAAATGTTTATACACACACACACACACACACACACACACACACACACACACACACACACACACACACACACACACACACACACACACACACACATAGCAACATAATCTTTCATCGTTACTGTTCTGTGTATTTTAATGTTTAATGATGACATCAATACTTTCAGATTTGTTACTAAAACATTTCGTGATTTCAAAAGTCATCAATGACAATATAAGTACAACACGAGGGGAGGATGTCCCTTCCTGTGACACCGAAAAGGGGTGGGGGAGAGTTTAATTCAAGTTTTTCTATGTGAGGGTCAGACCTTATCAAACAACCTTCGTGCGAAAGCACAATGAAACAATATTGTCCTCAAGCAAACTCCTTACACGGATTCTGCCCCGGGTTCAGCTACATCAAGGTGGGCATTCTTACTCCACACGTTGCCACTTTTAAGAGCGAATCCTCTCAGCCAGGGGTTGTATTTCTTCAACATATCTACATGTTATGATAATGTAGAACAATGGAAAAGCAATCAAGGTTGAACATTGAAAGGCTTTTATGAAGAAAAAAACATTAACTATTTTGAATAATCGTATCAAAATATTTGGTTTTCATTTTTTCTCAAATCGAAGGATTTAAAGATTATGACATCTTACTTGGGATTGTTGGCTGTTGGCCGTATTCGCCATCTCCGCCGATGCTGCAAATAAAAATACAATGTGGGTTAAAGCCTTAAGTGTGTTTTCTTGTAATTCAAGAGATCATCCTACTTCCAGGATAATGCATACGAAATATACGCAAGATTTGTCTCGTTTCATTGGCGTTTAATATAAGTAACAACCTCCATGAAAGGCCACGGTCCTGTCTGCGCATGTCCATGATCGTTGTCGCTGTGATGCCATTTCCGGCCTGCAAGTGAAATAAGGTTCCATTAGGAGTGAGTGAGTTAATATTAAACGTCACATCGGCACTATTTCAGCCATATCGTGACGGGTTCCATTAGGAAGGTTACTTTGCAGCGAGATACTATAAGGTTGTCTCATCTGACCGCACGGAACTATCAAACTTGTTAGACTTACTGTGATGGAGTCCCCCATCGCTGCCACTACCTGGATGTCGCCGGGCCTCAAGCGGTGAACTGCAACACATGGTCGATATGATGAAGGGAATGGAGAGGAGCATGTTGTTGTTGCAGTTGGTGCAGCTCTAATGTGCAATGTATAGACCATTGTGTGCAACAAACAATCCTGAGGTTTCGCCGTGGTTTCTGTACCTGATAGGGCGTAGTTAGTGACAGGTATACTGTACCTATCTGATACGGGCGTAGTTAGTGACGGCGGGTTTTCGTACCTAGCTGCTACGAGTGTAGTTGGTGACGACGGGTAGATGGTACCTACCTGATGTCGTTGTACTTAGTGACTTCGGGTAGATGGTACCTACCTGATGTCGTTGTACTTAGTGACTTCGGGTAGATGTACCTTCCTAATGTCGGTGTAGTTGGTGACGGTGGGTAGAGGTCCCTACCTGATGCCGGTGTAGTTGGTGACGGCGGGTAGATGTACCTTCCTGGTGCCGGTGTAGTTGGTGACGGCGGGTAGATGTACCTACCTAATGTCGGTGTAGTTAGTGACGGTGGGTAGAGGTCCCTACCTGATGTCGGTGTAGTTGGTGACGGCGGGTAGATGTACCTGCCTGATGCCGGTGTAGTTAGTGACGACAGGTAGATGTACCTACCTGATGTCGGTGTAGTTAGTGACGACAGGTAGATGTACCTACCTGGTGTCGGTGTAGTTGGTGACGACAGGTAGATGTACCTACCTGATGTCGGTGTAGTTGGTGACGGCGGATAGATGTACATACCTGATGTCGGTGTAGTTAGTGACGACAGGTAGATGTACCTACCTGATGTCGGTGTAGTTGGTGACGGCGGATAGATGTACCTACCTGATGTCGGTGTAGTTGGTGACGACAGGTAGATGTACATACCTGATGTCGGTGTAGTTGGTGACGGCGGATAGATGTACCTACCTGATGTCGGTGTAGTTGGTGACGACAGGTAGATGTACATACCTGATGTCGGTGTAGTTGGTGACGACAAGTAGATGTACATACCTGATGTCGGTGTAGTTGGTGACGACAGGTAGATGTACATACCTGATGTCGGTGTAGTTGGTGACGACAGGTAGATGTACATACCTGATGTCGTTGTAGTTGGTGACGGCGGATAGATGTCCCTACCTGATGTCGGTGTAGTTAGTGACGACAGGAAGATGTATCTACCTGATGTCGGTGTAGTTAGTGACGACAGGTAGATGTATCTACCTGATGTCGGTGTAGTTAGTGGCGACAGGAAGATGTACCTACCTGATGCCGGTGAAGTTGGTGACGGCGGGTAGATGTACCTACCTGATGTCGGTGTAGTTAGTGACGACAGGTAGATGTACCTACCTGGTGTCGGTGTAGTTGGTGACGACAGGTAGATGTACCTACCTGATGTCGGTGTAGTTGGTGACGGCGGATAGATGTACATACCTGATGTCGGTGTAGTTAGTGACGACAGGTAGATGTACCTACCTGATGTCGGTGTAGTTGGTGACGGCGGATAGATGTACCTACCTGATGTCGGTGTAGTTGGTGACGACAGGTAGATGTACATACCTGATGTCGGTGTAGTTGGTGACGGCGGATAGATGTACCTACCTGATGTCGGTGTAGTTGGTGACGACAGGTAGATGTACATACCTGATGTCGGTGTAGTTGGTGACGACAAGTAGATGTATCTACCTGATGTCGGTGTAGTTGGTGACGACAGGTAGATGTACATACCTGATGTCGGTGTAGTTGGTGACGACAGGTAGATGTCCCTACCTGATGTCGGTGTAGTTGGTGACGGCGGGTAGATGTACATACCTGATGTCGGTGTAGTTGGTGACGACAGGTAGATGTACATACCTGATGTCGGTGTAGTTGGTGACGACAGGTAGATGTACATACCTGATGTCGTTGTAGTTGGTGACGGCGGATAGATGTCCCTACCTGATGTCGGTGTAGTTAGTGACGACAGGAAGATGTATCTACCTGATGTCGGTGTAGTTAGTGACGACAGGTAGATGTATCTACCTGATGTCGGTGTAGTTAGTGGCGACAGGAAGATGTACCTACCTGATGCCGGTGAAGTTGGTGACGGCGGGTAGATGTACATACCTGATGTCGGTGAAGTTGGTGACGGCGGGTAGATGTACCTACCTGATGCCGGTGTAGTTGGTGACTTCGGGTAGATAGTACCTACCTGATACGGGTGTAGTTAGTGACTTCGGGTAGATGTACCAACCTGATGCCTGTGTAGTTGGTGACGGCGGGTAGATGTAGCTACCTGATGCCGGTGTAGTTGGTGACGGCGGCTAGATGTACCTACCTGATGCCGGTGTAGTTAGTGACTTCGGGTAGATGTACCTGCCTGATGCCGGTGAAGTTGGTGACTGCGGGTAGATGGTACCTACCCGATGCCGGTGTAGTTAGTGACTTCGGGTAGATGGTACCTACCTGATGCCGGTGTAGTTGGTGACTTCGGGTATATGTACATACCTGATATGGGTGTAGTTGGTGAAGGCGGGTAGATGTACCTACCTGATACGGGTGTAGTTGGTGACGGCGGGTAGATGTACATACCTGATACGTGTACAGTTGGTGACGGCGGGTAGATGTACCTACCTGATACGGGTGTAGTTAGTGACGGCGGGTAAATAGTAGCTACCTGATACGGGTGAAGTTGGTGACGGCGGGTAGATGTGCCTACCTGATACGGGTGTAGTTAGTGACGGCGGGTAGATTGTACCTACCTGATACGGGTGAAGTTGGTGACGGCGGGTAGATAGTACCTACCTGATACGGGTGTAGATGGTGACGGCGGGTATATGTACATACCTGATACGGGTGTAGTTGGTGACGGCGGGTAGATAGTACAGGGAAATGCACTTCCATGAAAGTGGCCATCATCCTGCAAACAGAAACACGCAACGTTAGCACTGGACACTTTATGTCAACCCTCCGTAACTGTCAACACCAACCATTCATACAATGTACATGCGCGTATCCGCGGAAACTACAATCTGTCATGGACATAAATAGCGCAGCAGTATTCCGAGGGAACCCGAAGGTTGATCCGAGGGAACGCTATAAAAATAGTTTTACCATGGCAAATAGGAGCTTGCATACGTGTTTCAAGAAAAAAGGTATTATTTTAATAGTACTTTTATACAATATAGTACAACATACTTGTCTATCCTCAAACCATACTTCCTTGTGCAACCGGATATGTTTAATGTTGACCCTTGATCGTTAAATTTCAGAACGGATGGTTTGAAAGATACATCCGTGTCCTTTGTCACCGGTCATCGTTTGATATTCAGGGGTCGATGCTGTTTCAACGGTTGTCCAGTAAGCATGCGTATTCTACACACACATAGATTTCGCCACAGTGATTGTGTTAAAAGGACTGACTGATTCAATAGCCTCAATAGTTCAATAACAACCTTCTGTGTTTAGTTGTCGGGGTAATATTGAACACGCAATCTTTCAGTGCAATATGCACGATCTACTCTTATATGGGGGATGATGATGATGATGATGATGATGATGATGATGATAAATGAGCATTATGTATAGTAGTAGTCACAGTAGTAGTCATAGTAGTCGTTGTAGTCGTAGTAGTCGTCGTAGTCGTAGTTACCGGGTGTATTACCGGCATGTCATCCCTGAAGAGATGTAGATGTTTACTGAAGTCTCTCTGTAGGGTGACGTTGTTGGCAGCCTGGGAGAGCCACGCCCTGTAGTCGTCATAGCTGCCGTGACACGCTGGAATAGTCAAATATACTGAAGGAAAAAGTAGAGAAGCGTATAATAATATTTTGCAGAATAATTTCAACTGTAAAGCTTTAAACAAAGGTTACATATTTACAAAATAAGTCGCTTAGTGTATTCAGTGCATTGCCTCATCTTGTGGATTCCAAGTCAGAGTTAGTGCCCAGCAACCTATGCTGGTCGTTTATGGATGGGGTGGTCAAGTTCGATGATTTGATTGGATAGGCGCTCAAGGTATTGATCCCTGGATTGTCTTGTCCAGACTATTTACAGTTGACTACCACTAATAAACCGGCAAAGATCAGGACAAGTACAAGCAGCCACGCACACCTTTCGCATATTATAAGTGCATTAATCTTTAACCCATTTCACTTCCCCTTATTATGCCTAATACTTATTATCCGTGAAGATCCGGGTTAGAAAAGGTCTTAAGCAACCTATGCTTGTAAGAGGCGACTAGCGGGATCGAGTGGTCAGGCTCGCTGACTTGGTTGATGCATGCCGTCGAAGCCCAGTTGAATGGGTCGATGCTCATGATATTAATCACTGGACTGTCTGGTCCAGACTCGATTATTTACAGACCGCCGTCATATAGCTGGAAAACTGCTGAGTGCGGCGTTAAACACCAAACAAACACACATGTCGTGAATAGCACATGCTTCGCTCACAAACAGTTCCCTTAGAGTATATTTTCAGGAACATTCGAAAGAAAATATGTTGAGTATTAACGTAGAAAGCAGAGACATGTGCCTGTAGAATACCATGGTAACGGAATCTCAATATTCCAATAACTTGCATATTTGTGTAGCGATTAAGAATCGCTTTGGACGGTACATAATTAACAGCTCTGTTTGTGGAAATCAGTTCCTAATTAAGCTGGACACGACGCCGTTATGACTGTGGTGTTGTCTTGCACGTTGCAATAAAACTATACTGGGAGCAGGATGGTTACAATATACACTCTTCAAAAAGGGAAACGCACAGGTAGTATGTAGTTCATTAAATCTGACAACACAAAAAATCCGGTATATCAATTGGATATATGTTATTGGAAAATGTTGGTGGCCTGATATTCGATAAACGGTGCGTCAAAACGCAGCCATTGTCGATTTGCAATGTCTTACATGGCATTGTTTTCACACTTGTTCAAAAATGGCATGGATGAAAACAGTAAAACAAAATGCACGTGCAGGTTATGGCATTCGTAACTTGTTGTAGTGGCTATAAAAAGGCAAGCATAAGCCAATAATTTGTAATTCAAGACTCAGCGCTGCCGATCGGAGCATCGCCATAGGACGTATCCAAAGAGGGGAATCGCAATCTTCTGTTGCACGCCATTTCAACGTCGAACACAGCACCATTTGCCGCCTTTGGGACCGTTACACACAGTTCAATTCCACTGCAGACCGTCTGAGAACCGGCCGACCGGCCGACCGGCCGACTAAGAGTTACCACCCCTGCACAGGATCGCTACATTCAACTGTTCCAACTACGTCATCGCAATGCCACAGCTACGGAGACTGCAGGACGCATCCCTGGTTTGAGGAGAATATCGGACCAGACTGTCAGGAACCATCTTCGCGAGGCTGGAATCCGACCAAGAAGACCAGTTATCGTCCCTGTTTTGCAACAGATCCATCGACAGCGACGCTTGCGTTGGTGCCATACCTTACAGCCTTGGAATTTGAGAAACTGGAGACGAGTACGGTTTAGCGACGAATCACGATTTCTTCTTCACCGGCGAGGTGGAAACCAACGTGTTTATCGTCGTCGAGACGAGCGTTTTGCCCCATAATTGTGTACGTGAATTCGGCAATTTCGGTGGTGGTAGTGTCATGGTGTTGGGGGCCATATCCCACACCCCGACATCTGACTTGGTTATGGTTCAGGGAAATTTGACAGCAAATCGCTGCATGAATCAAATTCTTCAACCTCCCCGCTTGAGGGAGCTGTTTCAACAGTACAACGCTCCACCGCACATAGCTCGTGTCACGGTAGACTACCTTCATAATGCCAAAATCAACGGCTTGCCCTGGCCGTCGAGATCTCCAGATCTCAACCCAATCGAACACTTCTGGGATGAACTCGATCGACGTGTACGTCAACGTCAGAACACGCCGCAGACACTCCCAAAACTGGCCAACGCGTTACAATCAGAATGGCGCAGAATTCCGCAGGGCAGAATTCGTACACTTATAAAATCAGTGCCGAGGAGATTCAGAGCCGCGATTGCTGACGGGGTGGTCAAACGAGATACTGAGTTCAGCGCAACCTTGTGGCCTTATGTGATATGATAATTATTATTGTTATTGTTGTTATTGTTGTTATTTAAATTTAATTAACGTGTCATCTCTAGATATATGCATATTAAACTTTTAAAGCTTGCGAAATACGTGTAAAGTTCAAACCTGATTGACATTATCTAATTATCAGTAAAACTCGATGGTGACAGTGTTCAAGAGGGTTTAAGAGGTCCCACTGAGATACTACGAACTGTACCACGGGATACTTGCCTGAAATCGGCAGGTCGTAAAATAATCACTATTACAGGGACTGCGGCCATGTGTGTTTCACTGATGGACCAATGGTATGCAGAGTTGCCTCCCTTAGATGTCCCTCATCAGCTGATCTGTCAGTACCCTACTCGCGCGCCTTGCCAGTATAATAACCACTGGTAAACGTGTACGACCTTTGGAGGTCCGTTTTCATATGAGAGAGTGAGCTTTGTTGAATGTCGCCTGAACAGTAGTTCAGTTTTATTACAGGTTTGCAGCTTAATGTGAAAGGAAAGCCCGAAGTGATGCAGGTCTTAGACCTTACCACTTAAGTGTTTGTTTGTTTGTTCAAAAGCGTTCAAATATATACATTGTCGACTAAAGGATTTTAGTAACTCTTTATCCTAAAAAAAGAGAATTAAGTGTGTTATACCTCAGTGCGACCACTTACTATTAATTGCGACATTAGTATATAAATTGCAGGCATATATATATGTATATAGGGGGTGTCTGCCTCAGGCTCTGTGTGCGCGTATGTTTTTATATGCATGGGTGTATGCATGTTTGTTTTTTGTTTAACGCCGCACTACGCAATATTCCAGCTATATGACAGCTTCTGTAAATAATCGAGTCTGGACCAGACAATCCAGTGATTGATATCATGAGCATCGATCCACACAACTGGTATACGATGACATCCATCAACTAAGTCAGCGAGCCTGACCACCCGATCCCGTTAGTCGCCTCTTACGACAAGTATAGTCGCCTTTACGACAAGCATGGGTTGCTGAAGACCTATTCTACCCCGGATCTTTACGGGTGCAAAACATTAAGCTGCAAATGAAGCTAACAGAAATGTACGGGACGGAAAACCTCAGTACAGAGCGAGAAGCAAACAAACACTGTTATCTATGCTCTTTTATAGATGTGCATGGTGAATAGCTTACACAATTTCACAGTCTTTTTTTCAAAAAGAAACAACAATATGCACATTTTTGTATGCAATCTAAATGCTTATGTATATCAGATAATGTAGTATATGCAATCTAACTAAAAAAAATTCATTTGTTTTTAAAATGACTAAAAGGATCAGGTGGTGAGGTTCGGTGACGGTTTGATTGCTTGTCATTTTACCAGACGACATAGACCGTTAGTCGTGATATCAACCTCTTGTTTGTCCGACACAGAGTGGATTATAAATAGGCGGCCGTAATATAGCTGGACAATTGGTTGGTGCGACATTACACAACATCAACACATGAACTACGAATTTACTCCTACAGTCTATCTACAGTCTATGCTTGCCATTGACGCACACATGATTACAGATTACAGGGCAAATGCCGCACTTAGCAATATTCTAGCTATATGTTTTCGGACTGTAGTGAGTTGGGTTTTAACAGTATTCCAGTTATATCACGGCGTGTCAGCTTAATGTGGGGGGAAAGCCCGAAGTGATGCAGGTCTCAGACGTTTACCACTTCGGTGAAACCTACGAGCACTGGTATGGTGCGGATAAACCAAGAAACATAATCGGGGCGAACCGGGATTCGAGCCCGTAATCATAGGTTTCTGGCGTGCCAAGGGACGCAGCACAGCACAGCGAATCGCGGCGCCTTGGACGACTGGGCCACCCGTGCCCCCCTTTCGGACTGTAAATAATCGAGTAGTCTGGATCAGACAATCCAGTGTTTGATATTATGCGCAACGATCCACAACGTCGGGGTATCATGACACGCTATCAACCGAGCCTGACCCCCGGTCCATACGCTCACCTCTGACGAGGGGCGGTCGGGTAGCCTAGTGGTTAAAGCGTTCGCTCGTCACGCCGAAGACCCGGGTTCGATTCCCGATATGGGTACAATGTGTGAAGCCCATTTCTGGTGTCCCAGCCGTGATATTGCTGGAATATTGCCAAAAGCGGCGTAAAACCATACTCACTCACTCACTCACTCACTCACCTCTGACGACCAGCATAGATTGCTGGTGATCAGATCCAGCCGAGAATCCCCACAGGGTGTCGCTACAATGTTACAATGAAGGAAACATACAATACGTTATTACCTGACATAAGCCATACGAGTAGCAGGGTTGATGTGACCGTCATAGTTAGTCCGACAGCTTAGATAAGTCTTGGTTTCTTCTCCACGTTTTGTTGGTCACTACAGTTCACGTGATCTCTTGTGTAATCAAGTATGATTGATAACTAGAGTGATATCTGTGGAGTGAGCTGAATGTGATTTTTTTTTTTAAACTATCGCCACTGCTTTTGTCTATCATGATGACGACGCGTAGTTCTCTTCTTGAATAAACATGCGTCCCTTGGGAACGCCAGAAACCTATGATTGTGGGTTCGAATCCCGGTTCGCCCTGATTATGTTTCTAGGTTTGTCAGCACCATACCCGTGCTCGTGGGTTAACGTCTGAGACCTGCATCACTTCGGGTTCTCCTCCCACATTAAGCTGACACGCCGCGATATAACTGGAATACTGTTAAAAGCGGCGTTAAACCCAAGTCACTCACTCACTCTTGGATAAACATCTAGAAAAGTTTACTTTGTGCTTCTGTTCATAGTTCATGAAAAATCAATATTAATAGATTAATTAGTTTTCACAATTTCATCAGAAAATGGTGCTAATAGAAAATCAAAATTAACCACGTAGTTCTGTAGCTCACCTGAAACAACTTGAGAAACTCTTTTCGTGATACTATCGCACGGGTCATCTTGCACTTACCGTTGTAAATATCATAGCTGTAACAGGTCAAAACGCATGATGGGATACATCCGTTCACATTTATTAACATCACCCATACTTTCATTTGCCACAGACGAGTGGGTTGCGTTATGTCCCTTATAGAACAAGAACTGACCGAATCCCACCCAACAGTCTGTACGTCTTCATGACCAATATACTTTACTAGCAATCATAACTCCGGTAAATGATGTTTCCTTAAAGAGACAGTCCGCTTTTCATATATATATCTCATCATTATTTGACGGTTTTGCTGAATGATTCCTGTTAAACACTGTTGCGTCGAACTTTGATGTGTCGACGTTACGGTTGTCTCGAATAAAAGTTTGGCCACTGGGTATTCCTTCTTTATTCATCATTATTTAACCTTTGATGTGTCAAATCAGTTGTGTCGAAGTTACGGTTGTCTCCAAGTCATTGTGCAGTATTAAACGTACTTCCAGCACAAACTCACTTTCATAAAGAATGATTCCCGTTTTGTGTTTGGCTTTATGTTTGGTTATGAGACCCGTTGGCGTTTATTACATTTAAGTTGGTATGAAATATCCGCTGAAGCCATTCGATGTATCCTGCCTCTGTTTGTCAATTGTTCTTTAATCTAGCATTCGGTGAAGTGAATGAGTTATATTTCATTTATATCACGGCGTGGCAGCTCAATGTGGGAGGAAAGCCCGAGGTGATACAGGTCTGCCACGTTGGTACGGTTCACGAGGACGTGTATATGTATGGTGCCGACAAACCTCGACACATCGTCAAACTTAACTTGAAAGTTCGTGTGAGGAACGTTTAAATTCTGATAGACCATATCGAAGTCTTTTAACATTAACAAGCATGAAATACTCATATCCCCGCCAATATGCCATATCCGGTTGTGTGCAAGGAAAGAAGATCCGCTCAGGAAAGGAGCACTACCTTTATGTTCAGTCTAAGTGAAAGTTGTTGCCATGGAAACTCGAAAACTATTTTCTCCTAAAATCTCAAACTATCAAAAGGCACCATTTCACCACTAGACCTACCTATGTGCCAAGTTTAGTTAAGATAAGATGGTTTTTAGTTCTGCCCCGCAAACGAAACGTGACGGACGCACGTATGGACGGAAGGACGGACCGACAGCACCATTTCTATATCCCCCTTCCACTTCGTGGAATAAGGCCTTTTTCGAAAGGAAATACGTCTCTGTGGCCGATTCAGATTTATTGGTCACTATTTACAGCATGTAAAAATATCACGAGTGTATGTCTCGCATGATGGAGTGCTGCTTGACGATTTTGGTCGCAGGGCTGTCTTTCTCCCAGACCGTCTCCTCTTCCATTGTCTGGTACTTGTTGGCACAAGGACGTCGATGTCTCCTTACTGTCCACAACAGCGTCAGTATGAACCCAACCCCCACCAATACGAGAAACGACGTTCCTGAAATAAACAACCGCCACATCATCGACACAGGTGAGTGAGTGAGTTTGGTTTTACGCCGCTTTTAGCAATATTCCAGCAATATCACGGCGGGTGACACCAGAAATGGGCTTCACACATTGTACCCATATCGGGATTCGAACCCAGGTCTTCGGCGTAACGAGCGAACGATTTAACCACTAGGCTACCCGACCGCCCCTCAACGACACAGAACACAACCTTGACAGATGAAAGGCATTTTCCCTGACAGTTTATCAGTATCGTCAACGTGGGTTCATCACTTGGTTGACGTGAATCATGACGATGACGATTTGAGGATGCGGTTCCACACACTGTTCATGTCCATACTACTCAAAAGAAGTAAAAGAACACCCGATTCCTTCATATTACTATTGTAAATCTGGCGTGGCATGACAGATTAACTACATTAATATAAAAGAATTGTGTGTTATTTAACTTCTTTTGAGTCGTATATATACAGTAAACTACGGTTATAACGAACACGCTTATAACGAACTAACGGATATAACGAACTAACTTTTTAGTCCCGACTATATGCTGTAGCTGTGCTGTATGTATGCTTATAACGAACTACGGTTATAACGAACTAAAATTAGAAGTCCCTTTGAGTTCGTTATAACCGTAGTTTACTGTACACTACAGTTCAAGAAATACAATGCACAACGATGCAGATCAACCCTAGCACTGGAGCAGCAAGATACACCACCTGGCAACGCCATGATATATCACCATGGTAACAGACACGTCCCAGGTGGGTGATGATCCTGTTTAACCACTCTCAGCAGACATTGTCGCGCCTGCTACCAATGTTTGATGTTCTTTATAACAATGCATTGGTGTGACTGGTGTCCTCAGACACAATATATTGTCGGTTACTGCTTCATACGGCATAGATATAACACAATACATAACTCAGTTCAGCACCTCTTGACAAATGGGGAAACCCTATACATTAGCGATATCTTTAGAATCATCAAGTCCAATTCTGCAGGTGAAAGCGCTACTACCACTAAATATCAATACTTACCTATCACATCCTACTATTTAAACTAATTCTTGTGTCCACTACCACTAATACCACAGGCACCAATTCTACAATGACATTAACTACCACTATCACAACAACACTTTTTAATGGACAGCAACTTCTTTTATTCTTGTCTTGTTTATGTTCTCCCAACTTCTAAAGGCACATCAAAGACTGTATCACAACGACTACTACAACTCTCAACATCCCGACATACCACGACTACCAACACGACGACAACAAGAACGACTACCACTGTCACAACCACTCTCACCACAATTACTACAACAATTAATAACACCCTTAACATAGCTTCAATAAATAACAGGTCAATCACTGGATTGTCTGGTCCAGATTCGATTATTTACAGACCGCCGTCATATCGCTGTAATATTGCTATGCGCGGCGTCAAACAACGACCAACCAGACAAATACTAGTAAATAAAAGCGACAGAAACCCTTTCCATAAACATAAGAAATCTCCATTGTACGATTCCGACTAGGCCATCAGCAGGATATGTTTACCCTTTTCTCGACCACCTGATGCCGACACTGATTTTTACTTATCAATTCACATTATTTTCACTACTTTGGCTTTTGGCTTTGACAGTGGAATCTGTTTCGCCAGATAATCGAGACTGATTGTTCTCTGACGTTGATGTGATATAGCTTGTTCTCTGGCGTCAACGTTTTATAACGATGAATCAATGCCATATAGTGACAATATCAGCTGTTATCCAGAGGGTGAGTGTATTCTGCCTTACCGGTAATAACCAACCAACTTTACTCTTGATTTAAACACTAATACCACAGCCAGCAACTACGACAAACACTACAACCAACCATAACAACATAAACCCATCCTCGATCATCAAGTGTTTTTTTATCTCCAGTTTATCATGATGAATACCCTGGACCTATTTGCTGCTATAGCTTCCATTGGAAGGGCCGTCACCATCTATCTGTCCTATCTCGCAGCCCCAAAATATAGCTCGCTCATGAGTATGGAATCCTGGAAGGGATTCCATACATGAGAGTATTTGATTGAACGGCATTTGTGAGCGACGTGGCAATCGAATCGGTCTCAGATTTGGTAGCGATTGGGTCCATGTTAATTCTCACGATAGAATTAACATAAAATATACTGGTTAATCGAGGATGATGAAACAACCACCCACTGATGGTACGGCTCACTAAACTAATTCACCCCCAGCAGTATCAGCGACGCACCGATGGCGACTGTGTGGTCCTCAGAGCCCCCGTTGTTGGTCCCATTAATCTCCTCCTCATTCGTAGAGTCCCCCTTCACGTCGCCAGTCAGCATCGGGCCGTCTCTTCTCACACCACCTGCAGTTGCGTTGCTGTTCTTACGGGTAAAGAAGAACGGAGAGGCCTGGAAATACACATATACAGTCAAACACTGTTGTGTCGAACTTTGATGTGTCGAAGTTACGGTTGTCTCGAATAACAGTTTGACCCCAAGGTATTCCTTCTATAATCATCATAAGTTAACCTCTGATGTGTCAAATCAGTTGTGTCGAAGTCACGGTTGTCTCGAAGTCATTTTCCAGTATTAAACATGAACTTCCAGCGCAAACTTACTTTGATAAGTCGACATTTATTTCATTTTCTCGTTTGTTTGTCGGATATGTCTCGTGTGATTCGTTCTTCTTACCAATCGGTAAATGTATGCCGAGTTCATGTTTCGATTTTGTCGAACTTCTGATAAGTATTCACGTAGGCCCCTTCAACTTTTGACTGTACAACGTTCGAATGTGCTCAAGCGCAAGAACATGAAACATGTACAAGAACGACCACTTCTTGAATTGAGTCAATTGTCTTACCCAATGGAAACTACGGTGGCCCATAAGGGACATGGAGTCTGTTTTTCAATATTTTGATATTTCACATACTTTCATTGTAACCTTTTGAAAATTAACACAATTTGTCATACAAATATGTAATAAATCATGTATAAAAACAACCGAAAACATGGAAAATGTACTTTCAAGTAGCTATTGAATCGCTGAAATGTGAAGCGAAAATGTCAAAAACTAAAATGAAATTGTCAAAAAACCAAAACGAAAATGTCAAAAATGAAAATGTCAAAAACCAAAACGAAAATGTCAAAAACTAAAACGAAAATGTCAAAAACCAAAACGAAAATGTCAAAAACGAAAATGAAACCACAGAAAAATATTTCCACCGTGGTGATAATATTTCCACCGCGGTATAAATATTATTGGCCACCGTAGGAAACAGAATGTATAAAGGTCAAAACTGTTTGACTATGGGATCTAACATATGTGAGAGGGGAAGCTGTCATCACCTCAGATGGACATTCAATAGGTTGACCGGGAGCCCAGTTGACTCGCTTGCCTCCTTCCCGCTCGATCTGTAACATAACATTCACGTGTCTACAGTTATGCGCGGTTGGATACACTGCTCCACAAATGCTAGGGATACACATATAGCAGTAACAAACTACAAATGCATTTGATAAGACCCGAGTGAGTTTTATTTTGTCCTCTAGTTCTTTGTTCGACAAAATCCTCGACAATAAGTGAGTAGTGTTGTTATGTTAGTATGTGGGGTGAGGTAGAACGGGGGGTAACTTTGCGTTTAAAGTGTATTTATTTGTAGAGCGACGTGCACCCACGTGTGTGTGCGTGTGTGTGTGTGTGCGTGTTCGTGCGTGCGTGCGTGCGTGCGTGCGTGTGTGTATGTGTGCGTGCGTGCGTGGCTGCTTGTATTGGTCCTGATTAATGCCGGTTTTATAGTGCTAGCCAACTGTGGTACCATGTCGCAGTTTAACATGGATACTATACTCAGGCACATCATAGCGGCTCGGAGCCTTGTTTTCCCCTATTATTCCGAATGTCAGGCAGGGAAACAACAAAACTCATCTTTTTACTTCTGGTATGGCGATAGAATCACCGACCTTCCGCTCTCTGGGCAGAAGCTCTATCCACTACACCACGGAGGCGGTGTATATTACTGTATATTATTATAGGTTACCTGGTGGGTCATGGTTGCGACGAAGTGATACTTTATGTGTATGTAGGGCGCAAAACAACATTCACTCACCATGTTGTTCCACAGACCATTGGCAGCAGCAGCTTGGCCCTTCCTGCTTAAGTGGAAACAGTCCGGCGCGAAGAAGCTGAAGTCAGGTTTGCCGTCAGCCTGGAGGAGAACCACCCCACATTAATAAGTACATAGCTCTATACATTTCTAACATGGAATCTGGAGAAAAAAAAATCTTAGTGCGGCGTTTAATAACAAACAAACAGAACAGGGTTACTGCGGTCATGCTTATTTCAAACGCTGCCTAATGCTCACACTAAGCATACACTGATGTGCTGATTTCTAAACATAAGTAATAATTAGCCTTTATAACACTGGTTACCGTACAGAAAGGGAATTTCATTGTTAAGTTTTAAGGTCACATGATACTATAGGTCTTCCAGCTAATAGGTATCCCTCGATGGCTTCCTTATTCATTCATTTCATTTTTAGAGACCACTGTACTTCCTGTTTCGCCCTACCGTTCTTGGCAGGAAGGTTTCCTTGAGGAATGGTTGCACTACTACAGTGAAGTCGTCCTTGGTGTCGTAACGGCCAGTACTGACCAGCTGCTCTGTCTGAGCGTGGTAGCCTTTGGTCGTCTGGACAATCAGTTCCTCCCCCTCCGCGCCGTCAGGGAACGCCGCACACCGGCAGGCACTGCCAATGTAAATATCATATTCACGGACAAGCAATGTCAACAGAAGTATCCCGTTCATGGACACGCGGGGCATTATTAACATTATATTCACCAACTCTCCACGCAATATGAATATCGTATTCACGGACAAGCAGTGCAATATATTATACTATTATAATGACCTTACGTTACTGTTGGTGCAGTTGATTTTGAGCCAGAAATTAATAGTCCATTCTGAAAGTGCATTTTACACAAGGAAAACGTAACTATAGAATATGAGACTATGCAAAATTATAGAGAAATTATATATCAACCATAGCATGGTTTGAGTCGGAGAAATCACTCGAATCTGTTGATTCCGGGAATCAAGAGATTCTCGAGATTTCTCCATTAATGAATCCACGGACACGCGAAATGTATATCATCTTCACAGAGACGCAGTGCTAGACTAGTCACGGCTATGCGAAAGAGGGGACGTTGCACAGAAGACAGCGTAATTATCATTCATAATTATTCGTTCACATGAAACATAACTGACAAGTGCATTGGTCATGGACTCACACGTGTAGGACAGTACAGAGCAATCCCTTGTTGAGATCTTTAGCGATCTCCACGTTGATCGTCTCTACCAGGTTGACTAACACCCTGGGTACCTCTGTTTGAAGCAGGTCCAGAGCGGCGGTCACGGACTCGATATAACGTTCGGGGCTATGCCCTTCCTGAGGATATATAACATAACCGTCATCCGGTCGGCATTGTTGATGTGATTCGAAATCTAATTGTGATGTAAGGCCGAAATGACGTGACGCTAGAAACGACGTTATAGCTGGAGATTGTTGACGCCATTCCAAAATTGTGTTATTCTAAGACGGTGGTCGCGATCTCTGCATTTTTTCTAAAGGTGAGTTCAAAACGATTGAGAAATAATGAGTAATAAGAAATTATTACACTCGCATGTGTGTCATACTGCTTGTACGAAACTCTCACTCGGGAAATACAAGAATTCTGACACTCGTTCCGTACAATCAGTTTGACACACATGCTGGTATAATAATCTCTATTTATCATCCAAAACATGATATCGAGCTATAATAAAAATATAATTCCATTCCAATGCTTTGAGAAAATTGTGACGTCATCCGTTATCATGACGCCACAATTAAATGACTTCACTAATCTCCCTGCCACTGAGGCTGAGTAGCTGACCCTTTTACACTTAATTCACTGGTTGGTTGGTTTGTGGTTTAACGCCGCACTCAGCAATATGACGGCGGTCTGTAAATAATCGACTCTGGACCAGACAATCCAGAGATTGACATCATGATAATTTTAACTCCGAGGCTTGACGAGCATTGGTATATGTTTGAAATCAAAAGGCACGAGGGTGAGATTATATTTATCATGCAAAATCATTCTTTCAACTTTTTCAGTTTGTAAAAATCATTAACCAGTGTCTTCAATGTTGAAAAAGCACAGCTAACCAGCTTCAGTCATGTCAGTGCTTGAGTTCGATCTCAAAAGCCAGGTGAACCCGTGTTGACCAAGGTATAACCCAAACGTTAGCACGTGTTTACTGATTTACGTCATGCTTGGGTTGACCTAAGCTGCCCACACTTACTGGGCCCCTGGGGTGCGGGACTGCGGTTAGCAGCCTCCAAGTTACGTCATCGTTAAAGCTATTTCGTTTCATTTATTGATTCAGTCGTGAACAAAAGCATTTTAATGAATATAATTAGCTAGGTATTGATAGTATATAATGTATTCTGATATGTGTCAGGGGAATATAACTTTCGATTACTGATACACACTGTACAGACGTTTAGATACCCCAAGTATACCCCGGATACCCCGGATCTCACATATGCGATGTCTCCCATGAGTGAGTGAGTGAGTATGGTTTTACGCCGCTTTTAGCAATATTCCAGCAAAATCACGGCGGGGGACACCAGAAATGGGCTTCACACATTGTACCCATGTCGGGAATCGAATCCGGGTCTTCGGAGGGACGAGCGAACGCTTAAACCACAAGGCTACCCGACCGCCCCATGTCTCCCATGAAAGCTGGTTTGGGATGATAAATAAATGCTCGCCCATGTGTCTTTTGATGTCAGATATATACCAATGACAACTCTTGTTGATATATTTGATGTCAAAAGACACCAGGGTGAGAGTCTATATTTATCATTTTGACGACGCATTCGTGACCAACTCGTGTTATTTCGGGACAAGCCGAATAGCAGGTTACGGAAAGGGGCGAGTGGTGACGAATGTTTGACGACGAACACCAGTATCATTCCGACACACCAAGTGAGTGAATGAGTGAGTTGGGGTTTAACGCCGCTTTTAACAGTATTCCAGTTATATCACGGCGTATCAGCTTAATGTGGGAGGAAAGCCCGAAGTGATGCAGGTCTCAGACGTTTACCACTTAGGTGAAACCCACAAGCACGGTATGGTGCTGATAAACCTAGAAACATAATCGGGGCGAACCGGGATTCGAACCCACAATAATAGGTTTCTGGCGTGCCCAAAGGACGCAACCCTGCACAGCGAATCGCGGCGCCTTAGACGACTGAGACACCCGTGTCCCCTCCGACAAACCAAGGATCATAATTGGGGCTAAAAATGATAATGCGAATATCAAAACTGAGGAAGGTGTGAACATTCATAAAAGAGGAAAGAGACGTCTGATAAAAAGTGTCCTGGTGTGGCTACCAGACTCACCCCATCAGTGCAGACGTCACAGATGTCGTTCCCGCCAGTCATGATCGTGATGACCTTCCAGTCATTCTGAACGTCAATCTCAGGGTCATTGTTCATCCGGTCTATCAAAAGTCTTGCCTGCTTCGGGAGATCCCTATGATGACATCACGAAGACATCTCACATATACCACCTGTACAACTATTTTTTTACACACCTATCAAATACATATCTTCTGTAAATTATATGTGGTATAAGTTTTGTAAGCAGTACAAACGCTTGTGTAAGGAACTTCGTATTTGGCAATGTTATACTAGGGTCGAATGGCGTTCGGTATATCCCCAAGTGACTTTATTACATGAGTGTTTGTTGTTTAACGCCGCACCCCAATATTTCAGGTATATAAGGGAGGGATGTAGATAACCAAGTGTGGACCAGACAATCCGGTGATTGATATCATGAACAACGGCCCACGCATTCAGGGAACGATGACATGCAATCAACCAAGTCCCCAAGCCTGAGCACCGCTTACGAAACTGTATTGCATGTCGTACCCGTGAAAATACGGGTTAGAATTAGTCTTCGGCAACCCATGCTTGTCATAAGAGGATCGGTTTGTCCATCTTCCGGAGGCAAGAGAGTTAACTGACTTTAAAAGTCCAGTTTCCACCCTTGCCGAACTAGGCTGGAATTCCTGGGCTCGATTGTAGCGCCACTAGTGGTTATTAGGAGTTATGTCCCTTCTAAGCCTCTCCTATGGACAAATCAGATTCCACCTCTTGCATCACTTACATTAGTTTCAAACAAAATGGCGGCGCCCAGTCAAAACGATCTGATCGATACTCAAGATCTATATTGCGATAAAACGGTTCTTACATCGCGAAATGCATCAAATCACGCGAGCACCTTGATTAAAAACATGTAAAGATCTAGAAAATATCGGTTGACAACGAGTTGGCGTTGCACATGCTTTGCAAATCCTGCAATCGACCGAAATCTGCACGACAGTTTACGAACCGGACTTCGATTTCGTTGCGCGATTTTGATTGGACTATGCATAGACTCGTTAGTCCAAATTTAACTCCATAATACCAGCCTTGTTCGTATAACTGGACTTTTGTAGTCAGTTAACTGTCTTGCCTCGGGAAGATGGGTTTGTCAGGCTCGCTGACTTGGTTGATGCATGTCATCGAATCCAAATTGCGTAGATCGACGCTCATGATGTCAATCACCGGGTTGTCTTGTCCAGACTCGATTATTTACAGACCGCCGTCATATAGCTGGAATACTGCTGAGAACGGTGTTAAACAACAAACATATTATATGCCCTACTCGAATACGTCTACTGTCCACAAAGACGAGGTGTATCTACATACGCCGCGACGCTACCAGTATCGGCAACGTTCAGGTGAGCCTTGTCCTCGCTGTCTCCTGTACCAACGGAGTACCCCTTTAAGTTGGGGTTGTATCTCTTGAGGATGTCTGAAAACAACCAAGGATGAAAATTTCGTTTACAGGAAATCAGTAAAACATGTTTCCCATTGCATGTGGTTTATCGACACCCTATCGCTGACTACAGTAAGACAGTAAGGGTCCAAGCATTTGTTATTCTTGAAGGAGGGGTGGGGGTGATTATATTATATATCTAGATTTTAAAAAGCGATTAATCAACAATGGAACGTGTTTCTGTATTGCTGTTTTGCGTCATGATAATATTTTAAGTAAAGAAGAAACCACTTTTCCTCGGGATTACTTGAGATTGTAAACCCTGACAGGAAGGTATCCCGAGGTATGTTCCCGAATGCCAGGGTTTACAATCTCAAGTAATTCCGAAGAGATGCGTTTTGTCAACTTATAAAGCGATTCATCATAAAGATTATAAGAAAATATCGAGATACTTTATAGTGAAACAATACAGTGTGTGCGGTGTGAAAGGAATTCAATCCAAGCGTGCGAGAGAAAAAAACATGTGCAGCATGGACCAACTGGATTCAAGACATGTAAAATTGAACAACTTTATCATTACTTGCCCCGGCTATTCAGTGCGAAAACAGTGTGTTGCAAAACTAAACTCGATATGTGAGGTTGCAGGTTCGATTCCATAATGAAATAATTTTTTGTCTGTGATTTTAGAACATTGGACGTTCAAAACACGAATTACAGAAGCATTAGTAATTTATCATAGGGGTTTTTACAACCAATCATTGTAAGCCCCGACTGGAAGCCCTCGGCAATCCACGTCGGCGTTGTGGTGTAGCTGGCTTTAAGAGTGAGAGGCGACTGACGACATCGCGCGTTCAAGCTCGCAGACTTGTTAATGCATGTCATCGTATCCCAATTGTTGAGATCGATGCATGATGTCAATAAGAGATTTGACCGGTCCAGACTCGATTATTTTCAGACTGGGACGCAGTGGTACTTTATGTATATGATTTAGTCTGAACACCTGAATATCAGGAATAGAACTGGTCATCAGCAACCAGTGCATGTCGTAAAAGGCGACTAACGGGATCGGGTGATCAGGCTCGTTGACTTGGCTGATGCATGTCATCGTATCCCAATTGCGTAGATCGATGCTCGTGATGTCACTGGATTGTCTGGTATATGGTTCAGACTCAAAATTTTGAGACCGCCGTCATATAGCTGAATAATGCTAAGTGCGGCGTCAAACAACAAATAAACAAACAAACAAACACTCCAACCGAATATCCTAACTTGTCATCGGTTCACAGACTAAAACACTAATGACAGGCCTCGGACAGCATGGTACTCACTCGGTAGTGTTTCCTGGTCCTCATATGTTCCGTCCCCGCCAATGCTGAAACACCAACCCGTACACACGGTAAAATGTAAACCGTTAGACCCACATAACGTGTCGTGGTCGAGAGGGGACATCGCGTTCTCGCCTTCCATTACAGACGCGAGAAAGCGAGAAAGTGATCACATGAGACGAGAAAGCGATGGCACGAGACGAAAAAGCGATGGCACAGGACGAGAAAGCGATACCATGAGCTGAGAAAGCGATATATCGAAAGCGATGTCCCCTCTTGGCCACCCTTATAACGTCATGCAAAATGAAAAATAATACAGTCGCTATGGATATAACATAACTTTTAAATTATTCGACATCAAAATTGTTACAAATCAGGCAATACGTCAGCGCATTTAAATCATTTTCAACAATTAGTGTGCTGCCTTTGTACTTCCGTTTTTGTTATATGCTACTCAAAAGAAGTTAAAGAACACCCGATGTTTTCATATGTCTATAGTTAATCTGTCATGTCATTAAAAAATCGGGTGTTCTTTAGCTTCTTTGAGTAGTATATATCTTGCATAGAGCGAGCAGGCCGTTATATTTCTGTTTGGGGTAATTTGACAACGGTTGATCGATATTTGAACCGAGAGTAAACGACAATTTAATATCGATTAGGATCAGCTGGCTCCCTTGTTTATCCAATAAACTTTCTTGATAGATAGATTGAAAAGACTGCCGATACACATATACAATGTACACATTATTTATACAAAGTCATTTGGGAGAAAACCGATTACATATCTTAATTGTATCTCACGATTCTATGTGCAGAGTTACGACCCTTAACTGTTACAGGATCTGCCGGTCGTTGATTCAAATCTCAAATGATGATCTCTTGTCTACAAGCACCACACCGTACCAATCTATGTAATACCATACCAGCACCATACCAGCAACATACCAGCAACATACCTGTGGAGTTTGCTAACGACAGATATAACAAGCGACACATAAGGTCGTCGTGGCTTAAACCACAAACAGCTTTACACATCTGACAGCACTTTGCAATTTTTGTCTTTACTCTAAGTAATATAGTTCCTTGTCGGCGGAATGGCTTGTGTTCACTTGATAAGAATTAGCACATATGCAGCTATCTTCGTTAATTAATAATCGCGATATTTCCCTGTTCTATATCAAGTGTTGAGGACTACAGGTGTGTGACCAATGGCCGAAAGCCTCACCTCCAAGAGAGTCCCCGGTACTCGGTGAGAACCCCGAATATGTTGCTGGCGTCCGCGCCGAGGGCCGCCTAGAATATAAGGACAGGTCATTGTGTGGTACTGTGAAACACTTCTCTCGGATTTCTTCTCTCTTCAACAATTATGAGTTATAGGTTACCGGCGATATCTTTTACAGGGGTTATAATGTGACAAAAAGGTTTATTTTAGTATTTTCCTAAACATGTCTTTGATTTTTAGCAGATGTAGGTAAGTGCCGATAGTTGGTACATGACAATGTTATATTTGGTTACGGTAGAACGTCTCTAAACTATTGCAAAAGTTTTGCTCTGCTTGATCCCCAAATGAGGCTTACATTATCGGTTTATCTTTAGCACCACTGGGTTTTGCTACACATAAATCTTTAGTGGTAGTTATAACATTGGTATATTGTGCAGAAAGGGAAGTCCATTGTGACGTAATTATGTCACGTGTTAAGTAAGATCTTCCAGTATTTGAGTATCGCTTTAGCAATATTTCTGGACTTGTTTGTCCTCACAATGCATACAGTGTTCTCAATGGAACAGTTTTACGATTGGTTTTAGGGGCGATTAATGAAATTAAATGAGTACAGAATCGTGTTCTTGCACTAATCTTCCCGAAGGTGTAAGCAGGGGGGGGGGGGGGGGAGGAGTTGTCCTGAACGAGACACAGCTCACCGTGATGGAGTCTCCCAAGGCTCCGACGACCTTCACGTCCCCTGGCCGCAGAGTGTGAACTGAAACATCGGTGAGGTAAAACTACGATGAGTTGAAACTATGCTCAGTTTACAGAACAACCACTAAGGTTAGTTTTCAGAACAAACTACAGTCAGTATTCAGAACAAACTACAGTCAGTATTCAGAACAAACTACAGTCAGTATTCAGAACAAACTACAGTCAGTATTCAGAACAAACTACAGTCAGTATTCAGAACAACCACTAATGTTAGTTTTCAGAACAAACTACAGTCAGTATTCAGAACAAACTACAGTCAGTATTCAGAACAAACTACAGTCAGTATTCAGAACAAACTACAGTCAGTATTCAGAACAAACTACAGTCTGTATTCAGAACAAACTACAGTCTGTATTCAGAACAACAACTAAGGTTAGTTTTCAGAACAAACTACAGTCAGTATTCAGAACAACCATTAAGATTAGTTTTCAGAACAAACTACAGTCAGTATTCAGAACAGCCACTAATGTTAGTTTTCAGAACAAACTACAGTCAGTATTCAGAACAGCTTCTATTGTTAGTTTTCAGAACAAACTACAGACAGTATTCAGAACAGCCACTAATGTTAGTTTAGAACAAACTACAGTCAGTATTCAGAACAAACTACAGTCAGTATTCAGAACAGCCACTAATGTTAGTTTAGAACAAACTACAGTCAGTATTCAGAACAAACTACAGTCAGTATTCAGAACAACCACTAATGTTAGTTTAGAACAAACTACAGTCAGTATTCAGAACAACCACTAATGTTAGTTTAGAACAAACTACAGTCAGTATTCAGAACAACCACTAATGTTAGTTCAGAACAAGCTACAGTCAGTATTCAGAACAACCACTAATGTTAGTTTAGAACAAACTACAGTCAGTATTCAGAACAACCACTAATGTTAGTTCAGAACAAACTACAGTCAGTATTCAGAACAACCACTAATGTTAGTTTAGAACAACCACTAATGTTAGTTCAGAACAAACTACAGTCAGTATTCAGAACAACCACTAATGTTAGTTTAGAACAAACTACAGTCAGTATTCAGAACAACCACTAATGTTAGTTTAGAACAACCACTAATGTTAGTTCAGAACAAACTACAGTCAGTATTCAGAACAACCACTAATGTTAGTTTAGAACAATCTACAGTCAGTATTCAGAACAAACTACAGTCAGTATTCAGAACAACCACTAATGTTAGTTTAGAACAAACTACAGTCAGTATTCAGAACAAACTACAGTCAGTATTCAGAACAACCACTAATGTTAGTTTAGAACAAACTACAGTCAGTATTCAGAACAACCACTAATGTTAGTTTAGAACAAACTACAGTCAGTATTCAGAACAACCACTAATGTTAGTTCAGAACAAGCTACAGTCAGTATTCAGAACAACCACTAATGTTAGTTTAGAACAAACTACAGTCAGTATTCAGAACAACCACTAATGTTAGTTCAGAACAAACTACAGTCAGTATTCAGAACAACCACTAATGTTAGTTTAGAACAACCACTAATGTTAGTTCAGAACAAACTACAGTCAGTATTCAGAACAACCACTAATGTTAGTTTAGAACAAACTACAGTCAGTATTCAGAACAACCACTAATGTTAGTTTAGAACAACCACTAATGTTAGTTCAGAACAAACTACAGTCAGTATTCAGAACAACCACTAATGTTAGTTTAGAACAAACTACAGTCAGTATTCAGAACAAACTACAGTCAGTATTCAGAACAACCACTAATGTTAGTTTAGAACAAACTACAGTCAGTATTCAGAACAAACTACAGTCAGTCTTCAGAACAACCACTAATGTTAGTTTAGAACAAACTACAGTCAGTATTCAGAACAAACTACAGTCAGTATTCAGAACAACCACTAATGTTAGTTTTCAGAACAAACTACAGTCAGTATTCAGAACAACCACTAATGTTAGTTTAGAACAAACTACAGTCAGTATTCAGAACAAACTACAGTCAGTATTCAGAACAAACTACAGTCAGTATTCAGAACAAACTACAGTCAGTATTCAGAACAACCACTAATGTTAGTTCAGAACAAACTACAGTCAGTATTCAGAACAAACTACAGTCAGTATTCAGAACAAACTACAGTCAGTATTCAGAACAACCACTAATGTTAGTTTAGAACAACCACTAATGTTAGTTCAGAACAAACTACAGTCAGTATTCAGAACAACCACTAATGTTAGTTTAGAACAAACTACAGTCAGTATTCAGAACAACCACTAATGTTAGTTTAGAACAACCACTAATGTTAGTTCAGAACAAACTACAGTCAGTATTCAGAACAGCCACTAATGTTAGTTTAGAACAAACTACAGTCAGTATTCAGAACAAACTACAGTCAGTATTCAGAACAACCACTAATGTTAGTTTAGAACAAACTACAGTCAGTATTCAGAACAAACTACAGTCAGTATTCAGAACAACCACTAATGTTAGTTTTCAGAACAAACTACAGTCAGTATTCAGAACAAACTACAGTCAGTATTCAGAACAAACTACAGTCAGTATTCAGAACAAACTACAGTCAGTATTCAGAACAAACTACAGTCTGTATTCAGAACAACAACTAAGGTTAGTTTTCAGAACAAACTACAGTCAGTATTCAGAACAACCATTAAGATTAGTTTTCAGAACAAACTACAGTCAGTATTCAGAACAGCCACTAATGTTAGTTTTCAGAACAAACTACAGTCAGTATTCAGAACAGCTTCTATTGTTAGTTTTCAGAACAAACTACAGACAGTATTCAGAACAGCCACTAATGTTAGTTTAGAACAAACTACAGTCAGTATTCAGAACAAACTACAGTCAGTATTCAGAACAGCCACTAATGTTAGTTTAGAACAAACTACAGTCAGTATTCAGAACAAACTACAGTCAGTATTCAGAACAACCACTAATGTTAGTTTAGAACAAACTACAGTCAGTATTCAGAACAACCACTAATGTTAGTTCAGAACAAGCTACAGTCAGTATTCAGAACAACCACTAATGTTAGTTCAGAACAAACTACAGTCAGTATTCAGAACAACCACTAATGTTAGTTTAGAACAACCACTAATGTTAGTTCAGAACAAACTACAGTCAGTATTCAGAACAACCACTAATGTTAGTTTAGAACAAACTACAGTCAGTATTCAGAACAACCACTAATGTTAGTTTAGAACAACCACTAATGTTAGTTCAGAACAAACTACAGTCAGTATTCAGAACAACCACTAATGTTAGTTTAGAACAAACTACAGTCAGTATTCAGAACAAACTACAGTCAGTATTCAGAACAACCACTAATGTTAGTTTAGAACAAACTACAGTCAGTATTCAGAACAAACTACAGTCAGTATTCAGAACAACCACTAATGTTAGTTTTCAGAACAAACTACAGTCAGTATTCAGAACAAACTACAGTCAGTATTCAGAACAACCACTAATGTTAGTTTAGAACAAACTACAGTCAGTATTCAGAACAACCACTAATGTTAGTTCAGAACAAACTACAGTCAGTATTCAGAACAAACTACAGTCAGTATTCAGAACAAACTACAGTCAGTATTCAGAACAACCACTAATGTTAGTTCAGAACAAACTACAGTCAGTATTCAGAACAAACTACAGTCAGTATTCAGAACAAACTACAGTCAGTATTCAGAACAACCACTAATGTTAGTTTAGAACAACCACTAATGTTAGTTCAGAACAAACTACAGTCAGTATTCAGAACAGCCACTAATGTTAGTTTAGAACAAACTACAGTCAGTATTCAGAACAAACTACAGTCAGTATTCAGAACAAACTACAGTCAGTATTCAGAACAAACTACAGTCAGTATTCAGAACAACCACTAATGTTAGTTTTCAGAACAAACTACAGTCAGTATTCAGAACAAACTACAGTCAGTATTCAGAACAAACTACAGTCAGTATTCAGAACAAACTACAGTCAGTATTCAGAACAAACTACAGTCTGTATTCAGAACAACAACTAAGGTTAGTTTTCAGAACAAACTACAGTCAGTATTCAGAACAACCATTAAGATTAGTTTTCAGAACAAACTACAGTCAGTATTCAGAACAGCCACTAATGTTAGTTTTCAGAACAAACTACAGTCAGTATTCAGAACAGCTTCTATTGTTAGTTTTCAGAACAAACTACAGACAGTATTCAGAACAGCCACTAATGTTAGTTTAGAACAAACTACAGTCAGTATTCAGAACAAACTACAGTCAGTATTCAGAACAGCCACTAATGTTAGTTTAGAACAAACTACAGTCAGTATTCAGAACAAACTACAGTCAGTATTCAGAACAACCACTAATGTTAGTTTAGAACAAACTACAGTCAGTATTCAGAACAACCACTAATGTTAGTTTAGAACAAACTACAGTCAGTATTCAGAACAACCACTAATGTTAGTTCAGAACAAGCTACAGTCAGTATTCAGAACAACCACTAATGTTAGTTCAGAACAAACTACAGTCAGTATTCAGAACAACCACTAATGTTAGTTTAGAACAACCACTAATGTTAGTTCAGAACAAACTACAGTCAGTATTCAGAACAACCACTAATGTTAGTTTAGAACAAACTACAGTCAGTATTCAGAACAACCACTAATGTTAGTTTAGAACAACCACTAATGTTAGTTCAGAACAAACTACAGTCAGTATTCAGAACAACCACTAATGTTAGTTTAGAACAAACTACAGTCAGTATTCAGAACAAACTACAGTCAGTATTCAGAACAACCACTAATGTTAGTTTAGAACAAACTACAGTCAGTATTCAGAACAAACTACAGTCAGTATTCAGAACAACCACTAATGTTAGTTTTCAGAACAAACTACAGTCAGTATTCAGAACAAACTACAGTCAGTATTCAGAACAACCACTAATGTTAGTTTAGAACAAACTACAGTCAGTATTCAGAACAACCACTAATGTTAGTTCAGAACAAACTACAGTCAGTATTCAGAACAAACTACAGTCAGTATTCAGAACAAACTACAGTCAGTATTCAGAACAACCACTAATGTTAGTTCAGAACAAACTACAGTCAGTATTCAGAACAAACTACAGTCAGTATTCAGAACAAACTACAGTCAGTATTCAGAACAACCACTAATGTTAGTTTAGAACAACCACTAATGTTAGTTCAGAACAAACTACAGTCAGTATTCAGAACAACCACTAATGTTAGTTTAGAACAAACTACAGTCAGTATTCAGAACAACCACTAATGTTAGTTTAGAACAACCACTAATGTTAGTTCAGAACAAACTACAGTCAGTATTCAGAACAACCACTAATGTTAGTTTAGAACAAACTACAGTCAGTATTCAGAACAAACTACAGTCAGTATTCAGAACAACCACTAATGTTAGTTTAGAACAAACTACAGTCAGTATTCAGAACAAACTACAGTCAGTATTCAGAACAACCACTAATGTTAGTTTAGAACAAACTACAGTCAGTATTCAGAACAACCACTAATGTTAGTTCAGAACAAACTACAGTCAGTATTCAGAACAAACTACAGTCAGTATTCAGAACATACTACAGTCAGTATTCAGAACAACCACTAATGTTAGTTCAGAACAAACTACAGTCAGTATTCAGAACAAACTACAGTCAGTATTCAGAACAAACTACAGTCAGTATTCAGAACAACCCCTATGGGTTGCATCGCGACGTGAATATCAAGGCATCCTGTTGCAACGAAATGCATCGTTACTGCCTTATAGAACACCAGATCCAATTAATTGTACTGAATATATATTTGTTCCCCAAATAAAAGTAATATTCGGTAGAACACAAGAACACATTACCTGATGTGGGTACAGTCGGAGACGGGGGGTACACGGTGCAGGAGAAGGGGGCGCCCGCTACCTGTAGAGGTATATTGATGACATCAACACATGTGTGTGAGAGGAAACAAACATTGAATCTGCGGATTTTACCGCAGACTGTAATAAAAACTCGACCGGGTCCTGTAGGCGAAAAAATAAGACATTAGCGTTGGGAAAACACCCGCGAGGAGTTAATACCAGAAAGTGTTAGCATGACAAAGATATAGCTAAATATGAATACTTCTTTTGTCTGCGCTATTTTTATTAAGTCATAATAGATAATTCTATGTCCGTCGAATCACAGCTAAAATATATATAATCCCCACATTTGACCAAATATTTAATGCATGGCTTAATGTGCAGTTCAAGTGGTATCTAGTAACTGGGTTAGGTGGTGGTGAGATTTGGCTCGGACTGTATCATATTTTCCTGGTCTCCTCCCCTATTTTATGTGACATCTTTTCATGCCTCCCCCCACCCACAAATGTAACAATGTCTCGTGACCTTCCTCCTCCCTTCAATAAATTACCAGTCACTAATATTTAAATTTATTAAAAATATTTGATAAAAAATGGAACTTCGTCATTTTTTCATGTAAGTTTCATGTTAATATAATCATTGGCGACCCCCATCCCTCCCCCACTCATTTGCTGTATCACCCACACATATTAATTGACCTGTCCCTTTTCTCCCTTCTCAGGAACGTACATAAAGGCTAATTACATGTGGTTAAAGTTTTATTTAGGGATCAGCTAATATGCTTATGTGGTGGTGGTTCTATCTTATTTTTAGGGGGAAATGATTATCACTTCATAATACAGCTTATCTGGGCAAAGGGCAACACTACACAATACATGCCTTGGGTTGCCGCTGATGTTCCTCCTGTGCTTTCATCATGCTGACGTAGGTAGCGTTGTTAGACACAGACTGGATGTAATCTTTGTATCGCTTGATGTACTCATTGTGATCTGTCCGCAACAATATGTGACAAAATAATTACATCCTAACTGTTTACTGAAACTTCGAGGTGGATGGTCCTTTCAAAACCTAATTATGATGGACTGCATTGGAAGAGAGGGTTGTTAATTACTTTAAACATATTTCCCCTGCGAGGTCCAAACACTTCTGCCGACGATGCTGGAGTGGCTGGATCCCACTGGTGTAGCAGGCTGCCTTCTCGTGGTGTAAAATGTCCTCCACAGCAGGAATGATGTCATCAGCATTTTCATAATGCATGCCAGACATCGCTTTCTTCACGTTTTGGAAGAGGTGGAAATCTGACGGCGCCAAATCTGGTGAATACGGGTTCAAACCAGTCGTGCATTGCAGACATGACAACACATGTGCATTGTCCTGGCATCTTCCCGAGACAACTGACTGGACTTTTATAGTCAGTTAACTCTCTTGCCTCGGGAAGATGTGTCCTGGTGAAACAACACACTTTTAGTGAGCTTCCCCACGACGTCTGGCCTTGATATTCTCACTCAGTTGCCTAAGCAGGTTACCATAATATTGGTAATTAATCATGTGTAAACCAAATAGTGGTGAACCAAAGGCTCATCAATAGTTACAAACAGCTCAACTACATCCGCTGGGTCTGCTTCATCAGCTGGGTCAACAGCAGTCAGAAGCCATGGAGCCCAGCATGCTGAAAATTTTGTCAGGTCCAGTTCATTCCTAAGAATTCTCAGCTCCTCTTATGATAGATTTCTTCTGAATAGGCTATGTGACGAGTGGTGAATATCATATCATGTATATATGTTATCAACATTTCCCTGGTGTGAGGGCAGTTGAAGGTCTTCCTGGTCGAGGATCATCATCGAGGCTCTTGACCTCCGCTGCCTACCTATTAACAGTGGTGCAGGAAGGAGCATCATTGATGACGTGGCTGTAGATAATTTTATCCATTTCATCGTTCGGGTAGCCTAGAGGTTAAAGCGTTCGCACGGCACGCCGAAGACCCGGGTTTGATTCCCGACATGGGTACAATGTGTGAAGCCCATTTCTGGTGTCCCCCGTCGTGATATTGCTGGAATATTGCTAAAAGCGACGTAAAACCATACTCACTCACTCACTCACTAGTTCATCAATAGATAATACCTAGTCACTTTGATGCCTGCAGAAGTATGCTGCCTGGTTGTGTACTTGGTTCAAACGGTTCAGGTGTACGATACTGCCTTCGTAGTTAGGTTCAGAACTTTTCCACCACCTCTCGTACAACTCCCAAAGAACATAATTACCATTTGAACCCAGACTACCCACCCACCGGGAGCCAAGGGGAAACAGTCGCCATGCTTGTCACAGGCAAATGAAATTGGGATCGGGGATCCAATATGGTCGCTGCATATGCAAATATACTTTTGTTTTATTTAACGCGGCTCTCAGCAATATTCCAACTATATGACGGCAGCCTGTTTAATCGAGACTGTGCCAGACAAACATGTGATTGATATTAAGAACAATGATCCGCGTCGTCGGGGTACTATGACTATGACCATCACATTTATTTTAGTAATAAAGATATTGCTGATGATCAACACGGCGTATCAATATTATGACAAATACTCGTGTGAAAATGGCATATGCTATTTGTTTGATTAATAATGTTATTGTTAAAAGATCAAATAAATACAAAATATAGGTTAATGAATTCGTTGGATAATACGTGTTCACCGGTCACTAACTTAGTAACGGATCGGATTTGTTCTTCAAGCCGTAAAATATTCATGTCATTGTCCTCAGTGAACATCCCATGCAATTATATTAATATAGCCTACCGATAAAGCTATAACGCTGACGTATTTTCCAAATCTATCTATCGCAAACAATCTTATCAAAACCAGCTTGCTTGATAAGTATATGGGTGGGTATGTATACGGCGATTAGCATTATCCAGCAGTGACTCAGCTAAGCTGCCGGGCAAAAGAAAGTTAACACTAAAAATTGGATTTGACAAAATATATTATAAATCAGAACGTTACTCGACTGAAAACAATCGCCGAAACATTGCGAACATGAGGCCCAATCACATCTATGACACCCTTATCAAATATATCTCCATCAAATAGCCAGTACTAGTTTGTTTCATTGTAAGCCACCGTCAAACATGGGTGTCTACTTTTTTTCCCGGCAGTATATATACGATGGGCTTAACAAACGCTGTCCATGTTAGGAATCGAACCGGGTGCCCGTCGAGAGAAGCGGATCCCGTCATACACGTCGCTATGTAAGTACAATAATCTTGAACGCGACGTTAAACCCCATTTCACCTCGACTCACCGCTACTGTTGAATGATCTTACATAGGGGATAATAAATCATCATATGCAACATTTCATAAGGATTGTATGTATGTATAAGGATTTGTGTGTGTGTGTGTGTGTGTGTGTGTGTGTGTGTGTGTGTGTGTGTGTGTGTGTGTGTGTGTGTGTGTGTGTGTGCCTGTGTGTGCCTGTGTGTGTGCCTGTGTGTGTGTGCGTGCGTATGTGTACAAATTATACATAAAAAATGTAAACACTTACCAGATGCTACTGACAGAGACAGCATTAAAAAACACAGGTACACCGCCGCGTTGGCCATGTTGGGATGTCGTTACTGTGGGCGCCGATGTTGATATGTATAAGTAACCACATAGGCAGAAGTGATACGCTTTCATCACTGACCTACACTGATACAATGTCAAAGTTCATTGCAATCTGTGTTGTTCATAACAGCTAACACGGTCTTATCTACTTGTGACTGAATCTGAAGTTATCATGGATGGATAGGTTTGCCTTATAATGATGGTAGATTTAAGGCATCGCAATTTGCTGGTGACCGCTGGACCCCTTATGTCACGAGACGCTAGATGGGTCCGGTTCCGAAATAAGCAACGACCGGTTCGTTTGGTTTGTTTGTTGTTTTTTTGCTGTTGTTTTTTGTTCAGCAATATTTCAGCGGTTTATAAATAGTCGAGTCTGGGCCACAGTGATTGACATCATGAGCATCGATCCACGCAGTTGGGATACAAAGACATACATCAACCAAGTCAGCGAGCCTCCCGTATCCCGTTGGTCGCCTCTTACGGCAAGCATGGGTTGCTGAAGACCTATTTTACTCAGGATCTACATGGGTGGGCAACGACCTGTGCCTTCTTCAAGATGTGGACACGCCTAGTGACAATGTATAATTCCGGTGGAGCAGCATGGGGCTGTATGTTGGGGCTAGGACGGGTAACTAGGGTACCCGGGTCGGATGGGTACTGTGTAGGACCCGGGTACCCACAGGACTACCCGGATCCGTGGTTAGTCACGTGATATATTGTTTAATGACAAAAAATATCTAGAACTCTATGGTTAAACTAAAAGTCACTAATGTTTGCATTTCTTTCTGACTAGGCCCCCATTCCTTCTGATTTTTCATTTGGTTTAATAAAGATATAACTTAATTCAACTTCAGTGTATGAATGACCAGATTGTTTAATGTACGTGTGTCTAAAAACGTTTTTGGCAGGGCCATGCTAAAAATGTTCCCAATCAGACATTTGGAGACATCTCCTGAGACCTACAGTGGGTACCCGGGTAGGGTCGGGTAATAGGGGGTTGGGTACCCGGGTAGAAATTTGGACTCGTCCCAGCCCTACAGTGTATATATTCTGTATAATGACCATTTAATTTATATAGTATAGCTGCTTGCTACTGGTTGGAATTGTCTCACTTCCCTTCCGAGGCAATAAAACGCTTAGATGGGTTGCCTCCCGTATGAATGTCAGGATCCGTTCGCAGCGTTTGAATTCCAGATTGACACCGGTTATGAAGTGTCTGACCAGAGTAATTCGAAGTTCTAATCCAAATAATTAAAGTGCGTGCCTGTTTACTATCAAAACACCCTTCCCTACATATAGTTAAATGTATTGAGAGGGGTGACTGGCAGTAAAAAGATATACAATTTCATTATGTTAATACTACCTCGTGTTCCTAGGGTCTGATCATGGGTTTAACCAAATGTGAAACTATACCTGATGTTTTTACCTTACTAAACTGACACGCCATTCACAATGGCATTAAACCCAACTGAATCTCTCCGAAGTTTTTAGACATTTTCCATCCGATATCTGTGTACGTTCTGGATACAGTTATATTGACATTGACGGATGGCCTTGATGAACACTACCAAGCTGAACGTCAGTATGTCGCGTGATTAGGTTATCAATCGAGCGTAGTGATACAAACTACTTTAGGGCATTCCCTCAACGTATACAAATAATGTCATAGAGGGGCGGTATCTTCATACAATTTCTTTTAGATTGTGCACATGACATCAAAACGTATGCGTTAATCTAGGTTTTGAAATTAATAAAGAATTTTGATCTTTTTTATAATATAATTGTTGTCATAAACATCTGTTTGTTACTTGCGAACGCGTCGCGTGCATAGAGCGACCCCACGGACCTATATAATGTTAAACATGTCCGTGATGTCAGAACCATGGCGAGCGCTGGTCAGGACGATGATTTTCATGAATTTATGTATTTGAGCGAATTTCACATGGGCGTTTCTGGTGTTATTGCAATCATTTTTAATGATATTATATCGGCATCAACTGAAATATCCAAAGAAATTGAAGATCGATTAGCAGTTCTGACAACAAAGATTTACCACACACACGCGCACGCACGCACGCACGCACGCAGACACACACACACTCACACACACTGATATTCTGTCCCAAACAACGTCCCGAAGCGTTTCAAAGTGGCTACTGAAGACGGGGTGATGGAATACGCGTCATTGCATCAGTCTGAATCAACAAAGAAATACATTAAGTGAGGACTGAGAATTATTCAGAGCATGATAATATCTTCTTTTTTTTCCAAAATGAACCTAAATCCAACTAATCTAACTTTATCAAATTCTTGGTGTACAACAACTCGATTTATCAAATGAATGTGATAAAACGAAACAGGTCGATCGTCTAGGTGTGGTGTCACGTCAACAAGACAACCATATTCGGTTGGTGCATCTACGGAATCGATACCAAACAGCTCGGACAATTCCTGGGTTTGAGACCAATTAGTGGCAAAACCGTACGCAACTGGTGGAGGGAGCACGACATTCGGCCCCGACTACCAGCGATACGCCAAATTGTGCTTCCACATCGCCGTCAGGCCCGCCTAGTTTGGCGTAGACAGCAACTGAAGTTCAGAAGACAAGCCTGAGACAGTATACTGTTCACATGTGAGTCCATGTTTTTATGTGGACAGATGTTTTGGTCGTGCAAGGATCTACAGGGGCCCCAGAAGAACTTTTTAGCGGCGCTTGCGTTACTCAACGTTGTCAGTTTAGGGTAATGGTATGAGGTGGCATCACAACTAATGGCACAACACAACTCATGTTTATGGAAATTTGAATAACGCGCTTACGGGGCGACATCGTTCGAGATCATGTTCTACCCCTTGTGCAAATACAGGGACGTAACGCCACGTTGCAGCAGGACAATGCCCGCCCACACATTGCACGTGTTGTAACAAACTCACTCAGGCAGAATAATAGAGCTGAACTGCCATGGCCGACTGTTTCTCCAGACCTCTCCCACATAAAACATGCATGGAATGAGATAGGACGACGCCTACGACAGGATCAGAATCAGATGGTAACGGGGGCGGTCGGGTAGACTAGTGGTTAAAGCGTTCGCTCGTCACGCCGAAGATCCGGGTTCGATTCCCGACATGGGTACAATGTGTGAAGCCCATTTCTGGTGTCCCCCGCCGTGATATTGCTGGAATATTGCTAAAAGCGGCGTAAAACCATATTCACTCACTCACTCAGATGGTAACGGCCAATCTGTGGTTGACATTTGAAACAAGACCCCACAGGCTAAATTGTTTGATAGGCATTACTTAGAAGTTGACGGATGACAAGGTAGACACATTTCTTTGGATAGAAACTTCTTTAATACTGTAAAAAGCGACGTTTCGGTACATTTCCTTATACCGTTGTCAAGCAACGGTATTGACAATGCTTGACAACGGTATAAGGATCTATACCGAAACGTCGCTTTTTACAGTATTAAAGAAGTTGTTATCCATAAAATTGTGTCTACCTTGATTTTTCAATCATTTGATGCCTCCAATGTGATGTGGCTGCCTCGCCTGTATCAACGCAAATGGCGGTCAAACCCGACATTGACATTGTTAATTAAGTTATTTCACCACCCCTCTTGTAGGGCGTGTTATCAGGTATGGGATTTGTTAATGACAACGTTATGATAAAATATTGACCAGAAGAATGACCAAAGGTCATACTATTTTCGATACCATAACATTTACACCACTTTATATGAATATAAAGCGACAAAACCATTTCCATATCCAATAGAAATCCCTGCACAAGGCAGAGTCGATTGTACTATTCCGACTATATCATGAGATTGTGTTTATTGAATCACTGAATTATGAAGCACAGTAATTTGTTTTCGTTAGTATATTTGAGAAGAATACGGGATTTTTCCCGAGGTCGAGGTGATTGAGTTGTGTCATCGGGAACCCTGTAGAAAGGCTAAAATTGCCAACATGATAGAATTTGACGTTATCATGTGTTGTGAATTGATTGTTTATTATGCTTAATCATGGCGTCTTAATTATTTCGCATTAATGAAACTTAAAACAATTATTCGTATGGTTATTTTTTAGTAAAACTTGGTTAATTACAACAAAGGCAAACAACACGTGGGGCGATGGGGTAGCCTAGTGGTTAAAGCTTTCATTCGTCACGCCGAAGGCCCGGGTCGAATCCCCAAATGGGTACCATGTGTGAAGCCCATTTCTGGTGTCCCAGCCGTGATAGTGCTAAAAGCGGCATAACCATACTCATTCACTCACTCAAATAACGCGTGTTCAATGTAGATTGAAAACGAAACATATACTGTACACAGGTGAGTATGATAATACAATATAAACATATGGTGCGTTTTCCATATGGTACAGTGGACCTAATGAGTGCTGACTATAAAGAATTACATTTTAAATTACAAATGAAAAATAATAATAGTTAGATTGTATATACTACATTATCTGATATACATTAGCATTTAGATTGCACACAAAAATGTGCATATTGGTGGGGGTTTTTTTACTGTGAAATTGTGTAAGCTATTCACCATGCACATCTATAAAATAGCATAGGTAACAGTGTTTGTTTGCTTCTCGCTTCGGTCCCGTACATTTCTCATTTGCAGCTTACTGTTTTGCACCCATGAAGATCCGGGTTAGAATAGGTCTTCAGCAACCCATGCTTGTCGTAAAAGGTGACTGTGCTTGTCGTTAGAAGCGGCTAACGGGATCGGGTCGCTGACTTGGTGGATGTTTCATCGTATCCCAATTGCGTGGTTCGATACTCATGATATCAATCACTGGATTGTTTGGTCCAGACTCGATGATTTACAGCTGGAATATTGTTGAGTACTGCGTTGAACAACAAACAAAAATTAGTGTTTTGTGGTGTATATACATGACCAGACTTTCACCGAACAGCTCGGTTGTGTGAATGTTGTTTAATACCACAGACAGATGTTACATCGCTATTAACAAGAGGATAGTGTAACAAGTTGCTCCACCTAAGTGACAGGATTAGTTATTATAGAAACAGCACAAACCATTTTTATAATAGAATAAATAATAACGAATGTGAACCGTACTATCAGATAGCATGATCAACTATCACCCTTGGCTGCGTACGACCCACAATAAGCCGGATCACGTATTGTCAAGAGTCCAGTCGACTAGCATGGGCTCTAACTAGGAACTAAAAACCCTGATAACCTCACAATAAATACGAATCATCGTCTTGAGATCGCTTTGCTATCACATATTCAAATATGTAGATAAGAACAAATATATATCAAAGTAGTTGTAAACAGAACTCTATGAAACATACAAATATATACATTATGCTATTTGGTAGTGTATAGAAATATAATCCTTGAGTGACAAGTACGTGTGTCTTTTTGTCTTAACAAATGACTTTGGTCAGTGGAATATGTTTCATATTCTTGTTAAACAATTTCTGGGTAAATGAAGCCGTCGATATTCAAGGTGAATGCTAAGGACCACGGAGCGGCGGTAATTTTACATCCACACACAAAATTGTTCGTGCGACATGCTGTATGACCTGAATAAATGAGAAAAATGTGCATATTGTTTGGTTCTTCTTCTGAATAAATATATATGTCTTGGAGCAGTGATATATTCTATCTTTACAAGTGACGACGGGAAAATTGCATACAAGAATTTTAGGAATGGTTTGTATCTTGTTTAGGCAGGTTTAGAATTTGCCATTGAACTTGTCATCCTGACATGTACAGGAAGGGTAGTTGTTGTTGCAGCACATCTGCAGCCAGGGTCTCCACATCACGTTCCTGAAGGTGTACTGGTTGGGCACGGGCTTCACGTTCTGCACGTGCTCCTCGAGAGCATGTATCATCTTCTTGTAAACTTGCGGGTGGTCCGTGGCATTCATTGGTTGTTTCTCGCCCGGATCTGACGTCATGTCATACAAATGAGGAGGATCAATAGTGATGGCGGCTGCGCAGTTACACACGAACTCACACACCTGACGGCCGGGAAGATAGTTCGGTTCTTTCAGAGTCAACTTCCAGACGATTGAACCTGTAAGAAAGAAATCAACGAGAAACATTACTGTTTTTTTTCAACAAAAAATGAAATACACAGAGAGCTTGTGCAGTTTAGCATACCAGCCTACACAGTGATGCTTTATAAAGAATATTCGTCCCCTAACACTAACAGTGATGCACGGTACATAACTGTATAAGGGAACATATATTTCGGGGCTTAAAATAATAAAGTCCATGTTCTACTTGAAAATAAATATGCTTCGCATTGCAGAGAAATTAAAATTATTAATAAAAGAAAATACATGTTGGTAAACATTATTGAGCCCCATCACAGTGAAAATAATTCCTGATCTCAAACAAAATCATTGCTCATATAATTAATCACAGGTCCATACTCGTTTATTTACAGGCCGTCGTTATAAAGCTAGAATATCGCTGAGTGCGGCGTTTAACAACAAAATTAACGTGCCAATAAAAAGAATCCTACCAAGCGACTTACCTCCCCTTGGTCTGTATCTGACAGCATGAACATCAGAGCCGCAGTAATGGAACATAAACTCGTGTGAGGAGACGCTGGTCTGACCAGTGAGGAGGGGCAGCATGTCGTGGCCATCGATCCGTCTGTCGGAGGGGACTGGGACGCCCATGGCGTTGGCGAGAGTTGGGAGTACGTCCATCTGAGAAGTTGGTTCGCTTGAGGTGGATCCTGCTCGGATCCGACCTGGCCATTTTATAACTGTCGGTACTCGAATACCGCCATCCACTGCACCGTGACCTTTGCCCCCTGCAAGAAGTTTCAATTCATAGTAATCTCCGGGTGTCATGAACAGGCGGCTATAAACGAATTGAATTCTAATTGGGTAGAGTGAGTTTGGTTTTACCTCGCCTGGAACCATATTTCAGTCATATCGCAGCGTATGTGATCTGGTTAATGTGGGAGGAAAGCCCGAAATGATGCAGTCTTCAAACGTTCAATACTTTGGCGAAAGCCACGAGCACGGGTGTGGCGCTGACAAACCAAGAAACAAAGTCAAGGCGATCCGGGATTCGAACCCACGATCATAGGCCCATGGCATTTCCAATGGAGGCAACTTTGTATATTATAAGTGGGTAGAACTGGTTTGGTTTCATGTTTACCATGCTTTTTGTATAGAAAGGCTAGAGAGATGAGGTTAAATGGGGCTTAACCTCGCGTTTAAGGTTGGGGTGTGGGTGTGTGGGGTGTGTGTGTGTGTGTGGGGGGGGGGGGGGGGGGGGGGGGGGGTTCATAGTGCTGGCCCACTGAGCTAATATGCCGCAGTTGAACATGGATACCCCACTCAGACATATTGCACTGATTCAAGCCTGTGATCGCACCGCCGACCTTTCGCCAACCGGGTCGCCCTCTATCCACCAGACCACTGGGCCGGTAACAATGCTAATGGAGGCGACCAACTCGTGAAAGAAGTTGTAAACCGACCTCTCCGGGCCTGGTCGGCTATTCAAGTATAATCAAATTAAATACAAGTACACCCATAGCAAATCCTACACTGTATATTGTATAATTACAAAACACTTCCAATTTCAGATTACTTTCCTCCGCAATAACGGTATTCTCACCTTTGTATATGCCATTATATCCACCCTCCAACTCTCCTCGAACGTTCCTCTCTTCAAGATGGCCGCCGTGATCGGACGTGAAGTACACCAGGGTGTTGTCAGCAAAGCCCAACTGCTGGAGCGAGTTTAGCATCTCGCCAACAGCCCAGTCCATTTCTTCAACGGAATCCCCATACTTCCCGTGCTTACTTTTACCAAGGAACTTCTGCGCAGGTGCGAGAAAGACGTGCACGTGCACCCACGACATAACTAACAGAAATGGCTCACCGTCATTTCGTCTCGCCTGCAGGAATTCTTGACCTTCCGCGACTTCTTTGGCCATCTGGGTCTCAAGGTCAATCGGCTGTTCAACCAGGTCAAAATTTCGATAGATCGTACTGTTAAGAAGTTTTAAATTATCCATGATAAGGTAGACAGACCCCGTGATGAGGACGAGGAGGAAGATGATTACTGAACATGGCATAATTCCGATATAGCCGACTCGGTACAGGCATATGGTGCTAATGCCTAGCACCAGTACCACCGTGATAAAGCGTTTAAGCGCATGGGACAGGAAACTGAACAGCACTCTGTCGCCATCGTCGCCAAAGTCTTTAAGATTCGTCAGTGGAATCCCGTAGAAATAGTCGAAGCCGTGGTTACGCGGGTGATGGTGAAAGTCGTTGAAGCTGTCCCTGCTCCAGCCTTGGTGCCATTTCCCAATGAGTCCTGTTTTATAGCCCGCCTGTTTGGCTAACTTGGCAAAGGTTATTTCTGAAGTTGGGAGGCCATATGGACATGCGTTGAAGAGGCTCACTCGGATAACAGTGTTCGGAGCCATGCCTGAAACGGGGCAATTCATTTAGCGTTAATTGCCATACGTTTTGTTTGTTTGTTGTTTAACGCCGCACTCAGCAATATTCCAGCTATATGACGGCGGTCTGCTCAGCAATATTCCAGCTATATGACGGCGGTCTGTAAATAATCGAGTCTGGACCATACAATCCAGTGATTGATATCATGAGCATCGATCCATGCAATTGGGATCGATGACATGCATCAACCAAGTCAGCGAGCCTGACCACCCGATCCCGTTAGTCGCCTCTTACGACAAGCATTGTCGCCTTTTACGGCAAGCATTGGTTGCTGAAGACCCATTCTATCCCGGATCTTCACGGGTCTGCCATACGTGAAAGGGTGGTGTATACTCTCCCAAATATACTCACTGACAAAAGAAATATATTTAATATATGAAGATTTACTCATTTTCAAGAAACATTAGATTGGTTCGACGCACAAACGAACATACTTGTAAATTGTGTGAATCGACGCTCATGAACGCATCGCGTGTGACGTCATAGATCCATGACTCGGGATGCAACATTTGTCTCGTGCTGGATTAGGGTGTAAAGTTTGGAGTGAGTGAGTGAGTTGGGTGTAACGCCGCTTTTAACAATATTCCAGTTATATCACGGCGTGTCAGCTTAATGTGAGAGGAAAGCCCGTAGTGATGCAGGTCTCAGATGAGGACACACGAGCATGGATATGGTGCTGATAAACCTAGAAACATAATCGGGACTCCCCCCCCCCCCCCCCCCCCCCACACACACAAATCATTCAGTAAAGTATTTTGATAATTGTTATGCCAAGACTCAATAATAATTCGAGTAATAACGCTATATCGTACAAAATGTGTTTAGAATTAGAATGTTAACACAGACATGATATGTTTAGGAATATGTTTCGATCCTAAACGGAATATGCATTTGGTGTGTGCAATCTTAACACGTCTTGGGTCTAAATACATAAAATGAGCTATCGTCTCACGGCCTAAACACACCACTATAATCTAAACATGTTTAGAATGTATACACGTTTAAACATGATTAAATAAAGTGTACATCATTAGGCAATAAGTCAGATACGGATGAGACGTAAAATATATAATGAAATTAGATGTGTTGGATTTTATCGAAAAAAATTAATTGTTCCTGAAATTCTTGAAAAAAATTAATTATGCTTCATACTGATGTTTAAAAAAAACAAATTGTCTGCCACACAATTTTCATTGTTGCAATATGTTTTTTTTTTAAAAAGATATTTGACACATATCTGATTTTGCATACAAAATCCCAGCTATTTAAAAAAAACCAGAAAGCGTCTCTTTTTCAAATTACCTAAAATGAATTTCACGTGGGGATTCGGGTCTTTCCCACATTTACATCCTAAACACGTTTAACTGTTAAACACAATCCTAAACATGTCAAAATTATGGGACAAAGAGTAGGTTTGTATTTAGGATCTAAACACATATTTACGGTGTATTGTAGACTTAAAACTGGTGAATCCGTTAACGCGAACTCTATAATCTTCTAAACACAAGCATGTCATACATATCGCTTTTAAAGCCACGTAGAAGTCACAGAATGCATCTATTGAAAACCACAAGAGTAGCATCAGGTGGGATGACATGCATCAATGTGACGCAGATCGAACCGCTACCACTTGTTGGTCATATGACTTATGGAATCACAGTCACTCTTGATAAAATCTTAATCTTAAAATATATATGAATATTCAAAGTCACATGCAGATGCCTTTTTGCATTAAGCTCACCTGATCTGGCCGGGTACCGCCCGGTAAGTAGCGCCGCGCGACTCGGAGAGCAGAGACTCGCCGCACTCAAGTGTTGCGACAACAGCGCCCCATCGCGCGCTATGCTGTCAATGTTGGGGGTCCTTAGGGTCGTGTTGCCAAAGCAGCCGATGTCCCCAATACCTAGGTCGTCTGCTATCAGCAACAAAATGTTGGGTTTTTTACACGTCGTTAGTGGAAGCAGCAACACTGTTCCAACCAGAAGCAGCAGCCATGTTTTACAGCGTCCCATGTTCATCCTGTTATACAAACATATATGGAAAACGTCATCAATATGCTATATATATTGAAACTAGAATCAGAAGCGACGATGCGGACATTGCGTTAAGCTGGTCTACGTCGAGTGCAGTGTTAAAACAGAATTATGTTTGAGATTTTACGATCGCTTCAAGCACACCGCAGTGTGTGCAGTTTGTGTACGAACTCCAATATCTGGGAGACAATGTCTGTCACATCTTACGAACATTTGGTGTTCTTCAATAAGTTTGTAAGGGCTCAACATGGGTGGCGACCCGTGAAGATCCGGGTTAGGATAGGTCTTCAGTAACCCATGCTTGTCGTAAGAGGCGATCAACGGCATCGGGTGGTCAGGCTCGCTGACTTGGTTGATACATGTCATCGTATCCCAATTGCGCGGGTCGATGCTCAAGATGTCAATCACTCGATTGTCTGGTCCAGACTCGATTATTAACAGACCGCCGTTGATTGTGTGTTTGACTTGGTTGATTGTGTGTTTGACTTGGCTGATTGTGCGTGTTGACGTGGCTGATTGTGCGTTTGACTTGGTTGATTGTGTGTTTGACTTGGCTGACTGTGTGTGTTTTGTTTTTTTGTGGGTTTTTGTTGTTTTATTTGTTTGTTTTGTTGTTTTGGGTTTGATTGTTGTTTTGTTTTGTTTGTTTGTTTTTTGTTGTTTTTTGGGGGGGATGGGGTTGGGGGTATTCGCAGATAAATAGCCACGATATACATGTAGGAGGTGCTGGGATCATTTGAAATATATGTAGGCGATAATATACATTAATTGTGTAGATAGTATAAGCTAGATGAAAAAGCGGATAGGAGAGGGAGATAGATACAGAAGATAGTGGTATTTTTATGTTTCTAAATATGCAGCAATACCACCCTTGGATCGTTGTTAATGTTGTCAACCACGGAATTGATTTCATTATTGCAAGGCTGCCGTGATATAGACAATGAATATTGTTGACGTACATGAATATGTACTCATTCGCTCATCGGAGCCATGTTGACATAATTTTGAAGACACCAGTTGCAATCGATTGACGAATTCCCGTTGGTACTAAGTGGTACTACGTCAACAGGTATAAGAAACTGTCATGGAACACGTGTCATAACACTTGCATGGAATTTGATTGGCTGATACGCGATACTCACTCATTACGTTTGATTTCAAACGAAAACAAGAATGGATACTTTTTAAGTAGGCTAATTCGCTGAAACAAAGTTGTGTACATGATGTATTTGTGTAGTACATAAATGCACATTGAGTGTTTTAGTTGGATGTAAATAAATCTGCGTGTAGAATCGACTGCAGTCTGATTACTGCGGGAGAAGCCGAACAAAGGGAATGATCAGGGCTTTGAAGATCTATGTATACAAAATATAAATAGACTAATGCTGACCCGTATTTTGTGTCGTTTTGTGTACAACAGATGAGAAGAGATTTAACAATACAGGTTCTCGAATGTCAAAATATTTCTATAGATTTAGTGCTCTTTTTGTTTCGTTTGAAAATCGAAAATATTTATAAAATGTCCTCAAAGCTATAGGCTTTTTAACGATGTTGATGAGGTTGTGGTACTGAATATTATGGCTATCGTGTATGGAATCTAGTCAGGTGGGTGGGCTGGCCTACCCAACTGAACAATTTAAACCTGACAAAGTGTGCTTGTCGAAAGTTGCCACAAGATATCCGTCATGGTAAAGACTAACACGCCTGATGTTTCGCCCTCCTCGATCGGAATTGAAAGAGCTGTATGGACTTAATACGTAACACAGAACAAGGGAGCCGTAACGGTTGGACATTATGTGAAGACAGGCAAATGTGAACTAAACCATAACCATTAATTCTAGGAACTAAAACAACACTGTACTGGAACAAATTAACAAATAATATTTTATTTAATTAATAGAAGAACGTATCTAAACAAAACTACATTGAATTGGAATGTTTACACTTAATGTATTTAAAACAATAATCTGTATATTTGATATGGTACTTTGCTTCATCCGTGATTTTTTAGGCTAGACCTATTCTGAACATAAGCGATTCAAGGGAAGTAACGCTTTCAAACCATGCGACGATCACGTGACATTGGCCGCCATTTAAAGTTTGCAGGTTGTGTGCACTGTTCAAAACTGAGATTCAACGATTCATTGTCGCTAAACGGATGACACGGGCACTGTTGTGTTGTGCAGTTATGGAACTTAGCCTTTAGTGCCTTTGCTCGAACTGAATTACCTGGAATTCATTGATTCTGTACGGACATACAGGCTAGCTTTCCTACAAGCACCGTGGGACAAGAAGCAAGATGGCGGGATCTATAAGCCCAGTGTTATCGCTCCAACGATGTGACGAAGATATTGACTTGTTATCTGAGCTATTGGGTTCAAATTCAAATGCATCAAGCAATGATAGTTTAGATATTACAGAAAGTCTACTTAGCGATGACATCGATGATCTTACCGGTTATCTCTGCAGGAACTCGAAATGTCTCAATCGGGGTGGGAATTCGTGCTCTACGGCCGAGCAGCTAGAATGCCTGGATAATCTAAATTTAGATTGTCCCGACAGTAACACTTTAATGTACCCTGTTCGCGACAGTCCGATGCACACGGCGATAAAGGATGACTGCTCCAAAGTACGTAATCCTATAACAGCCAATGGTAAAGAGCGACCTGAAGCATTGTATACTGTAATCACTCAGATGGAACCAAAATCTATGAACAAGAATGCTGTAGCCGCCAGGGAAAATAGACAAAAGAGAAAGAAGTATGTTGAAAACATCGAAAAAGAAGTAGCACAACTTCGAGAGGAAAATGCAGCACTTAAGATGAAAGTGTCTTGTCAAGATGGAAGTGTAGAGAAACTAAATGAGCAAGTGAAGTATTTGCAAAGTGTTATTGCAAATCAGTCAACCATATCGGCCTTGTTGCAGAACATTCAAAATACAGCTGACGTCACACTGAAATCATCCTGGGCAGCCTTGGGGAAACAAACTGTTCCATGTTCAACCAAGACACAGAGCAAGAAGAAAAATGTTGAAAACTGCAAGTCTCGTCTACGTAAATCAAAGCGTAAGTGTGTGTTTGAGTCAGAAAGTGTGTTGAGTCCAGATAAGAAGGTGTGTTTTGAGAAGGAAAACACAGATGGTAACGTCCGGCTTCCCAGTGGTTCAGAGTCCAGTCCAAGTGTAAAGAGGGAGGTGATAAGTAACAGCACTACTGAGACAGATGAAGATGTGTTCCACTTAAACCAACATACCATTGCTGGTGTGTGCCTCCATGTGTCTGGGAAGCAAGTTTCTCTTGAGTTCTGTTCAGCCTGCAACAAGATGGCCTCCACAACAAGATTCTTGGATGATCACAGTTATGTCCGACCATCAACAGACGTTGAATGAATATCATTCTCTTAATGTCATGTATCCATTTTTATGTACAGTGTAGATTTTCATTTACGGCTGAAGCAATACACTAATAACCACAATGCTGATGCGCCAATTCTGAATTTAGTTGACTGAATGTATCTCATTTTCATATACAGAGGGTGAAAAGGTGTATGTTTTTCTTGAATCAGTGCACGATATTATGCATCATTTTATAGAAGTGAATTGTTTCAGCCTTATTTTGATAGGAATAAGATCATGTATATATTACTTATGCCTTGAGAATAAGTGGTTTGTTATTGAGGATTGTCGTATGGGTAATCCTGGTTGATGGGGTGTGTAAAATGTTAAGTACGACGATGCTTGTGACAAGTCACTTGTTCACAAGTCCAGCATTGATGTTGATGTCACATGTGTAGGTTATAAACTAAACAATATCATTTACCTTTCCAGCCTTCAAAGCTAGACCAATCTCTAGACATGAAGTTGCAATACTTCTGGATTGACGGTGTAGTATAAGACATAAATGGTCGGTTTCTGTTACATTGGATTTCATTAGTCAAAAGAGAACAGCCAATTTCCTATTGAATAACGAAAGAAATGAATTTTATCCATATATGTGTTCCAAACAGATCAATTTTGAAGGGCCGCAGTAATTCAGGTGTTATAATCAACATGACCAAGTTATGCTAAGAACTTATGCTTTATGACCCTAGATAGCATCATGCTACATTTTAGAAAATGTTTGCAATATACTATTTATATTAGGTAACCCTTATGTGATATGCTATGAATTCCTGTCATGTGTATGTTCAGTTGGAAATGGGCTGTTGTCTTTCCATTGTTTGATGTATGTTCTAATCACTCCCTGTCCCCACCCTTACTGGCAATAGAAACGTCGTAGTTAAAACTTAGGAAAAGTTAAGATGCAAACTTAAAGGACAAATATCTTCTGTATAATGTGTGGATAGTTTGGGTCAAATACTTCATGAGTGAATATCCATATTGGAATCATGATTTTATGATGTGTACAGTAAACTTGTCAAAGTCAGAATTCTGGGAATTGATTATCCATTGTGTAAGAGACCACCTCCGTGGTCTAGTGGTAGATCATCTGTCCTGAGAGCGGGGGTTTGATCCCCGGTCGTATTCATACCAAAAGACATTAAGATATGGTACTACTTGTTACCCAGCCTTGTGCCAGGCATTGAGGGGCAGTTTCAAGGACTAGTCAGCTCGGTGTCAGTATACTGTGTCTAAGTGGGGTATTTATGGTAAACTGAGGCATGGTATCTCAGTAGGCTAGCACTATAAAATCGGCATTAGTCCAGTATAGTACAAGCAGCCACACACACATGCATGCACATCTCTATATAAGTGCAATAATCTTGAATGTGACGTTAAACCCCATTCCACCTGACATCACCATTGTAAGACAATGTAAGATGAAATATGATTGGGTTTTTTTAAACATTAAGGCAATAGGCTAGATCACATCTTAATCTTTCAATTCCCCCACTCCCAGCCCTCACTTGTTTCGATTGATGAGATATTAACCATATTCTCTCTTTTCTTTTTCAGGGAGGTCAGTAATGAATGACCTTTGACATTGGTTGAGAAGCGATGATCCCAATCCCTTTATTTTCACAGTTACCAATGGTTAGTATTTTTATGAGATTACTTAAGTTTATTCACTATTGATTACAAGGTAAGAGAAAGTGTAGATTTTGTTATGGTACCTATTTGCTAGTTACACTCTATTCTTTGCAGGGACACAGAGTATACATTAATAACAGTGTGGTAACCATAGTAACATTTTCGATAGTGTTACTGGTTACATGTTGAACATTAACTTTTGACGTGACCGACAACTTCTTAATCCTGTCAAGACTGGGCAGAAGAGATACCAAGATGGACTGAGAACTCAAAATTTGTTTGCCAGATTTTGGCATTATATTGAATTGTTAACTTAGATTATTTTCACATTTTGTGGTACAGTTTTGCTCATTTTGTACAATAATGTTGGCCAAACATCACACATTTGAAATAATCATGTTAGTTTATAACTGACATTGATTGAGAAAGATGGTTGTGGAACATTCCACTATGAAATGATTATTCTTTGTTCTCATTTTTGTATGGGAAGCAAATTTGCCTCCAAATATTTCTTTTTCTGTTTTTGAAATGTTTTGCCAACCTTTTTGATTATCATTACAAATGTGACACATTTTAGCTGTTAGTTTTGCTTTTTCATGGGGCAGTGTTGATGCTGGATCCTTTAGAGTGGCATGACCTTCATATCACCCGCCTGAAGGTCACGTAAGTATAGGGACAGTAAGTAACCTAGGTTAGCTTGGTTAGGTTTCAAAATATTTATTACTTATTTACATATATTAATTCTTGATTTCTTGTAAATGCTATTAAGTGGGTCCCATGTAAATGATGTGAGAGTTGACCATGTTGACATTTCACTAAAAGTCACTTTAATTTCATTGTCTGTATTGGAATTCTGAGAAAAATGATTCAGTAATCACCATAGTCCTGGCACCCGAAAAAACTCTTATGAAATAATTCTACTTTTCAGTCATTGTCATCAGAACTTCATAAGTTCTGTTCTGTAACCACCATCACCACCATGTGTACCTTAAAAGTCTGGAAAATGTGAATGGGCTGGGATGGGAGTTCACTAGAAATGTAATTCTATGACGTTTTAAGCCACATGGAGGTAATGCTTACAAGTGTGTAAGGCACCAGTAAATTATTGTAACTAAAATGTAGTTATGAAGATTGGAGTCGGACATCAGATTACTAGGGCTGCAGACAATGTTGATTCCTGACTAAGTGAATGTCATGTTTTGTATGTCATTGTTATGATTGTCATGTCTGTAAAAGGAAAAGTATTAAATGATAAAATTGAAATATCTTGTGTTGTTCTTAAACTGCTTCCTTCATTTGAGAACCTTGGGACCAAGCAGATGATTGAGCAGTGAGTATATTGACTCCCAGCCGATCAGTCCTTGTTTTAGCCCCTTTAATGCCAAGCGCCAGGCAGGGTAACAAGTTGAATCTTTGGTATGACACGGCCGTGAATCGAACCCCGGACCTTCCACTCTCCGGGCTGACTGACGCTCTAGACCATGGAGGGGGTCAGTTTTGTCGGAAGCAGCTTTCTTGCTAATTTAAATTTGAATCTAGTCAATAAAATAATAGTTTATTAAATGTGTGTGATATTGGATTTTGCAACTGATTACCCCCCCCCCCCCCCCATTTCAAGGTGTTACATATATTGGACACCGAACAGGCACTTCCAGTAGATCTGGTTTAGCACCCAGATTACAATGTTTCAGTCTATATCGTCTTAACACCTTATAGGTATTGTAACATGATCCCTTCTTAATGGCTGCAGTGAATGTCTGTGTAATCCATCACAATGAAGTAAGCATGTGGTAGATAAATTCATGCGGATATGGCAGAGGGTCCAATGCCCATATGTTGATTGTTTATAAATCATAACTGAAAATCACCCTACACATGAATACTTACTATTGTAAACATTGTACGCATGAATACTGGTCACTGTAAACATCCCACACAGGAATATGTCTCGCTGTAAACATCCCACACAGGAATATGTCTCACTGTTAACATCCCACACGGGAATATGTCTCACTGTAAACATCCCACAAGGGAATATGTCTCACTGTAAACATCCCACACATGACTACTTATCACTGTAAACATCCCACACAGGAATATGTCTCACTGTAAACATCCCACACAGGAATATGTCTCACTGTAAACATCCCCCGCCGTGATATTGCTGGAATATTGCTAAAAGCGGCGTAAAACCAAACTCACTCACTCACTCACTGTAAACATCCCACACAGGAATATGTCTCGCTGTAAACATCCCACACAGGAATATGTCTCGCTGTAAACATCCCAAACGGGAATATGTCACTGTAAACATCCCACACATGACTACTTATCACTGTAAACATCCCACACAGGAATATGTCTCACTGTAAACATCCCACACATGACTACTTATCACTGTAAACATCCCACACAGGAATATGTCTCACTGTAAACATCCCACACAGGAATATGTCTCACTGTAAACATCCCACATGGGAATATGTCTCACTGTAAACATCCCACACAGGAATATGTCTCACTGTAAACATCCCACACATGACTACTTATCACTGTAAACATCCCACACAGGAATATGTCTCACTGTAAACATCCCAAACGGGAATATGTCACTGTAAACATCCCACACATGACTACTTATCACTGTAAACATCCCACACAGGAATATGTCTCACTGTAAACATCCCACACATGACTACTTATCACTGTAAACATCCCACACAGGAATATGTCTCACTGTAAACATCCCACACAGGAATATGTCTCACTGTAAACATCCCACATGGGAATATGTCTCACTGTAAACATCCCACACAGGAATATGTCTCACTGTAAACATCCCACACATGACTACTTATCACTGTAAACATCCCACACAGGAATATGTCTCACTGTAAACATCCCACACAGGAATATGTCTCACTGTAAACATCCCACACAGGAATATGTCTCACTGTAAACATCCCACATGGGAATATGTCTCACTGTAAAAATCCCACATATTTCTACTAACCCTGATAGTTACCCTGTCTGGCGCTCGGCATAAAGGGGCTAAAAAAGGACTGGTTTGCTCGGAGTCAGTATGTTGTGTCTGAGTGGGGTATTCATGTTAAACTGTGGCATGGTATCTCGGTTGTTTAGCAGTTTAAAACTGGCTTAAGACCAGACTAGTACAAGCAGCCACAAAGGTGACTATGCTTCCCGTAAGAGGCGACTAACGGGATCGGGTGGTCAGGCTCGCTGACTTGGTAGAAGCATGTTATCGATCCCAATTGCGCGGATCGATGCTCATGATATCAACCACTGGGTGGTTTGGTCAAGACTCGATTATTTACAGACTGCTGTCATATAGCTGGATTATTGCTGAGCGCGGCATAAAACAACAAACCAACCAACAAGCAGCCACATATGCACACAAGTCCATACACATCACTTTATAAGTGAAATAATCTTGATCGGGATGTTAAACCTCATTTCACCTCTCCTTTCTAGTTTGTTGGCAAAAATATACTATAAATTGGCATTACTCTGGACTAGTACAAGCAGCCACACACACACGTGCATGCACGTCGCTATATAAGTACAATAATCTTGGATGCGACGTTAAACCCCATTTCACCTCACATGTGACAGGTATTCACATGTGGGATGTTTACAGTGACAGGTATTCACATATGGGATGTTTACAGTAATAAGAATTCACATGTTGGGTGTTTACAGCAATAGGTATTCACATGTTGGGTGTTTGCAGCAATAGGTATTCACATGTTGGGTGTTTACAGCAATAGGTATTTACATGTTGGGTGTTTGCAGCAATAGGTATTCACATGTTGGGTGTTTACAGTAATAGGTATTCATGTGTGGGAGGTTTACAGTAATAAGTATTCACATGTGAGGTGAGGTGAGGTAATATGGGGTTTAACATTGCACATATGAATACCTGTCACTGTAAACATCCCATATATGAATACCTGTCACTGTAAACATTCCACATGTGAATGCCTGTCACTGTTAACATCCCACATATGAATACCTGTCAGTGTAAACATCCCACACCTGAATATTTATCAACTGTAAACATCCCACATATGAATACGTGTCACTGTAAACATCCCACACCTTAATATTTATAAACTGTAAACATCCCACATATGAATACTTGTCACTGTAAACATCCCACTCCTGAATATTTATAAACTGTAAACATCCCACATATGAATACTTGTCACTGTAAACATCCCACATATGAATACTTGTCACTGTAAACATCCCACATATGAATACTTGTCACTGTAAACATCCCACATATGAATACTTGTCACTGTAAACATCCCACATATGAATATTTATCAACTGTAAACATCCCACGTATGAATACGTGTCAATGTAAACATCCCACACCTGAATATTTATAAACTGTAAACATCCCACACATGAACACTTGTCACTGTAAACATCCCACATATCAATACTTGTCACTGTTAACATCCCACATATGAATACCTGTCAGTGTAAACATCCCACTTATGAATACCTGTCACTGTAAACATCCCCCACATGATTACCTTTTACTGTTAGCATCCTACACGTGAATATTTATCAACTGTAAACATCCCACATATGAATACTTGTCACTGTAAACATCACACACGTGAATTCTTGTCACTGTAAAATTTCGACACGTTAATATTTATAAACAGTAAACATCCCACATATGAATACTTGTCACTGTACACATCCTGCACATGAATACTTGTCACTGTACACATCCCGCACATGAATACTTGTCACTGTAAACGTCCCACACTTGAATACCTGTCACTGTAAACATCACACACGTGAATATTTATAAACAGTAAACATCCCACATATGAATACTTGTCACTGTAAACATCACACACGTGAATATTTATCAACTGTAAACATCCCACATATGAATACTTGTCACTGTAAACATCACACACGTGAATACTTGTCACAGTAAAATTTCGACACGTTAATATTTATAAACAGTAAACATCCCACATATGAATACTTGTCACTATACACATCCCACATATGAATACTTGTCACTGTACACATCCCGCACATGAATACTTGTCACTGTAAACATCCCACATATGAATACTTGTCACTGTAAACATCACACACGTGAATACTTGTCACTGTAAAATTTCGACTCGTTAATATTTATGAACAGTTAACATCCCACATATGAATACTTGTCACTGTACACATCCCACATATGAATACTTGTCACTGTACACATCCCGCACATGAATACTTGTCACTGTAAACGTCCCACACGTGAATACTTGTCACTGTCAACATCCCACACGTAAATATTTATAAACTGTAAACATCCGTCATATGAATACTTGTCACTGTAAACATCCCACATATGAATACTTGTCACTGTCAACATCCCACACGTAAATATTTATAAACTGTAAACATCCCACATATGAATACTTGTCACTGTAAACATCCCACACGTGAATACTTGTCACTGTCAACATCCCACACGTAAATATTTATAAACTGTAAACATCCCACATATGAATACTTGTCACTGTAAACATCCCACATATGAATACTTGTCACTGTACACATCCCACATATGAATACTTGTCACTGTACACATCCCGCACATGAATACTTGTCACTGTTAACATCCCGCACATGAATACTTGTCACTGTAAACGTCCCATACGTGAATACTTGTCACTGTCAACATCCGACACGTAAATATTTATAAACTGTAAACATCCCACATATGAATACTTGTCACTGTAAATATCCCACATATGAAACCTTTCCTGTACACATCCCACATATGAATACTTGTCACTGTACACATCCCGCACATGAATACTTGTCACTGTTAACATCCCGCACATGAATACTTGTCACTGTAAACGTCCCACACGTGAATACTTGTCACTGTCAACATCCCACACGTAAATATTTATAAACTGTAAACATCCCGCACATGAATACTTGTCACTGTTAACATCCCACATATGAATACCTGTCAGTGTAAACATCCCACACGTGAATATTTATAAACTGTAAACATCCCACATATGAATACTTGTCACTGTACACATCCCACATATGAATACTTGTCACTGTTAACATCCCACATATGAATACCTGTCAGTGTAAACATCCCACACGTGAATATTTATAAACTGTAAACATCCCACATATGAATACTTGTCACTGTACACATCCCGCACATGAATACTTGTCACTGTTAA